ATGTTCAAGTAAATTCCAAAATGTTCTGTTTCCATCAATTTCCTGGGTCCGTATACAGTATAATTGTACAATACTATGTGCCTCTGTCTCTTTCATTACCATGGCAATGAGCAAGCCGCCAGCAGCAGCGCAGGTCACGTTCAAGTGTTTTTGGACATCTATGAACTTGACAAAGTTTCTGATTGCCAGAACTCGTCCAGAGACGGTCAACTAACAGCTAATGTAGCAGATAATGTTATGCTAAACCATGGCATATATGGGGCAGATGACCGATATCCATAAATGTTTACACGTCCTTAAATATCCTTAACTATCCTGGATCATCACCACTGTCCTTAATTGGCAGGGTATTCTAAAGACAGTGGTGATGATCCAGGATAGTCAAAGATATGAAAGGACATTTATAAATATGTATGGACATTGGTCATCTGCCCCTTATGGACCATTGGCTTTTTGTCATTTTAACATGTGTTTTTTTATGATTGCATTTCCTGTGTTTGGGTTGATTCTCAGATTTATGTTGGAAAATAAACAACTTTGTAAAGTCCTTAAGGCTATACAGAAATACATTTAATTGAATTACTTTGTGCCCATTTTTGTGCTAAGTAGGGATACTCATCTGGCAGTAACATCACACATTTCAATGAAAATAACTGTACTAGGATGTCTTGAAAGATCAGCCGAGATCTCACTGACTTTTTAAAAAAGTCATCAGCCACTGACTCATTCATGCCTAAAGTTTATATCATAATTATATTGTCTAAGGAAAGTTCGAGATGCTTCAGGTTAAAAAAAGGATGAGTAATAGGCACAGAGAAGAGGCACCATATGGACTGAGCCGTCTCAATGAAACGCTAAGGGTCAGGGTCTATTTCATCTTTCCACAATAATGCTCAGAGAGGTCTTATCAGACTTCACCTGAACTATTCAAGGCAGAATTTTTCTATATTACTAATTGGCTGATTTACCAGGTAAAAACAGGTTAGGTGGAATAATACAATAAATAACTAAAGAAAAACAACTCTACCCTGGATTTAGACTCAAATTAATAGCGCTTTTAAATTGTATGCAGCATACTTTGGGATTCTTGAATGAAAAGCCTTACATCATCTTTATCTAAAAACTGAAAAAATGCATGTACTGCTGAATGGTGTGGGTCCTAACAAAATCATAACAATCAGACAATTATGAGACTATACAGCTGTAAAATGCTTTGGTACTTGCTTGTGTTGAAGTGGTTGAAGTGTTGCACGAAATGGAAAACGGAATTAACCATGATTATTATTCACTCCCGGTTTCTGACTTTCAGAACAAGGTTTACTTTGTCCACCCCACACGACTTAGATGGGCATGGATTAGAAAGAGCTGACCTGAGGCATATCCAGTGAAACACATCGCTCTCTGTTCTCACAACACGACACAACCTCTAGGTGAAGCCCACAAACAGCTAAAGCTTTCACTCGCAGTCGTTTTACCTGCTCAGCCTGCACAGATGTGAACATTTATGTGAGGGTTTAACAAACTACACTACGCTGCATCATCAAGTTGCACAGATATAAAAACTCAAGTGCAAGGGGAATAAATGAGAAAATAAAGATTATACATACTGTGACACTAGAAAGTCTTCACGCCATTGTGAAGTTATATCCCTACAGTTCATTTTCCTGTTGGAAAATGAATCATTGTGTGCGGCTTTAAAAGGCCTCTTGTTTTTATAGTACAGAAGAACATTTACCCTCCAGGAAAAACCCCAGTCCATCAATTAAAAAGCAGCCGTCAGATACATTTTGTCAATCAACTAATCAAGTGATCATTGAGGCACACGCTGCGTCTTGGAGCCACAAGCCACAAGCCAGGAAACAACAGATGCCACCAAAGCAAATGCTGGAAGTGCAGTGCTCAGCTCATGCCAGGTGACTTATGTTTGTGCTCTGTGGCTGGAGATGGGGAAGAGTGAAGATGTATTGATCAGCTGTATGCAATGCAATCAATGCCACTGCATAGGGCCATGTTTGCAGCATGGGCTGAAATGTGACGAAAATTGCGTCACAACATTAAATAGGTCATTTCAACCACCAAAGCGCAGTGACCATGAGAAAAAGGTTTTCATAAAAGTTTATCGTTCAGCAACACAGCTGCTTCATCCAATCCCTTTCCAAATTGTGTGTTATTTCGATATTTTGTGCTGTGCAGGTTTTGAAATAAACCTATTCATTGATTGTAATCTACATGGATATATTCTATTAATCAGGACTAGTGCCAAGGCTGAGTACAGAGTTTTCATGTTCTCCTTGTGCCTGGATGGGTTTCCATTAGAGGTCAACTATTTGAGTTTTCTGTGGCAGAATCCGATGCAGTGTGACTGTCCAAAGACTGATTTAAATTACTTATTTAGATGGATATATTTTTATAGGTTTTTTGTTTTTAAGGCATGCCGTATAGATTTGATTCCACAAATAAATTGGGGGTAGGTGCTCATGCAAATGCTCGGCTTGCACATAGAACATAATAACAGTTTATTACAAAATGCCTTGATGGTACTTAAAGGAATGGGCTAATTTTAGAGAAGACATTAATACAAAGATATCCAATGTGTTCTTTGTGGAAAGTTTGAAATGCTTAATGGTATAATGTTTATAGCTCATGTGTTTTCATCTATATTTATAATGCTGTATTTAAATTTTTGGTAGTTTGGTAGAACAATTATTCTTGGATTGAAACAACTAGATCTAAATGTAACAATGGAGTAATCAACTATTACTAATTGCATTTTAGGTTAATTGAGATAAATGCTTGAAAACTACCTTTTATCGGTTGGATGGGATGAGCTTAAGGCATATGGACAAATATTCAAAAACAATATTGCATAACACTTATAAAACTGATACACTTTTAAAAGTTTAAGTATTTAAGCCTCACATTGCATGATTCATTCAGCCCCTTTGACCACCACCAGACACATATTAGGCAAAGTGGATGATGTTTTTTGCCTAACAACGCAACAACAGTTTGACACTGCTGCAGCCATCCCACTGTGGCAACTGTTGTTCCCAGATGTCTCCCATCACACCATTAACCAGACCCTGCCCTGCTTAGCTTCGGACATTTGACAGATCAGGCTGTCAAATGTCAGGGGTGCAGGTAGCGCCACAACATAACACCGTAACATAACAGCCTCTAGTTTGCATCTTTTTTCTAAATAAGCCAAAATATCCAGCCACAAACAAACCATACTAAATCAGTTTTGGAAAGCCATTTGCTTTTGTTGTTGATCCTAGTCACTGAGAAGTTTTACAATGGCTTAACATTAAAGTGGAGTTCTTGGGTTCGCAGAGCATCATGGTCTCACTGTGTTATAGACTTGGCAACACCATGCAAAAGTGCTTACATTTATAATAAAAATAAGGAATAATATGTATCCTTTAACTCTCCTTTAATATGTATCCTCTACCAACTGAGCTATCTCAGTTGGTAGAGCATTGGCCTTAAGGCCAGAGGGTCGTGGGTTCAATTCCCACCTCTGCACCTTCTCCATCGACTCCTACTGATGACTGCTGTCGTTGTGTCCTTGGGCAAGACACTTAACCCCACTTTGCCCAAAGCCCCCACTGAAAGATCAAGGCTATGCTCACACTCAAAGAGCAGCCGTCCTCCTGTGGACTCACCACCTGCAGAGGGTCAGTGAGGGGCTGGTGCTATGAGACTTGGGTGGCATCTCTGACTGCCACCCCCCTGACCCAGAAATGGATTAAAGGGTAGAAAATGAATGAATGAATGAATGAATGAATGTATCCTTTAAGAAGTTGTAATATGCAATAACTGTGGCCCTTTTTTTATTAGACAGAAAAAGAAGAAAAAAGCCATGCTGTGTTTAATTAATAACGTTGAACGGAAGCAGAGGCCAAATGATATAATGAGAGGTCAAAAACCCATTTAGAAAGGTACACAGAGGTTTAAGATAAAGCTGTTAAACTGCTCACAAGACATTAATATTCTAATATGTCTTTTTAATTATTACATCTATTACACTGTGCTTTTTAACTGAAGACAAGGCCTGAACGGTAAGTATAATGCTCAGTGTGAAAAAGGAAGAACTAATGAGATTCAGCACCACTGTTAATTCATCTATATGGTAATGCTTGATGACGTCAGGCCTTAGCGGTAAATGTGCGGTGTCAGCAGTTCGGCGAGAGGCGCTGTGTGACTTTGAGGCGCAGACACTTCATTACCAAGCTGCGCACTCCCAGGCCGCGCCGTGCCCTGGTAATGGTACAGCACGCAGTTCGCTCAAAGCCTATCGCAGCCTTGCAATCACCTGCGCCGATCAAAAAAAACTAAACAAAAAAAGAGAAAATTAGTTTCTCATTCCTGGCTCCTCTGCAGCAAGGCTCTTAAAAGTCACCACTGATAAATGGTGCTTGGGGATGAATGATTGTAGAGAAGTATTTTTGCAAAAGCTGAACACAGAAAAGCTCAGAGATAAACGCATGAGAGAGAGATGGGCTGTAATGTGAAGAGAAATGTTCTTTATCTTTTCAACCACAAAGATAAGGTCACAAACATCTCCTTAAACAAATCCTTTAATTTCCCGATCGATGCCTATAGAGCCATGCAAATGAAGCCAATGGTCAGTCAGAGCCAGGTCGGATTGAATGTCCACACACCGACACGTGTCATTGATCAAAGCGCAAGAGGAGCAAGAGAGCCAGGATTAAACCATTCTTTCGCGAGCTCCACCTTGAACCACTGCCCTGACCCTCAGCAAAACCTGGCTCAAGATAGAGCGCAAATAGGCTTGTAGAGTTTCAGACCATTCATCACCATGCAGTAAAGGAAGGGTATTTGCTATGAGAAGATAAGACACGTTTTTGGACTGTTTAACAAGGATGGCGAGTTGCCTAAAGCCCAGCGCAGGCCTACCTTGTGATTCGCCAGCCAAAGTCTCATCCCAGCGTCTCAGAAGTAGCATGATGGTGCAGCTTGGGACTCCTCTCTTCCTCTCATAGCCTCAGACTGAGGAAGGAGCCACTACAGTAAACACACAAGAAAAGTGACAATAGTAGACAATACAAGTAGTAGAAATAAAAATAAAAGTATTTTGTTTATGATAAACAATGCTTTTTCTATACATTATGTTATGGTGTAAAAGATATTTTTTTATTGTATAAAGCACTTTTGTCCTTGTTTACAAATCCTGCTATGAATAATGTTTCCCTGTTCTCTTGTAGAATATGCAACACCATTAAAGTGATTGTCTGGAGTTTGTCAGAAAAGAGAGAGAGAGGAACATGATTTGAAATAAACGACCCAAGCTCCCTCCCCCTTCCTTTCTGATTGGTCTACGCCTACGTTTCCGTAACAATCAATCAACACATTTAAATGTTAATCTGAGAACACATTATACATATACATTATTAATACACATGCACGGAGGATTTCAGAATTATTTGTTAACGTTTTCATGACAAAAATAATGGTTTAATGCACAAAAAAAGCAATTACGGTAAACCCAGAAGTAGCTATTATCATTAATTGAACATTATAGGACACATCTGCAGAGAATCTGATTATTGATATAGGTTCAATATATAAATGGGTAACTCAGCGCGGATGTTCAGAATTCTTTGTTCAGTTTTCATGTAGTTTCAGAGCCTAATAGAGGCTTGATTCGGAGGCTCCGTGAAAACAAACAACTGAGCATGCACGCAGCTACGAGCATGAGCGCCGATGATTGACAGCCCTTGGCATTGTAATTAATTTAGAGTTCCAGACTATCACTTTAATGAGCGGATGGTAGATCATAGACAAAACTTTGTTTTCAAAATGAGCGGGTTCATGGATACGTTTGGGCCTACATTTGCGTATTTTTGTAGAATTCATGTTGTGATTGATGACAGGATATCAAACAAGTGTGTCTTTAAAATAAAGGCCAACAGAAAATACACACGGCTCAGATCAAAAGTCTACACACCCTGATGAAGTGTTATCATGTGGTCCAACTCCCCTTGAAAATAACTGACTTCACCCAACCACTAACTGTGAGCGGAAACATGTGTCACAGTTCATGTCCTCCAGAGAGTGGCCTAAAAAAAACTGTATCTGAACCAACTTAATCAACTGAAAGTGCAGGAGTCAAATGGTTTGGGAATAATGTCTTCATCATTTGGGCGTCATCAGCTGTTTGTCTCCTCTGACCAGCTGTTATTCATCAAAGCATGTTTTGTTCTATGAGACAACCTTTGTTGTGTGGGGTGTGTTTGCAGGAATTCCAGATGTTCTGAAAGGGGCTCATATCAAGAAAGAAAGACATTCTAAACATACTCTATCTTTTGACGTGTAATTGATGCAATTTATCAAACTCACAGCTTCAGATAGAAATCCTTGAGGGTCAGGAGGGGAGTGCAGCTCTTTGGAGGTGACAGTGCTCCACAGGAGCCGCTCCACACGTCTGTCCTCCTCAGAGGAGCTGTTTGCCTTTCTGATGTTGGCTGCTCTATTCAAAGGAACACAGGAGACACAGGTTTAGCCCAGGCACTGGTCATTACCACTATACATGTTCACTGACCTTACAGTAACTTATTTCTATCTATCTATAATATTTAAATTAAAACAAATACAATGTAACAGAGAATAAGCATGGTATGACTTCTAATTAATCCATATGGGACAGTTAAAAAAGATGTGGTTAAATTAGGGCTGCAAGATTAATCACAATCAAATCAATATTGCAATTTTGATGGGAACAAAAATAAGCAAATCACCAAGACTGCAATTATTTAAACCGTTGACACCTTTTCACCCTGTAAGACAAAGTTACTATGAAATACATTTAATCCCCTGATTACTATTTCTGTTTTTTTTTCTAAGTGCCAAGTCCCAACAATGAATGCCAAAAGAACGAACTTCAAACTTTGGGTTCTGTACTGACTGCCTGTAGATGTTTTGAATGTTCACGCATAGGCAATTAATTACTTAATGTTTTACACGCATGAAAAGAAAGTACAATGAAAAGAATAGACAAAACATGTTCAGCTGGTCGGCTGTTTGACATGAGCACAGTCTAGAGTCTGAAAATCCTGGAGAATTCCAAACGCACCGCACAAAATGTTGGTGTATAACATAATCTTTCCGGATTCAAAGCAAGAGTGCCATATAAGTGTTGATCATACTTTAGGTAAATGATTAATTAAATTATGCTGAATAATTAAGTGCTCTCTGTGGGGCAACAGATTGTAATTTTCATATTTAATAGACTGGTGAGCTCGGCACACAACATCGACGTTGACAAAGCATCTCTTATACACACACACACACACACACGCACACACACACTCACACATGCATACACACAGAAAAGAGCACACACACACACACGCACACACACACTCACTCACACACTCACACATGCACCCACACAGACACACACACACGCCTGCACACTAACCACTCGGTACAATGCTTGTTCCCAAACACAGACTTTCATTGCTCCCAAAGAGACAACTTTCTCTCAGGCTTCTGATACATACTGTTGCAGCTCTAATCAGAGACTATGAATTATTGAAAGGCCCTTTTATATCTGATCATGGCCCATTTGCCATTGATTCAAGAAGATTAGTTGCCAATAAAATGGAGATGCACTTCAACCTAAGCTTTCTGTCTGAGCTCTAATGGGCCAGGAGCTTTCACAAACGCTGGGGTCTTATGACGCGTATGCTTTGAGACGATGGCTCTGCTCTTAAAGTATATTTGAGAGCCTTGTCACCCAATAGCTATTTACAAGATACGACAGCATTGATTTAGAATGGGAGTAGCCTTTCACTTTTAGAATACAACAACACCACAAATATTATGGAATGTGACATTTAACAGAAGAAAAAATGTATAGAACATTTGTGACTTAACTCGATTGGAAAGACTGTGGAAATTGAAAAGTCTATAATTAGCTAATTATTCAGCAATGAAGCTTTGTTGTAGCAGTCATTATGATATTTAGCAGGACAAATGCAATCCATAGCACTACCAGCCAAAGTGAATTATAGATGCATCTATTCATTTGTGCACAAAAACACTATTGTTGTGTGAGAGTCACAGATTAAGAGGCAGTGAGCTGTGTTAGTGTGTTTTGAGCTTTGATCTGGAGACAATCGTGGAGCTCTGTGGCAGTGGTGACAGCTCTGACAGAAGAGCGCAGCCTGAAATGCCCATCTGGAGTGAGGCATCAGAGGTCACATGTGTGCCAATAGCAGTGAGACGAAAGGGCTAATGGAGCCGGGTTATGAGAGCACGTCCCAGGTGGACCACACAGGTACCACACACTACCCTTTGCGCACATGCCACATAAATCCCAAGTGCTGTCAGAAAAATGATAGCCAAGTTAACGAGAGAAAAGGGGTTAACGACTGCTGCTCTCAAGATAGGACAGACACCAATCACATCCAACACACACCGTTCACATTTAGCTTCACCGTCATGTCGTAAACGTGAAGGGGAAACTTAAATTGAAAAAATAATGCTTTAAGAAATGAGCAATGTTCTAGGCCGCATCATGTAGATTACTTTATTGATCGGCCAGTGTTCTGCCTTCCGACTGAAAACACCCACTCTTATGTATGATCAGGGAGAGGGACACATGATAGTTGAGTGTGTTCATTTACTGATGCCAAAGCAGCGCCATACATTTAATATTGTTCATATATTTGTGGTTTCTGTTATAACAGGTCTCTAATCAATTACAAAAATGAATTTATAACTTCAAAGTCCTTTTCTAATCCACATATTGTTGTTGCATAAAAGGTAGGGGACCTAACTTTTACACACATTGTTTGTCCCAACAGAAAGCAAGTACTGTACATTTGGGAACTAATTAAACCACAGTTATTCATATTGTGAGAAACAATTTTATATTTTTCATAGTTGTAAGAAAGAGGCCTGTGACTCACTATTTGACGCTTTGTGCTAAGATTTGATTGGCTGCGTAAATGATCCTGTTTTTCACATTTCTGTAAAAAAAAAGATTTGTGACAGAAGCCACAAAATACAGGCTTGTGACAACTAGTGACGAAACTATACCGGATTTTATTACATTGCTCCATTTCTTACGTTAAAAGTCAAGTACCCCAGCTTTAATCGAGCAGCGCTACATCAAAGTACATCCTGCATTGCTCTAACACACAGTGATTCTGCATGCACAGTTGCACACATGCAGAGACATGGAATCAAATAGATTTAGATTTGTCACCACCACCCCGCATGACCCAGAGCATGCAACAGCAACAATAAGTACTCACCTATTAACAGCTAAATGTTAGCCTTTTGTCAACATTTAGCTTTTTTGGGACTTAAAACCACTGGAGGCAACCATAAAAATCTCCACTAAAATATCAATTAATAGACAAAGAAGTTTCTTGAGTCTTTAATCCGTGTCAGTAAAATCCCATTAAGATTCAATAGTTGAAAATCAAGTCCATTAGAAAATGTTGAAAAATGATTTATAGAACAGTTTTTGTTTTAACTAATGAGAGACCAAATCCAAGTTTAAAAGGTAATTCCAGAAGAAGACAGCTATATCCAGACAGTCTTTAACGCAGCTCGCTCAAAGTCCCACTTTCCATTTGCTTCATGTAGAGGAAAGGCATAAAACCCCTTTAGGAAAAAATGTGGAAATATACAAAAAGAAAAGAATAAGGGTATGAGTTTAGTGGTTCACAATCCCTAAACATCACTTAACGTTCTCTACTCCACAGGAAGCTTTATTCTATTCACTCCTTCTAAATAACAAGTACTTTTGACTTGACTAAAAGATAATCAATGTGAAATTAAACTGATTGTATCTCAGTTTGGATGAGATGGCTGGGATGTGTTTAAAGGGGTTCCATCTTGACGCCACATGATGATAATTGAAAAAAAAAAAAAAAGATGGAAGAAAAATATTAGCAAGTATCCTTGGATTTTTGTTTTTCCCCAATTAGTCTCTAGTCCATGCTTTGTGAGTGGTGGTATGGGCACAAATGACAAATCTGTTCAGAGAGATGGGGGGCAGAGAGGGAGAGAGAGGAAGAGCGAGAAAAGAGGGCACCGCAACATAGGATGGACAGACTTGGTTATAAAAAGAAGAAATTAGGCACAGCTTGACACTCCATGTGGTAAACTTTGGAACTTAAACTTGTAAATGTTTCATGGAGGCATGTGTGTATGCAGAATTTGACACTTCTTGACAAGACAGAACACGAATAAACCAAACATGTAAAACAGGGCCAAAATAGTTTTTAATGGGGCGTATCATGTAACGCTGTGGGGTGTTTAAATGATGACTTAATTGCTTGATGGTACACTGTTGACAAAAATGGCGGACTATCAAACGCTAACGGAGCCGTGACGTGACGATGACATGGCATGAGGCAATGATAAGCTGAGCGCTGGATGGATCGTAAGCCATGGTTCTCCACAAGCTCCAGTGTGTAGGCCACAAGTGGGTGGGTGCTTCACAGACCCCACACAACACAAAACAAGACGCCGAGACACACACTAAACACTAAGTAGACCTACCTATGATTAGCATTTAAGAATCGCCCCAAAAAGATGCATTGGATGGGAGGAAAAAAGAGAAGGGGGTAAAAAAGTGAAAAAAGAGAAAACACAAACAGGCCAACTGACAAGTCTAGTTTAGGATTTAATGGGAGGATGTGAATAAACGGGTGGGTTTAAGTACCAGTCAAGTAGATAAGTAGTCAAAGTTTTCGGTGCACAGGAAGAGGAGCGGCTAAGAGATGGAGGGGGGAGCGTGGGCTGCACACGGATAGAAAAAGCTGGAGTGACAGCGATGGAGCGGAGGAGAGGAATGAATGAATGAACAGGGAAAGAAAAGAGGAGACAACGGGGGTGAAAAAACCCGTCCTCTTTGTCTTTTCTTCTGTCTCTGTCTCTCTGCCTGTCTCTCCCCTCCTTATCAGGCTCATAAATAGAAGAAATTGTTGACCAGGTAAATGGCGAAATAGATGAGAAGACAGAGGACCGACAGAGCAAGCAAATGAAAAGGTAAAGCACCTCCCAGCAGCGCAATGAGGAAAAAAAAGAACAAAAAACGAAAGATAAAAGCAAATACTCCAGTGGCCTCCGTTGTCTACAGTCTCTTTGTGGGTAGGGGGATTGGCTGTTGCCAGTTGGTCCCCTTCCCTCACTGCCTTCTGCTTTCTTCTGTCTCTCCTCCCAAAAAAGACTTCCCATCCAGATGAGAAAGGCAGGCACAGGCGCCCTTTCGGCTCTCAGCTCTGCTCTGAAGAGATGTGCCACTCACACAGGTTAGACATTGTTGCAGCTGTAATGCACAGGATTACCAGTATTGCTCAGTGAGGGGGAAAAAAGGCATTGGAGCTGCTGCTAGTCAAGCGCTGGCTGCCTCATGAGGACGGATACTGAGCTGGAATCACTCTGTCTCCCCTCTCCCTCCCATCCCTGAAAACGATGGGAGGAAGGGAGGTAGGCCCACTCACTGCATTAGTATTCATTGAGAGAGTGTAAAAGGGAGGGAGGGACCTGGAGGAGAGGGGTGCATCCAACAAATGTCTAAGAACCAAACCATACTTACTGATAACAAACTGGCTCCCCCTAGAGTCAATCATAAATTCTTATACAGCTCTTATCACTGGAATTAAAGGAGTTGTCAAGCCAAAATCATCTTAGATATGACTACACCTATTTATAATAGTATTAACTGAAAGGAGGACTAAAATATGTCGCAAATATGCGGTTTGAATAATGGATACTTTTACCACCAGACGAACTTGTACCACTGTAGTTTTAGAAATAAATTGTGTTCACATGGTAACCATATTGTAAATTAGTCTCCTTAAAATAACCCTAAAATAGATGTTTTGATATCATAAGAAGAACTTTCACACGTAGGTACCACTGACACAGCTTTAACAAGAATCAAAAGAGGCATCACGTACAATGCCCCCTGTAAATATGTATTAGCTAATAATAATTAACACACAACGTCCTCGCTTTAAATGCTAACACATGTGTGCTAGCTCATTAAAATCAAAAAGTTATTTTTAATCAAATGTTATGCTGTTATTAATGGTGTTTCATCAAGGTAAAAATGCAAGCTGTCTACGTAAATGTTAAAGTTAAAGTGTGTTTAAAGTTGTATATACCTTGACCAAACGAAACACCTGTGCAGAGAAGTCCCAAGTCCGCAGTCTTTGCCCCACTGACCCACTCACGTCTATCTGGCGCCCTCTCGTGGCCACGCTCTCCACGTGCGTCAGTGATGCCTGAACAGTCCATTGATTCTCTCGTTCATGAATGTGCAGGACATCATAGATAAAGATGTGGAAATCACACACCGGACACAAACAATGTGTGTTTCACTACAGTTTAGAAATATTAAAAATATGAAATCAGACACGTCCCATCCAATGTAGCATCCATTCAATATAGGCTGTTTATTGCTGGATTCGTCAGGGGTTTTCCTTTGGACTGTAAAGTTTTTTCCCCTGTTTGTTGTTGTTTGTGGTTCTTTGACGTTATCTTCGGAAGTGGGTGACTCAGCCGCTCAGCCCAGGTCGCGTCTGGAAAGTCTGGCAACCCTGAAGATATCGCGAGGCTCTGAACACCGCAGCTACATGTGTCTGACGAGATGGCCTCAACAACTCTGTCTTCGCCCTTACGAGTCTTTAGGGGAATTCTAAAAGAACTCCGCGCTGTACAGGGGCCATCATACAGAAAAGCCCTTGCGTATAATTATGTGGTGGATCAGTTCCGTAAAAATAAGGTGAATTACTTTTCTCATAGCTAAATTACCATTAGTGTGTTGTGTTTTGGTCCGATGTGCTATTGCTAACATTAGCACTCCTACATTAGCTATAGCCTTCACTGCTGCGTTTTACATAATAATGAATCTGTTATGTTGGTTCCTGCATACTACCATGAACAACCGGATTTACAAACTCAAATAGCACGGAGAGCGGGATGTTGACACGATTGAATCAGTGGGACCATTTAGAACCGTGCCTTCAAGGTTACGTATGGTAATGTAGAATATTACTTTTGATTCAACATGAAATTCCAATTTGAGTTTATTTTTTTAAACCTTTGTCGTGTAAAATTAACCTTTTAACTGTTAAACTAAGGATTAATGCGTGGAGTGGCCAAGGAGAAATGCGAGAAGTTTACGCACCGAGCAGGGTTCTAACTATGGCCCGGGGGCCAAATACTGCCTCAAACATAAACATGATGGTGTATTGAATAATTTAGCACTTTGGTTTGTCTCCCAATTACGTTTTTCTGTAATTTAGTTGTCTAAAAGGCATACAGCCAGTGAATTTGTTATTTCACCTTGTAGGATAGTGATTTCAACCGCTTGATATGTGATTGAATCATCTTGGAGAGATAGATTATTCTTTTGTCTGAGGCCTTTACCTTTCTTCACAACACGTAATGTAATACAAAGTATATCATAGCACTACTTATTTGTTATTATTTGAGTATTTTATTATTTAATTTCCAATTGGTGGAATTAGGGAGGGGGGCACACTTTTATTATGGCTATTACTGTGTTTGAAGCACAATTCAATGTATATGTTGCATAAAATTGACTATTCTATTCCATTGAAATGTTCTCAAATGCTTGCCTTTCTTTACACTGAAGTACCGTGCTATATCCTCTACATTAGTGCAAAGTATATGCTCAAAGCCTGTGCTGATAATGCTTGAGCGAGCATGGCTCATCATGGGCTTAAATGCATGGGTAGTCATTGAGGCAAAAAGGACTGAGCTTGTCAGTGTATGTTTGTTGCAGTTCACTTGAGGGACCCAAAGGAACACCATTGTAATGTATACAAACAGTGCATGATATAGAAAAGCTAAGCCTTTTAGTGGAGCATCTGTTATACAGGTTTGTTTGTGTACGTGCGCAGGTGCAATGAAAGTTCTATTGTGCATCCTATCAGTCTAAATGATTTGTTCCTGTTTTATTGTTACAGGTAACAGGAGAACGATACTGTAGAGCACAGCAGGAGGCACACCATGCTGCTGACACATACCTTTGTTTATTGTCATCCACAAGAAATCACCTGATCTTGCACAACCTCTACCATGGCAAGGGAGACTGCAGCACAGAACAAGCAGCAGGCCTAGTAGGTCTCCGGTTACCCTCACAGCCAGGGGGAAAAGGCTGGGAGAAATGAGGACATATAAATAAAAACCATATCATCCACCAAGATGGATTTGGAAGACCCATGGACAAATACTACTTTCTTCACGAAATGCAAATCTGATGAAAATATTCAGCTAATGGAAGCCAACATGTCTGTTTAGTTGTGACTTAAATGACTTACTTTTCATGTATTGCAATAAATATTTATTTATATTCACTGTGGTGGTGGTTATTAGCTTAATGTTGCTTTATATTGGTTACGCAATACTTAGATGAATGCCTTAAACACCCTCTGTCACATATGTATCCCATCCATTTGCAGAGTATTCTGTCATCTTTCATTAAATCTTGCTTCATGTTTCACTTCATCTTTATTGTAGTAATTGTGTGCTTATACAGTCTGTGGCTTAAACACATATTTTATTTAATGTGTCCTGGCCTCAAAGCTCCATTTGTTTTTCTAATATGAAATTCACCTTGTTGACTAATGATTTAAGACACTACAACAAACAAAAACAATCTCATACACTATATATTCCATTTTACTTGAATCCAGTGGAATCTTTTTTTATACAACCCTTTTTACCCATTTTGTGCTCTCTCCAGTCAGTGGTGACTTATACTGCCCCCGGTGTGAATGTTAATAGACTAGCCCTAAGCAAGAAAACAACTGCAGAGCATTGCTCACAGACTCCAATGCAAACTGACAAACCTCCAGCATGCAAGAGGCAACAACTGGCTGTTTCATTTTTATTTTTACTCTAGAGTTGGAGTCCTGAAGGTGACTGGTTGTCCAAATGTGGTTTCTGAATGTGACTGTACAGAATAGGAGGCCTGATGACGAAAAGCTACAATGGATACAACGTTCCCTTTTAATGTCAGTGGATTCCTTTGTGTTTAATAAAGCATAGAAAAGTGCCCTGTTCTGTCACATTAAGAGACCGTACGTAGTTGAAAATGCTCACAAGAGTGATGCAAAGCGCGAGGCGGGTAGGACCAAGGGATGAGTGGGCGGAGACAGGCGCATCTGGAGAAGAAACTGCTCAGAGTCCTTCATGAGGGAGGAGGAGATGAACCTGGACCTTTCACTCTGCAGCCAAGGAAATACATAAGTGTAGTTTGACTTTTTCTTAACAGCAGAAACACACAGTGAACACAGGCAATCGAAGGAACAGATTATAGAGGAAACTACGAGGAAAGCGCAGTCAGTTTGGTGAGAGGAGAGGTGACTTAACTGGCCGCTATACAAAATGTTTGGGATGATCAAGAACACGCTCTTTGGAGTCACCGAAGAGACGGAATATAAACTGTTGAGTAGCGAGACCAAGGTGAGTGGTCTACCGGCGTCTGTCACTCTTCCTATTGCATTGGGTTCGCGCGTAAAGGTAACGTTACGCACTGTAATTATAGGTACTGTACAGTTGTTCGGTTTCACTTTGGCATGAATATTTTACGCGTCACTGAATGTTTTATTCGTTTGCTTTTTGTTTGTTTCCGTTGTGTGTTTTGCGGTGATATTATACGCGTTGCAAAGTTATGCGAAGTCTTGTGCGCTCGTATGTGCGTATGGAACGATCGTGAGAAGCGCAGCCTTAAATCACCTGAGCATGAATGCCAGCAAAAGGTCACGGTTTTCATTAGACATTTGCGCCCTTACTGACCCAATAGGAGGCTGTGGTGTAGGTGAGACGATGTTGTGGTCAACCCGGAGAGCTCAGATATAGATGGACTGAGAATTCTACTGGCCGCTATTTGGAGATGGTTGTTCTTCATTTGACATGTATAGTGCGTATGACTCTTATTTCGACCGATTTTGGTGGAATGATTCAGATAAAATGTAAATACAAACGATTGCTTCACATCGACAGTGGCTCAGTTGGTACAGCATTGGCCTCAGAGTCTGATGGTCGTGGGTTCGAGCCCACCACAAGACCTACTTCACGACTCCCACTGATGACTGCTGTCGTTGTGTCCTTGGGCAAGACACTTAGCCCCACTTTGTCTGAAGCCCCTACTGAATAATCCGGGCTCCTGTAGAATTACCACCTGCAGGAGGATTAGTGAGGGGCTGATGCTATGTGTACTGGGGGCAGCTGTGACTGCCACCCCCTGAACCAGAAATGGATTAAGGGGAAGAAAATGAATGGATGTTACACACCAAGACAGCACAGGATGGAAAGGAAATCTATGAATATGATGAAAGTTCCATGGAGTTCTAGAAATTATGACATCATGCTATAGGGACATAAACAGAAACACATTTTTGTCATGATTCACTAAATAGAGTTTTTTTTAAAAATCACACACTAATTTATGACTACACTAGACGAGAGAAGTTTATTACAGTTGCCAGGTAACAGCTCTGTAGTGTTACGTCATCACACAATCACTACCAGTGAAATTAAAACAATTAATGAAAGTAATTCTAAATATGCTCAAACTAGGATTAAACAAAAACAAATATTTAGATAAATCTTAAATGGCACGAGTTAAACATATATAGGATGATTTTACCGAATTTTAGGAAAGAACTTCCCTCCTTAGAGGGAACGCCTATTAAACCATGTCACCAGGATGATTGACAATTAGGAGAACCAAAAGTCTAGATAGATGATCCACCCGGAAGAAGAAAATCCTCCCGTATACCTTAAAGTTTACTATGTTTTGTATAGTCATACAAATGTCTTCTATATGTATATTTTATCTTATATGTGAAAGCCAGATCCTGTCAAACCTCGGAGGCTAAGCAGAGCGGGGCCTGATTACAACAGTGACCAGGTGCCACAGTTTCGGGACTGAGGTTCTAAAATGCCAAACTGCCGTTTTGTCCTAAGGCAAGACACTTCACCGACATTGCCTGAATGAGTCTGGTGTCTGAGTGAATGATTGGTTGTGGTCGGAGGGGCGGATGGTACAGACCAGTTGCCTTTAGGCAAGAATATGGGATCAGAGGGCCCCAGGGCAGCTGTGGCCCTAGTAGTAGCTTATCAACAACTCCCCAGTAGTATTCAGTGAATAAATAATGCCATGTAAGTAAGTTAAGAGTACAGGATCAATGTCAAAGTTGATCCTGGACTGTTAACCCTAACCCTAACCACGTAATTAAGAATCCAGGATTAATGTCAAAGTTGATCCTGGACTCTTACCTCTAATCTATAATCCAATGACCCCTGAGTGGCTTCTATAACACTGATCCAGGGCAAACAACTTTGACATGGATCCTGGACTCTTAAGTACTGGATGATATCGTGTCCTGTGATACGCACTTTCAAAACATTGCTAAGGATGTGTTGTCTTCATCCTAATCCAATGACTCTCGCTTATTCTCTCTAAAATACCTGAAAAAATGTATAACATTTCAAATTGGATTTGTCTGAATACCCTTTGGAGTACAAACAAAGAAAACAGAGAATGATCAAATTCCAAAGTTTACCCATGATTTTTCCATTCACTTCACTCTCGATGATGAGTGGAGTGAATGGTGCATCTGACCAACACATTAAATTCACTGACTCATTACTTTCAGACCTATTGTACCTGTTTTTTGTGATAGGGGAAACGGGAGCACCCGGAAGAAACTTACACAGGCATGGGGAGAACATGCCATCTCCCCACGGACAGGCCCTGTCTGGAGGTTTTTGCAGAAAAATTGTCTTAGAGACCTAAATTAAAACTAAAAAGTCCTGGCAGAAGACATTTAAAATACCCACACGTGTAACATAAATATTACTTTTGAGTTTGGCATAAGAACAGGTCCTGATTGATTCGACACAGAGATGTGGTCGGGATAAGAAAAAAACTCATGATCTTTGGTAAACCATGTGAGTCTACATGACTATTCTATTCTCCGTTGACCTATAAAGTGCATTGTTGGGTGAACTGAAAACCTAAATCTTGTTTGTGAAATAGGGCAAACTGGGAGACTTAAAGAGGCCAACCAAAGTGACCAGACACGCAGGGAATCAAGTGACTAAAGTGACTCATTAACACTTGGACTCACAGAAACAACACAGCTGCAATTACAAGCCTTAAAAAAACTCCCATAACACTCACTCACAAACATTGAATAATTGAGGAGGTGAACTGTGAGAGCAAACTAAAAGTAACCCATAGGTAATACATAAATAGATTATTTTTACCAACCACCACATCGACATCAGGTCCTAAACAGGACTTTCCAGTGTCGAAATGTGCTTTGAAATGATAATTTGTTCTTAAATAGTACCCAAGCATACACTGTGTATGTAGTTCTTAATGATTATAACTAAGTAAATGTGGGTGGAATAAATAACTCCAAAGCTACAAATAATTTAACATTAGCAGAGAACATGTGCACATACCAGTTTCCCACACTATTATTAGTTTCATAAAGGGCCAAATCTGGAGTCTTAACTTATCTAAACAGCAGGTATTGAAATCAGAGCTCGTCACCTGATCAGTGAAGCACCTGCCTGATGCTGTCACCCAACACTCTTAATTAAAACTGACACTACAGTGTCTGACAGCTCCCTTGCACACATTCCAGGCGAAATCACAGCTGAACAATGCAGATATAACAGTTCGATTTGGCTGCTGCAGAAAGAAACTTCAGGAGGATGGTGTGAAAAGTTCTAGATGACACCCTTTGAGTGTAGAATTATTACTATTATTATAAACGCGAGCACAGCACAGACGACTCATGATTGACACATAAATTGCTCTGCTTAACCAGATTCAGGCTCAGCTTTCGCTCCATGTCAGCGTTCACAATGCTAATGATGGTCCCACTGACAACAGCCTATGTAATTATCATGAATAGTGGCCTACCTGTCAAACTACAGCAAAGAACAGGATGTTAACAGCTCTAGTTAGAAGCATTATTATAATAGAGCTAGTCTGATATATTGCCCAAGAGGAGTTCAGCATTCAGGACCAGATTGTACTCGTCTGGTTTTCCAAATTGCTACCTGTGCATATTTTTCCTACATTTGTTTGTGTTTAACCCGTTAATTGTTTCCTCAACCATGTGGATCACTCGTTCAGTCACTATATATCTATGTCTTGGTTTTAGGTCTTGGTTTTAGGCACTTTTACTTTCAAACTGCATCTCAACCATCTGGTAAAAGCCTATAAAGAAAAAATAAGTATTTTTTGTGTTGTTAGTGCTCCTACATCTTAGGGGGAAAAAAGAAAAATGTACATTGCTTTCTTCTTGAAATTCACATGAAAGGGTTAAAGATCATATCTACACATTTGCCATGTAGTAAGCTAAAGGTGGAAACAGTTCAATAGATGTAGACAAAACAAATCTAGCTGAAGTGAAAATTCAGATTGAAACACTGGATTATCTCCCATAGTCACTATCTCACTTACTTGAATTACCTTCATGGCTGCATATGAACAATTCCTCACAGTGTCTGCATTAAGCTGCTGTTTGTGCCGCAACCCACCTCCTCCCTGTCACCACCTCATTAGTGGAGGAATCACATGTCATCATCTCAGTTTCCACCCCCACCCTCGAGACCCCAGAGGTACTAGACTCTTATAATCTATTCATTCCTTCTTGAACACGTCAAGCAATTTTTCTCCCGAGGTCTAATCACAAATGCACAACCAGGCTGTCAGAATATATCATGCAGTAACAATATTTTTAATTGACTACAACTAATACTGTACATATCTGTACATATATGATGAAATATTACATGCCTGAAATGTCATTATTGCATGTTGTTGGTAAACAAAACAGTGCCTCCTGGCTTCTGCGTGTGTGTGTTTCATAAATACTGTTGCATCATCTTAACATTGTGTATGGGAGCTGGACACACATGTGTCGGTTATGTAAGACCTTCATTCATTAATTGTTGTGGGTGTATTCATATGTTCTTTGTTGACTAAACCTTGTGGGAGAAATGAAGAAGTCAGTTTCAGTGAATATGTGAGTTATTATGCATTTTGTTGTGTCCTCAACTCAAGTACTGAGTCTCTGCCCTGAAGCAGCCTGTCAGCAGCCATTTGTCAGAGGTGAATCATGTATGACTATGTATGACTAGGTAACAAAACAATTAAAATGTGTCCTATATTTACATTTACTTTATTTTCACTCCAATTTGTGCCAAGGATGGTGTAAGCTTTGAGACGAGACGATACGATGCCTCCAAATATGCAGTTGTGTCTTCTGAGGGTCGAACCTTTGACCAAGTTAGCGGCGAGTTGATGAGAAAGCTTCTCATGTACATCGGAGGAAGCAACGAGCCAGGTAAGAGAAACGTCTTCTTTTTTTTATTATTATTATTTCAAATCAGAAAAAAAATAATAGTTAGAGGGAATAACTATATATTATTCCTTATATGCTACTTGTTGTCTTGTAGAAATGTGGTCAAAGACTAGAAAGGGGATCAAATAGTTTCTAATTCATTAGAAATGTGTGTCAGTGACAGTTTGTCAAAATGTTCTCTTATTCCCCTCAAGGTGAGGCCATGGGCACAGCCACTCCCATCATCATCACTGTTTACCCGCGGAACGATGGAGTTTTATCCCGGCGTTTGGTGGCAGGGATTCGCATCCCCACGATGTACCAGCAGGCCCCACCTCCTCCCACAGACACCTCCATTCGTATCGAGGAGCGACCAGGAATGACCGTCTATGCTCTGTAGGTCTTTCTGTGACGTATTGGAGAAACATAAAAATGGACATAATGGAACCAAATATTGAAGACATAAACAATAAAAAATACAAACTCTCCATATTGTAATCAAACAGAATAAAGGCTGTATTTGCTACGAAAAGATAAGTCGGTCTCAGAAGTCCCAAAAAATTAAAACTTATGAATTGAGCATTTGATCAGCCATAACAATTGTGAGTACAATCCATGTATTTTTATTTTGTCTTGACAGACAGTTCGGGGGCTTTGCTGGAGAGATTGAGTACCGGGCAGAGGCCTTACGTTTGACACGTACTTTGGGAGAGACAGCACCCTTCCAACGTAAACAGTACTTCTGCTGCAGCTTCGACCCACCACTAAAGCCTTATGGGCGTCGAAATGAAGTCTGGTTTCTACAAGAAGAGCCGTAGACACACTGGACGCAGCTCAAACCACTCTTTACTCACCAAGGCAGTGTATTTACAGCATGTATGTGACATCACAGAACTCTACTGACTCTGCTACAGAATGGAACCTATGAGCTCATACTGTTTTACTCGTTTAAAGATTTAGGTTCTTCCAAAAAAAAATGTTTTCCATGAATCTAAGTCTGATTCATGAAAGTAGTTGCAAATCAGATAGGAAATTTAGTGAAGACATTGGTGAGTAACAAACAAATACACAAATTCTGATGGCTTAACAAAAGGCCAATTTTGTAGTTTCAAAGTTACCCTAAACCTTTGAATGGTTGTGTATATTTGTAGTGGTAATGTGGTAAAGCACATTCTTCTTCCCAGGATATATTGTATATAGGAATTGAGCCATAATATGTAATTTTTGTTTTGAACTGTGAATAAAATAGTTGTAAATCGCTGACCACAATATTTGTGTACAGCGATGTGTGTTAAATGGATGTTGCCATTTTAATTTTGATGAATGGTTATGATGTAATGCAATATCTCAGTGTGACTTACTGTGTGGTTAAGTTAACTTCAAATCTATGTCACAACTTTTGGCTTGTGTGGCTTTTGTGGTGTTTTTGTTGTTGCTGGAGTTCACTTTTGTGACACAAGGGTATACTATTGATTTGTGATCCCTCACAAGGAATACATGCCAGCATTTATCCCCTTCAAGCAAAGCAGCTGGGGAAACCTGTCAAGAGCTGGATCCGCACTGCACACATAACTCGTCTTCAGATTGAGCTTTGCTTTTTCAGGACTGGATTTGAAGGATTGTAGTCATAGATTTGTGTTCATAGTGATAACCCACCCAGACAGAAGTGGAAATATGCAAACCCAACACAATAAAAATGTTTCTGAAAGTAAAGTAATTCTACAAACCCAATCCTCACTATTACTTATATTAATCATTGTAGAAGGATGCACACAAGTAGTCTATGAGATGTACAAGTCTTCCATAAATCTACAATTGGCAAAATCAAAAGGTTAATATTTACCTTAGTTGGTAGGGTATAACACACACACAGAGTATAACATACAAAGAAGCCAGAGCATGTAGTAAGGTACTGTTTATTTGATTAAACAATCCAGAAATAGCAAAAGGCCAAGCAAAAACAAAATATAAGTTGAGCCATTACCAAGCATTACATAAGGTAGGTTTTTCTTAATTTAATATGAAAAATGTTAAATGTCACTTCAGTAGCATCACTCTCCACTGTAATGATACATTAATGACAAGGCCATAACAGGCAGGGCCTTGTAACCCCACACTGGTGTACTTCCACAAAGACATGGGTTCTGTTTCAGCTTGGGTTTGCATACTTGAAGGCTTCAAAATGCTTGAACTGACTAAGGGCCAGTGTATGTACATACAGTAAATTACAATTCTCATTTACCCATTTCAATTAGTTTAATACGTTATTTTAATGAAATACTTGTTGGCCCACTGGACTCTATTCACTTCTGAAGAGATTACATCAGATCTGTTTGAAAAGATGTGAACTCACCCAAGTGACAACTGGACCAGTGCACACTTGGTGCCTTCACATCACACAAACCAAAGCCAACTCAATATGAAAGCACCCTGTGTCACATCATGTATGAGAGGAAATCTGTACAAAATGCTTTATTGGCAAAGTATACAAATATTATAATAACCATCTATGTTAAATCTACAAGTAATGTTCAATAATATATAATGGTTTAGGAAAATACCCAATATCATAATTTGTATTAGTTTTCAAAAATCAAATCAATTATTTAATTACACACTTATATATTTATGAAAATTGATCTACAGATCGATGTGGAAAGGCACACACTTCTCAGTGTGCATCGGCCTTAAGATTGCACTTCTCAAAAGGTCATATTGATCCCAATAACCCTTTTTATTATGACTCCATCATGCTGGTGATTTCTATATTAAAAGCAGAAAAGTAAAGTCTTTGCAGCCCTTTTAATTATTTTTCTTGTCAGGAGCGTTTGGTGCATATGGGGGTGGTCGCTCCTGTGGAAATATTTTGCAATTAGCAGTTTTTTGTTGTTTGATGATCATCACATGCAAGTCAGCTTACCGTGGGCATGTAGACAGTGTGGGGATTGTTGGGATCATAATATGCACTGGCAGCTGCTTCAGCTGCCTTGGCATTTACTGTAGGAGAAGATAAAAAAATCATTATTTTTGTCAAGTTCTTAGTTATACAGGAATTCATAAAATGAATTATGTAATATAAAAAAAAAAAAAAAAAAAAAAGTATATAAATATATATAGTGCCTTGCAAAAGTATCCGGCCCCCTTGAACCCTTCGCCACATTTCAGGCTTCAAACATAAAGATATAAAAATTACATTTTTTGTCAAGAATCAACAACAAGTGGGACACAATCGTGAAGTGGAACAAAATTTATTGGATAATTTAAACTTTTTTAACAAATAAAAAACTGAAAAGTGGGGCGTGCAATATTATTCGGCCCCCTTGCGCTAATACTTTGTAGCGCCACCTTTTGCTGCAATTACAGCTGCAAGTCGCTTGGGGTATGTCTCTATCAGTTTTGCACATCGAGAGACTGGAATTCTTTCCCATTCTTCCTTGCAAAACAGCTCGAGCTCAGTGAGGTTGGATGGAGAGCGTTTGTGAACAGCAGTCTCAGCTCTTTCCACAGATTCTCGATTGGATTCAGGTCTGGACTTTGACTTGGCCATTCTAACACCTGGATACGTCTATTTGTGAACCATTCCATTGTAGATTTGGCTTTATGTTTTGGATCATTGTCCTGTTGGAAGATAAATCTCCGTCCCAGTCTCAGGTCTTTTGCAGACTCCAACAGGTTTTCTTCCAGAATGGTCCTGTATTTGGCTCCATCCATCTTCCCATCAATTTTAGCCATCTTCCCTGTCCCTGCTGAAGAAAAGCAGGCCCAAAGCATGATGCTGCCACCACCATGTTTGACAGTGGGGATGGTGTGTTCAGGGTGATGAGCTGTGTTGCTTTTACGCCAAACATATCGTTTTGCATTGTGGCCAAAAAGTTCGATTTTGGTTTCATCTGACCAGAGCCCCTTCTTCCACATGTTTGGTGTGTCTCCCAGGTGGTTTGTGGCAAACTTTAAACAAGACTTCTTATGGATATCTTTGAGAAATGGCTTTCTTCTTGCCACTCTTCCATAAAGGCCAGATTTGTGCAGTACACGACTGATTGTTGTCCTATGGACAGACTCTCCCACCTCAGCTGTAGTTATCTGCAGTTCATCCAGAGTGATCATGGGCCTCTTGGCTGCATCTCTGATCAGTCTTCTCCTTGTTTGAGATGAAAGTTTGGAGGGACGGCCGGGTCTTGGTAGATTTGCAGTGGTCTGATACTCCTTCCATTTCAATATAATTGCTTGCACAGTGCTCCTTGAGATGTTTAAAGCTTGGGAAATCTTTTTGTATCCAAATCCGGCTTTAAACTTCTCCACAACAGTATCTCGGACCTGCCTGGTGTGTTCCTTCGTCTTCAGGGTTCTCTCTGTGCTTTAAACAGAACCCTGAAACTATCAAAGAGCAGGTGCATTTATACGGAGACTTGATTACACACAGGTGCATTCTATTTATCATCATCAGTCATTTAGGACAACATTGGATCATTCAAAGATCCTCACTGAACTTCTGGACTGAGTTTGCTGCACTGAAAGTAAAGGGGCCGAATAATATTGCACGCCCCACTTTTCAGTTTTTTATTTGTTAAAAAAGGTTAAATTATCCAATAAATTTGTTCCACTTCACGATTGTGTCCCACTTGTTGTTGATTCATGACAAAAAATATTTTTTTTATATCTTTATGTTTGAAGCCTGAAATGTGGCGAAGTTTTGAAAGGTTTGAGGGGGCCGAATACTGATAGAATAACCCCACTGATATATATATATATATATATATATATAAAAATTATATTATATTCTATTCAGGTAAAGAATCTCTTTTTCCAATAGTCTTCTTGACAAGAGGCAATAAACATGATTAAACTACACAAGATATCAAAGGAGTTCTTGCACAGCCGAAAACAAGTAAGGAAGAAAAAGTGACCTTTGTCGATGATGTCGTCTGATAAGAGCATAAGAGACATCAGTAGCCAATTTTTTATGTTCTTGTGTTTGTTAACAATTCACACTGAGGCGGAAAAAATAAGATCTGACAGGAGTAGTGACACAGAAAAGAAGAAAAACACATCAACAAAACCTGGAGCTGTAGGGGCTGGTGTTGTCCAGTTCTGTGGAGGGCCAGGATATGGGGGTGGAGCCATGTAGTCATAACCAGTTGGGAACATTCCTACAAACATAAATAAATATGAGCATTACTTTTTATACTATGAAGAAATACTCCTGATTTTAAAATGTTGAAAGAAATGCTTACAATGACATGTACTGTAAAATAGAGTGCATCTACCTGGAGCAGGAGGAGGATATGGATACGCCATGTTTCCAGCGGTAGTTGGGGGAACTGGGTAGTAACCATTAGGCTGAGGGGGCCCTGGATAAGGATAGGCCGGAGATGGCGGGCAATAAGAGTTCATCATTACTGGTGAGGGATAACCAAATGCAGCAACCCCATTTTGAGCGAGTGGGGCACGAGAAGCTAGAAATGGGAAAACAGAAAAGGTTGATCCACAAATTGACATTAATTTATTTGAGCAGGGAAAATGCAGATTAATTCACATATCTGTAAATGTGAATTTTCAGAATGTTAATTAAGCTACTGTTTTAAACTGGGTGAGGTGTGGAGATGCCATTAATAACCATATACATAAGTTATGTAATAATTAAGAAGACAAACTTACCATGTGTGGCCAATTTAAAAAGATATTGTCCAAAATCAATGGCTCCACCAGACATAAAAGTCATTTTGAATTGAGCTGTGCCCTCCCAGCCACCTAGATGAGATTTCAATAATATAAAAATTACAATAATCTTCAATCAAGCCTGATGTGCTTCACAGCAGCAGCTACAGAATATTCAAGTTTATAATTAGACCGTTGGATTCTTCACAATCCAACATTTTCTTCATTTTGAAGAAAATGTTGGATTGTGATTTAAAGACCTTATGACGGGTTTTAAAAAAAAAAATAGTGGATATCAAAATTGCATGACAATGTCAATTTGAAAGAGATTCCGGCAAAAAAAATCCTATATTTTATAAAAAGAACGTGTTTTTCATTAATTTAAGTTGTCTATGCTCTAACCTGTGTGTGACGTCATAGCGGGTTACGCCCATGCATTGAAAACCATGGATCTATGCCACAGGACTGCCTTTTCTCTCTTCTCTCCACTGGTGCCCAACACAATACTGCACTCTACAGGTGACAATTGCTCACTACACATAAATTGCCGTTTTGAGTGTGAAAAAGTGTCCAAGGTGGGATTTGAACCCGAGTATCTGAATTGGCAGTCCAGCGACACAACCACTGGACTATCTCAATGACAACGATTTGTTACATTCTAGTAGTTATCTCAGAATCGCTATACACGGCCTTGTCATCTTGAATATCCGCGAAAAAGAACGAATACCAAATTGTAAACAACTTAGAGCATTGAAACGTACCCGTTCTGACGTCACCAAGGGCTGTGAAGTTTTTTCTTTTGCTATGGGGTTATTTCGATTTGGGGGGATCAGACAAAAAAAACAACAACTGATTTTGAAACCTTTAGTAGTTCTCTTCTAATATAAAATAGTATTAAAACTGTATTTCTAAATAAATCAAACCCGTCATAAGGTCTTTAAAGAGCGGGAAACAGAGGGAAGGTGTTTGACACTGGCTTACCTCCATATTCAGCCAACACATTCCCTTTAATGTAATTGGCTCCAAAGACTGGCTGTTCAATACTGCATCCTTTCATCAGATGATAAGGGAACATGGCCGAAACAAAATTATCCTTAGCATTATTGGAGACGAATACCAACTGAAAGAAATACAAATAAGTGTTCTTATGTGGTCTCATTTGCACCGTGTGATTTTAATAACAACATACCCTGTATGGAGTGAGGTACACATTGCCCTTTTTGGCTCCTTTTAACAGATCTGCTTTGGTTTTGACATCATTGAGCGACAACTCCACATTCTTACATTCCCGGACAATGCTAAAACAAAGGAAACAATAGTGATTCAGTTTTTACATTTGTGATGCAAGGTAACAGTTATGAAACCCAGTTAAAGCAAGGCTGAGCCATCATGTTAAGTAAAGTGCTCGTCTTTTATAAATACAAATAAAAAAAATGATAAAAATCATCCAAGTTTGGCCTTATTTTGTTTTATATATTTAGTCAAAATAAGACAATCATAAAAATAGTTTCCTCTTTGTTGTTGGTTGTATCCTATAATATACCCATGGTTGTATCCCGTTTGGCTTGCTAGCCTTAGCATTAGTCAACGCCTAACTTGTCCGACAATTTCGAGATACAACTATCTAGTTGTCACACAGCTTCCCACGCAGGACAAGGCGTGAATTCCTGGTTTAACAGCTACATTTAGTTTGACTACATAACAATCATCCAACTGTTAACGATAACGCTAAGCTAGGCTAGCTACACGCATTTGGAAATAGATAGAAAAGCAATATGAAATATCGTAAACGTTCTAACTGCATATTCATTCATACGCAGAAATCACGCACCTTTCGCCATTGTTAATCAAAACACCTCCATTTTGAGAATGATTACGATTTAAAGCCATGTTGAAGAGAAAGGACTCATCTGTTGCTTGATCCAAACACAGGACTGTCCGCTGACGTCACTGCTCCAGCTGACTGCACGGGACGCTGCGTCACGCAAAACATGACCACATACAGTTTTTATCTGTAGTTGTTTTAAAACAACAGGGCGAAGGCTATAATCAGAATGGCTCAAATACCGCCCGGTTTTGGCTTCAAACCTTAGCTAAAAAATACATCTTTATATGTTCATACAAGCTGATAACACTACCGAGTAAAAGAAACACAAGCTGTTCGCAGTTTACACTAATTCATGATTGCCACGTGACCCTCGTTAGTGTAATTTTAGTCTGACAATGATGTGTCCATTGAAGGCTTCATAAAATCTATTGTCTAAAGATATGTTTCCTTACTCTAAAAAAAATGTCTTTATTTTTGTTATTATTATATTTGGTGCGAGGTGTTTTTCATTCGAGAAGAGTAAACCCCACAGGAGGAAAAAACTCGCATTACCTGCGGTTACATGTTCTAGTGAAAGAATAAAAGCTGTGTTTGGTTCCCATGTCAGCAAGAATGTAGCAGCTAAAGGTGAGTGAAGTTTCTGTCACTACTTATTTGGATTGGAAATGGTTTCATTTAATTGTTCTCGCAGATGCTACAGGTGTGGTCATCCCACTGCCTGAAAATGAGGACTTCTGTGGAGTCAAATTGATCACAGAAAGGAACAATGGTCTTGTGCTTTTGAGCAAATATGACAGCTGTTTTGCCATTCACCAAGTAAGATGGGTATTACACTCTAACTTCAAAACAAATAATAATTAAAAAAAACCTTTTTCATTTCATCATTAGGACAAAGCCGTAGTAATTCATTTACATGTCCAACTGAAAGGGGAAGAACAATGGTACAGGGTGAATATCAGTTGCCCTTTGATAAGGAGACACAGTGCTAGGATGATTTCGTCTCAAAACGGTGAGTACTTGGGTATAATTTTAATAAAAGCTATTCTTTTTTTGATCTGTGATCGTTTTGCCAGCTTTAGAGGCAGAGTGCAATACCCACAAAGATTTGAGGGTGGATTGTGGTTACCAGGGAATAAAAAGTGAGGACTGCTACAGACTTGAATGTTGTTATGATGATCATGATGATGATTGCTTCTACAAACTCAACTGTAAGCCATACTTATTCAGCTCACTAAAGTGTAAACATACTAACATTTATTTTCTTCTTTAGCCTGTTCACTAGACCGACACTTTGTGTTTACTGTCACATCAGCAGACACTGGCTATTCCATTCCTCTGAGCAGCCTGGTGATTAAGGATCATCCAGAGTGTGTTCCTGCCATTACCACTCCAGACACATCTGTTTTTAAGATTGGACTGATGCAGTGTGGGGCTGAAATAAAGGCAAACAGTTCTTTGTTTTAATACATTTTACAAATGGATGATAATATTTGTTTTTTAGGAAGAGGGAGACATGCTGGTCTCTAAACTTAATGTTACAGATGACATGGATTCTTTATTTAGGTAAAACTCACAATTAATGTAATGATTATCATCGAAAGTAATTACTTTGTGTTCAGTCTTGAGGTTTCCTGCGAGTATGAGCTTTCAGAGTTGAAAAAAAGTAAAGATTTGCACACTTTACCATTGCCGACCAATCCACCTCCTGCTGTGGCCTTTGGAAATGTTGAGGTTCAAATGAAAATAGCAAGAGGTTGGCATTATTAAATTGCATATTTGTTTTAAATTTTAATAACCATATTACTTGTGCTTCTAGATTCCTCTTTTACATCCTTCTTTCAAGAAGACGAGCTTCCAGTGACCCTACCACTGCGTGAAAATGCTCATGTAGAGATATCTTTTGTACAGCCACCCTCAGACTCCATGCTTTCCCTCCGTGTTAGAGAATGCTCTGCCTACCCAGAAAACAAAAATTTTGTTTGGAATCTACTTTATGACGGGTTTGTTGAAATGCCAAGACTACGGTTGTTGGCATTTCACTATCTTAAATCAATGATTATAACTTATTGCAGCTGTCCTAACCCTCTGGACGATATGCAAAGCTCTATTCCTGTGGACGATCAGGGAAAGATTGCCTTTCACTCTCAAGTGAGGAGGTTTACTGTAAAGACGTTCACGTTTTTGGATCCTCAAACAGGCCATCACAGCACGGACCAAGTATGAATTGGTATGCTACTATTCTCATCTATGACACGTTCTATAACTCATTTCTATTCATTAGGTTTACTTCTATTGTTGGGTGGAAATTTGTACTGAAAATTTAGAATGTGCCCAGTACTGCTCCATCACTTGTGAGTACAATTTATTACATAGACTAAACTTCATTGTTTAAACTCAATGCTTGCCTTACAGCTTCAGATAAAGAAAGACAAAGAAGAGAGGCTTCATACACTTCTGATCATCTAAATCTAATTTCTTTGGGACCACTGCTTGTCGGACAGAACGATACGGATGTGAAAGACAATTCATGTCGGAAATCTCAGAAAAGTATGCTATAATGATCATATTGTTGGCTGTAAATGTAACTCAACCTTGTTTTAGTGTTTCAGGTGACTCTTTATATTTTCTCTGGAGTTGGAGCTGCTCTGCTACTGATTTTGCTTTTTGTGGCATATACACACCTCAGATGCCCAAGAAGGGTTCAGGCTGTGGATGTGCAAATTCATACATAATTCAATAAATGGCTCCATTTCATGTTTTTAATTGTATTATTAGGACAAAAAGATTCATACAATCCATATTTAAACAGTTCAAAAGAAAATGACCATTTTAATAAGGTTTAAACTTCCTCTGTGCCCTCAACAGGGCTATCTTCTGCTTATCCTCCTCAAACTTTTTTCTTAGTTCAGCAATGTCTGGGGAAAAAAAACATTTGTAAGAAAAAGAATGCTTGGTTACATCTAGAAAGCTATACTTACGTTCTTTTTGAGTGTTTCTGTGCTGCCATGTGTAGAAATTCATGAGTTCCTTCCTCTTCTTTTTTCTAATTTCTTTTGCTAAAGTGCGCTGATTTGCCTTCTCGCTGTGGGGCCGGGCTTTAGCCCCTTTGTGCCCCTTTGTAACTTTGACCCAACCATCTTCGTCGTCCTGCTGCTGTTCCTCCTCTATTCTACGCTTTTCTGCTTCCTGTAACAGCCAAAACATGCAAAGGTCAAGCCAAACATGTCAAACTGTGACAAAGGAGAAAACGCAACATTACCTCTTCTTTACGCTTGTCGTAGTCCTCCATAAAAGAGTCAACAATACCCTTCAGTTTGTCCGGCTGAATTTGAGATTTTTTATAATTCTGTATCCATTCTGTTGCAAGAAGGCTCATAATTAGCAAATTATATTATGTAGATGAGAAAATGGCTACTATGTAGATGGAGAAACTAAATTGTAGTTACTCTGAATTCCGGTTTTGACTGGATGATCTTCGGTGGAGACGACGATGGGCTCAGTGGGTGGATGAGACTTGGCCACTTTTATACTGGAAGAGTTTTCAAACACAATATATGCCACTTTGAATCCCTGTGGAACATGTTTAAAGGCTAAATTAGTTTAGAATAACTAAATGGAGGCATGATCAATGGTATAAAACGCACATGTTTTTCAGCAGGCCTAAAGATGTGTGAAAGGTTAATTTCCTGTTGAGAAGAACCTGGCTGGTCTCTTAATTCTACTGATGTTACTTTTCCAAACTGAGAAAATAACCTTTCAGTAACGGCCTAAAACACAGAAGGGCGATGTTAAAGCAATCTGGAAATGTACATCATTGGGGTGAACAATACCTTGGTGCAATATGGGGGGACATTGAGAACAAACAAGGTCCTGTCCAATGGTCTGCGTGAACTTTTTTCATCCCGAACTTTGTGCTCTTTGACATACAGTTTGTGTTCTGCTTCGCTGCTGGAACAAAACTTTAGGGAGATCACTGCAACGAACAGACTGGGGTTAACACACTTCCAGCTTATCACCAGACTCACTCAGCGTCACTGTGCGACAATACAAGTACAAACCAAAGATATGTTTTCATTGACTGCCGCAGAAAGGAATAAATATACATAAGTACCTGAAAATCCTCCAGGAATAACACAAGCTCGATTTGTGGCATGTTGCTTCCCGGGGGCCGCCATGTTTAGATTAGCCTTTCACACCGGAAGTGAACAGCACCAAGAAAATAAATGATTAGATTACATTTTATATTAAAAACGTTTATCTTGCGATTTTTTTCATTCACAAAAACATTTTAAAGATGCCTCCTTAAAATGAACTAAATCAAATGGTACAAGTGAAAAAAAAAAAATATCCCTGGACCAAACTGAATGACCACGTTCTCACAAGCTTTATTAATCCCCATTAACGGAATTCTGTGACACAACCAAAAACAAATGCCTGTATATTTGCCTGATTCTAGAGGTTCTGAGCTTCACAAAGAGGCATGCCTATGTTGACTGAGCAGAACTTGGCTGTAGACTTGTGTTTATCTCAGTGTTTGCAGCAGAGGGGCACATAAAATTCGCCATGTTTGTGTAGAATTATATGCCAAAAAACGTCTGGGTTCTAGGCAACAACATTTCTATACTTCAAAGCAATATTCAATTTCAAATAAACCCTGCCATTTAAATTGGAACACATTTCACCCTGAATTTGAGTATCTATGCATTCAACATATTACAACCAATACATTGTCAAAAATAAAAGAGGAAAAGGAGTAGAAATGTATTGTTTATTGATGAGACTACAGAAGCTATCATCCTAGAGACGCATGAGACGGACATACCAGAAAAGTAAAACGTTAAAATAAACAGTCCAACAAATACAAAACAAAGAATATACTTCATGTTGTATTTTGCGTCAAGTATGAATGACAGAAGCCTGGATGTCCAAAAACCCACTTGATTCATACTCATGTTTTTTGAAGAAAGTAATCAATTATTATTTCCACTTTCATTATTGAACTTATAGGCCAATCACCACTATTTAAAATTAAATGTTGAGGTCTTCTGTATTCTTCAGTTTAGGCTGGGAGAACTTTACTACTTATAACATCCAGGGATATAACTGAATAACAATTTGGGCTTTGGTGTCCAAATAAAAACAAACATTCAATGGCTTGCAGAGATACGGCTGTGAATAACCATGTTTACAGTAAACAAAAAAATAAAAACCTCAATGTGAATTTTTCCCATCCATGTGAAATATAGAATTGTTCATTTTAACACTAGGAATGAAGTAAAATATCAAACACAAGACATGAGCTAAATCTTTATGCGAAAAGCGGTAGCCTGTGAGTTGGGGGGTTCAGGAGTGGTCGGGGACTGAGCAGTGGACTTGAACAAAGCTTTGAGAATAGTCTGAGGATCCACCTCTGGAGTGGGCTGAGTGGAGGCTCGCTGACCAGCGGGGCGTGACAAGGACAGGGGGAGACCATCTTTCTTTGTTGAGCTGCCACTGCCAGGCGTATCACTCAGTCTCCTGCAAAATTTCACATTAATTCAATATAATGGGTTAAAGATGGCATAGAAAAGTGAAGATAATATATCTCCACTGAACTAAAAAATAAGCCCGATAATTTTAGACCCCTGAAGCTCTATAAACTACTATAGGTGATGGGAACAAATAATTTTGGCACCAGAGGTTTTTTCCTAAAACGCTTGATTTGGACATCTTCATTTCGAAAGGCTATAACTTAAAAGTGATAGGCTTTCTGTAAATTAAGAAATATTTAGGATGGCCCTAAGTTTATGAAAATATTAAATTTACCCGTCTAAAATTTGCAGAAACGGAACTCACATTGCACCATGCTGAATGTTCAGGGAAGTAGTAAAAAAGTGCCCTCGCTGTAAGCAGCATACCCAGACACGCACTTCCCAAGTAAAGTGTGCACCAGCTGCTACATCTGCCCTTTCTCTGACATAGACATGACAAAGGCTTCACCATCACGTATTTAGTATAGAAGCATGACGTTTTTTTTCTGACGTGAAACTGTCAGAACAACTATTGTATATAATACGAGGCACATGGACTGTGCCTCGTACGTGGGCTGTGTACTTCAACAGTTGAAGCATATGGGTTACATGTATAGACACTTTATTTAGTTTCAGATTTGTTTAGTTTTCTTAAATATTTAATAATCCATCTGGTGAATAATTAAACATTTCAGAAGGGCATTTGTTGCATTTAAGCTAACATAAGTAGTAAATGGGTATGTAGTGTGCTTTGGACAAGACCGCTCACAAGATCTGGCCGCAAATGTACTTAATATCAAAATTACTTACAATAAAATGGGCTGATCAGAAGTGATGACATTTCCCTGAATATGAAGATTACATTTCATGGGCTGACCTGCATTAAATTAAAATTAAAAAAACATTCTTCAAAGATGACAATTATTATTAATCCTTAAGTTCATATAGACTCACCATCAAGGCAGCGGTTATTATACTTCCTATAAGCACTAACAGCATCTTCTTTGCGGACAAACACCACCTCCGCCACGCCCACTTTCACTAGCCGTGCACGCTTTAAGGCACCACATACACAAAAGAGTTCCTATGGGAGGGGGGCACATGTCATAAAAAGCTGGAAACAACACAAAACATACAAGCAAGTGATGCTTACAACAATGTCCTCTTCAGTGACCCGAGGATGCAAATTATTCACGGTTATTTTTGTTCCCTCTAATGGACTAAATGTAGGCTTAAAAATATGAAAATCAACAAGATTACATTACAGTTCAAAAAATACAATGCATAATTTTACTATAATAAACTTACCAGTGGAGCAGCTGCTGCTGTACTTGGGGCAGTTGTGCTTTGCTGAAGAGTTCTGGAGACTTGCTGTAAGGCTGCGCCAGAAGGCCGAGATGCAGGCGTGCTGGTGCTTGGTCGTGTGGGTGCCACCGGCACTGGAGGACGGGGTGCTGTGTATGCATCATTTTTCACCACTTTTGTGATTGGTGAAGACAAAGAGAACTGAGAACGCATACCACTCCCCTAAAAAAAAAGAAAACAAGAAAGAAAATAGATAAGAGCTCAAATAATAAACTCTTATTTCAACCTATGTGAAAGATTTTATTTACCCTGGTTGATAGAATGTCATTAGAAGTTGTGATCTTTATTTGTTTACTAGCTGCGACATCATTTGCAAGAGGCTGTAAAATGTAATTGGAGTTATAGAGAGATTTAATACACCATTTTTTTTATTTTTTAAATCTACTAAACCAGAAGCAACACCTGAGTGGATGCGCCTGTCCCACTTGACAATCCCACTGGCCGTTGCTAATGGGAAAAAAAGTTTGCATATTATTATTTATACCTTTAATGCCAAAACAATTTCCTTCAAAAATATGTGCTCACCTGAATGGTCTTTGTTATTTTGAATGGTATTCCTGCCTTTTCAGATGGCTGTGTTCCACCAAAGCTTCTTTTCAGGCTTAGTCTGTCTCGAGCATCCCTTACATTCTGTCCTTGACCTGCAAAATGCCTTGTGTTGTTGGCACTTGTAGAAACACTCATGTTTGGGTGGATCTGTTGAGATGGCATTGTGCTCTGCAGCTGAGGTGGTAAAGCATGCGTTGGGGGATTCCCGGGATTGTATTGAATTTGTCCTTGTTTGCGTGAGTTAATCATTTGACGAGCGTCTTGCACACCCCCTGCTCCACCTCGGCCACGGATTTTAAAACGAGCATCTTTTTGCCCAAGCTTTTCTCTGGCATCTTTCATTTGAAAACCTGGGGAGGAGAAAAATAATGGAAAAAGGGAAACAATAAAAACAAGGCTCAATCGTAAACACAGTAAAATTCCTTAGAGTTACAAGTGTATTTTTACCTGTAGCACCTGCAGCACCTGCTCCACCCATGCGGTGTCGCACATCATTTGTTCCAATCTTTTGCCTGGCATCAAAACTTTTACCGACTCCCCCAGCACCTCGACCAAATGTTGGTCTGAAAGAAATGATCATTTCAGAATTAGAAGGCTTTTACAATTGACATTGTCAGCCAATGAAATTCACAAATGCAGAAATTAAACTGATGGTGTTTGAAAGTGTGCATGCGTTAGCACTAGGGGTGGGCAAAATAAATCGTAGACAATAATATCGCAAAAGGGAATTTGAAGATATGCTTTTTTGTATTATCATCTTTTTTCATTTTTCGATAAACATTACAATTGGAGCAGGCAAGATGCCCATTCGTCAAATGACTGCCTAAAGCACCAATCGCTGCTTTATTTGTAACATTTTGGAAAATATTGAGAAAGCCTTTTTGGAAGTGTTCTTTCTTGTGTTACTTGAATTTGATTTTTAATGTTAATATATGTTTGTGCATGTTTGCTATTTTGATTAACACTGCAGATCGTTTTGTGTAAAAATTATTAATTTCAAAGATATCGTGACAATATCGTTATCGGGAGTTGGGAAACAAATACCGAGATAATTATTTTTGTTCAAATCGCCCACCCCTAGTTAGCACCAGTATCTAAAATTAGATTTCCGGTAGTAAAAGTAATAATAATTGGTTATTTATAACGCACTTTTCATTCCACAGAATCTCAAAGTGGTACAGGAAAAGCAAAATATACAAACAGACCTACAGTGCAAACAAAAACTAAAAACAGCCGTGGTTGGTAGATGGACCCAACTCAACAATTTTAATTTTCAAAAAAATGTCTCTGGAGTTTATTTTAAAAGCGTCCAAGCTGTGGATGTTTTGATATTAATATTGGTTTTATTAATACATATGTTTTGTCCGTATTTGCGATTGTGTTGAAATAGGAGCTTGTGACTTTTAATGAGTGGTTATGGGCATTTTTTCTGTGTCCTGTGTTAGCCAGTCTATGAGCCATGGAAGTATAAAGTATCTAGCATTAACAAAGATTTAATGTTTAAGGAATGACGGCTATCGTTCTGAAACAATAGATACGAGAATGAAAGTAAAGGTAAGTTGGTTTTCTACAAAGTATGTAGCGTTAATAGACAAACAACATTCAACGCAACGCTATTAGCTTTGCATTTGGCTAACTCTAGCTAAAGATTTGCTAGCTACATACTATTTGCAAAGCGAAATGGTTAGCCTTAGCATACGCTAGCACAAGGGAAACGCTAAGCTCATGTGTGCCCGGTTTATCGACACATTCCACCAAATTGGTTTCAACTTAATGAGAATTATACACCACAAGTGTCGCTTACCGCTTTACAATTGCCTTAACATTAATGCCGCGCTGTCGGATCACTTCGTCCAAAGAAACGTCTGCCATTTTCTCTCAGTGTGCTGAACAAAGCGCATGCGTGATGTATATACAAACACTTACCGAGGCTGGCGTGGTCCACGGAAGGTAGAGTGGTACGACATCAAATTACAGTTATTATATACTAAGTTTGTCTACCCATACAGTCAACGACAATTCACTCTCAATAGTCTAACTGGATGTGATATACAATTCCAAGAGAGGCAATGTTCACTCCACGCAAGACGTGCACTATCGACTACTTTGGTCTGAACAATCGTCATAGAATATCTTTGCCCATAATGCTTTGCGGTCATCGTGTTATAAAATTGTGCGTTTATTAAATAAAGTACTCACTACTGTTCTCATTGAAAGACTGTGTACACAGTTATTAATCTAAATATGTCATATATGTCAGCTAAAGGCACATACAGAGATATAGCCAATTTGAAATTAGACTAAAAACGACTCTTGGGTGTTCTGTTGTCACCATGAGCGAGGTATTATGAGCCTTAGGATGAACAAGCTGTTCCTCCGTTTAACAGGCCATGCCTTAAACTGATGAGTAAGGAAAATAACGATGCGGGGTGACGCCCGCGTCCCTCGTGAACTTACGAGAAGAATTTTTGAAAGGGCTCAGGTCTGTCTGCTGAGGTGACTTGCCTACTTTGCGAGATGCCTCGCGGTACAAGGATCTGCCCCGATCCCTGAAAGGTTTAATGAAACACAGTTAACTAATCTCCTCTTGCCTCACTTCGCCAAAGCTCGCTGGTGTCACAATCTAGTGTGCACCATAGACTGTATATATTATGTATATATGCACACACATAGATCACTATTTTACTACTGGATTGAGAGACATGGCACACAATAATTTAAATTTATTTACATGCATTTTGCTAATCCTTAGCTATAGTTTTCGTGAGTTCATCATACCAGTTAAATGCCAACATAGGTAAAAAGTGAATTAATGTTTTGCACACACAATTGTTTTACGAAGAGAACGCCCATATTTTTCAAACCAACAAAACCATTGTTCAATATTGTATTTTTGTGTATTGTACTTTCGCTGCATCATCTTTGTAATTAAGCAGATTTGTACCTGAAAACCCTTAACCCCAGGTGATAATCCGACAGAAGGTTTGGTCTACGCCGGATAGTGATGGGATGATGACGCCTCAAGGAGTATATTGCCACTTTTTACAAAGTCTATTGACACTATTTTACCATGGATCTATTTTACTCTGTGTTGGTCACTCAATGGTGACGTCTACTGTAGATGTATAATCATGGCAGGTAAACATGATGGAAACAAGTAAACCCAAACCAAATGAGTTGGCATGTAAAATATAGAAAATCTGTAAATAACACACTAAAATGTATCCAGTCATACATGTTTAACTGAGAAACAATCGTTTCTGAAAAGTCTTTGCTCCAAGCCAATTTCTCCTCTTGGACACTAGTTCCTAGGCTTAAAAAAAACATTTGTTCGATAAAGGTACAGCAGCCCGCAGCATGTTTACAAAGTTGGCTTCATAGTAAACACAATTTGGTGCAGCACATCGAAACGACACATTAACTGTATCTGCCATGTGATTTTTTTGTTAAAGCGATACATGGGGTTTCACACTTGAGCACTCGGCACAGTGCTGTGACGCACCAGTGTCGTTCGTCCCATCCCTAAGGCAGAAACTCCAAATCCCACAATCCTCTTCGGCACAGCAGCGCGACCTCCAGCCTCACTCATTCGTTCATCCCACAGTTTGTCCTGAGATTGGAGCATAGACTGTAGGTCGTGCAGGTAACGGTGGTGAAGAAATGGCATCAGCCCTGTCTCGAGCCCTGAAACTGCCAGGTAAGACATGTTTGTGCGTGTTTTCATTAACGTGACCGCAACATTCAGAGAAGGCGGTTCAATACATCTTCTCGAAGACATACCCATCTCATTCCGATGCCTGATGTGCTTGATCTGTGCCGCCCCGTCATCTATTATCTCACTACACTGGCGTTATTTTATTGTTTCAACATTAAATGATAGACGCAATGTTAATGCCACGAAAGCCATGTCCGTCACGTTCATTTGCGTGAGATTATTCAGCGATGTTCTTGTGTTGCTAGCTGCCACTCTGCTGCACACCGTGGCTTCATTATTGGCTTCATCTTCAAATCAAAAACACTGAAAAGCTACGAATATCTCAAACATCGCATCACCCCGAGTTATCCCACCGATGTGATGAGGACGTGGGTGAGATTTGGTATAGTGAATGCTGATTGTGGTGTTTTTGTCCATTTAAAGCTTGTTCACGGCCATTGTTTACTGGTCGCAATTGTGTTAAAGCAGGAGTCCACAATTTGAAAGAAATACATATTATAAATTTCACACTAACGAATAGTGCTTTATTATTAATTCAAAACTAGATCCACCATAAAATAGGTTTTCGTTATTCAGTTTTGATTGTCAAAAATCTCGTACAGAGTGGTTCAAATAATGTTGTAATAATTTTGACTCCAATTGTAAAGATAAAGGTGCACTTATGTATCCCCTTAGTAGAGCAATTCATCCCTAAAATTCATTGTTACACATGTCATGTCAGATACTTTTGCCATTATTGTATTTTAATTATGTATTGGAATGGACAGACATATTAATTAATTCTAGTCGCAGGGGTTTGTGTCACATGGGGTGATGCATATTTACATTGAATAAAACACATAACAATATAAGTTACAACACAACATATGTCACATTCTTACACAGGCCACAGTCCACACACACTTTACACTACTTAGTCATTTCTCATTCCATTTCTATGTTCATAATTAGGGTTAGGGTTAGTCCATATTTCTTACCCACATACCCTCATTGCACAAATCCTGCCAAAGACCCTTGTTTACTTTTAATTACTTGTAATTACAGTCATTATTTGTTTTGCGCCAACTCAGTTTCATGTCTGGTTTATAATTACAGACGTTTTTCGAAGAACAGTAACACATCTGCTGTCTGTCCTGGAGTGATGTTTTTAACGCATAAAACTCAAATTCAAATGAAAATGTCATTGTTGTGTGTGCAGGGAAGAAGGGCTCAGAGCTGGGTGACTATGACCCTCTGACCCAAGCGGACAGTGAAGACGAGAGTGAGGAAGATGACCTTGTGCTCAGTTATCCTCGAAACGGCCTGGGTCGGGACAGCGGCCTGACCCCCAGCGGCAGCAGGTCAGGCAGATTTGTTGGGGCGGTGGATGAAATGCTGGATGAAGACGACTTTGATGATGACGACTGGAGAGAGCATTTGCCGAGCCTGGACGGAGAGGACTCGAAGGACATGCAGAACAGGGACCAGAGGCGGGGGTCCGGCTCTGTCGTGGGGGGTCGCAGCACGGACATTGATGCCAAAAAATTGAGAATGAAACACATTGTTCGCACAGTTGCATTCCTCGTGCCGTTGGTGTGCGCTACACTGCTGGTGTTGCTTTGTGCGTTTCTTATTCCCTGTCAGAAAGGAAAACTCCGGCCACAATGGGAAAGAGCATTAGGGGAAGCAGGAGGTACGTACAGCAGCATGGAAAGAGTAAAAAAATAACTATAGTGTGTATGTAACTCTTGTCTGTGTTGTGAGTAGTGTCGCCATAGTGCGGTACCCACTCAATGTTATTTTTTAAGATAAGAAAAGAGAACTAATGTCCCGCGGTGGGGAAATCTTGTTGTTGCAGCGCACATACTGGACAGTAGTAAGAGCACACAGAGTTACAGTATGTAGCTGTGAATGCTAACTAGCTGTAAATGCTAGATAAGATAAAGTGACGTTCAGTGGACACTCTGAAATTACAGTATTGCACATTGCACATGATTGCAGTATTTACTCTTTGCTGATGATGTGGTAAGTACAGGCTCAGCAGTTCTCATTGTGCAGTCTGACAGCAGCAGGGAGGAAAGACCTGCGAAACATCTCCTTCCCACAGCGAGGGTGGAGCAATCTGTCACTGAAGCTGCTCTATCTTTTTATGAAGATTTTGGATCATTTGGTCAGTTAGTATAGGAAAATGAATGGAGGTTGTATCTGTACTTGCCCCATTCTTGCAGACTATGTCTCAATAACATAACATGACAGAGTGGAGGTTTGGTTTGCCATGAGAAATCGCATCCTCTAAAGAAATTCTATGACGATAATATTATTGAGTAAGGCAAAGATGAAGGCCTTGGCTCTACCCCTGGTCTCAAATTTAACGTAAATATACATAAGTGGTACCTGCTTGCTAATTGTTGTTATGAGCTGAATCTGAACTTGCTTGCCTAATGAGGGGTGTGCTGATCCTGCAGGCATCACTCCTCCAGCTATGGCATTGTGGGACGTAAACAATGATTCCGAAGGGGATGTGTTATTGGGTGTGACTGAATCGCACATGCCTGGAAACAAAGGTATTAAAATGGTTAGCCACATTTTCAAGAATATATTTGACAACAGTATTTTTGTAGTTTACAGTGCGGTGGCTCTGTCTGCTGTAAGTGGACAGATTATATGGAAGAAAGCCACACATGAGTGGGTGATGTATATCCAATGCGGCCTGCAGATCAACGCTCATAAGTCACAAGTGTGTCTCCTCATCAGTAAATCCATTCTGATGGCAGTTAATGGAACAACAGGTGAGTGACTTTTTAAGCCTATGTGATATCTTTGGTTGCCATATCATGTGTCCTAATGATATGGCAACTTGTCAATAAAATGAGTTAAAGTCAGTGAAATGGGGGCGAGGAGGGATTTGTATTTTATTTGGCACTGTTATTATTATTTAATCCCTTGTTTGCACTATGGGGGGGGGGGATAAGTTCTGTTCTTACTTATCCGGAAAATATTCAATCCAAAAATACAGCCAAGAGAAAAATAAACGGTTGCAGAAAGAGACCTTGCTCTGTTTCAAAATAGGTTTCCCATATACAATACTGATAGACAGCTCCTGTGGATTCTGGTATAGCTAATAAGTTTGCTTATTAGTCTCATCATATGACTCCATGTTCTGGTTATTCTGCTCTATTGTTAAATGCCGTTGCTTCACTCAATACTCAAGTACCTGCCATTAGTAATGATTTTTTGGAAGATCATCCTGTTAGGGTAGGCGTGTCAAATTCAAGCCTGTTGGGCCAAATTCGACTCGCAAGACCATTTTTAGAGGCCCTAAATTATTTTCAATCACTTGCAGCATTGATGTTAATGGGATACAATGGCATGTTATACTTAATTTTAAAGCTTATTTTCTCAGGAATACGAACATATAATTTTATCTGTTCTAAAAATGTAAACTAGAATTTAAACCAAATTAAAGTTAAGTTTGGCCAAAGAAATATGTTTTCTAGTCAATTACCTATCTTCTTGATATTTGGCACAGAAAACAATAGCCAGACCAAGAAAAATAAATGATTTTGTATTTTGACTATAATGTGATATATTGTCAAAATACAAAAATATGTAAAAATAAATATTGATTATAAAAGAAAACCACTGGGACCAACCTGTCCCACTCATTCATTGCTAAGTGTTTCTGGGTCATGTGTCCTCCCTAGGGGCGACTCTGTGGTCGGTGCCGCTCAAGAACATTGAATCGCAGGTGGTTGTTGTCCCAGACCTGGAGGGAGATCTTATTCCTGATCTGCTAATAGCCACCCTGCCGGCAGACGCTGTAAACTTTCTTTTACTATGTCCTCTTCCTTTTGAGTGTACTTCTTTGATCCTTGTAAATGTGCTTTAGGCTATGGACCTGTCCTTTACACTGATTTCTGGAAAAACGGGGGAAAAGCTCGGACGTTCAGTACCGTTTAACATTTCTGGCCAAGGAAAACTGATTGGTCCACTGCTGCATAAGACTAAACAAGAAGCATATTATATCTTATTTGGATTAGGTAAAGCCTCTAACATAATATCAGTTTATGTTTATACAGATTAGAATCTAACGTCTGTCTCCTACTTCAGGTAACATCAAAGCGATATCTCTGTTTGAGCTCTACATTCATGCCATGGGTGAAATGCCTTCAAACCAAGAGCTCAGAAAGAAAGATCCAGGATGGGAGGGACTCAAAGCCAGAACCAATTCCTCCACTTTGATAAACATTTTTGGGTAGGTCTCAGATAAAGATCTGGTTACACATTACATGCACATGCGATACAAAGAGTCTTTTTAAATGTTGCAGTTATTTTTTACCTGTGTCTAACAAAGCGAACTGAAGTGTGTCTTTAAGAAATACCGTTTTTGGCATTTTAGATTTTTATAACATGTCACTTTATCTCAAAAGGGCAGTTAAAAATGAGAAAATCTAAAATATGGGATTCTGTCAAATATCATCAATAGTTTGTGACTGGTGGAGTACTTTCTTGGCTTTTAATGAGATCGCGTCAAACAACATAATATCACTAATCTAATATGTATATCATACATATATACTGTATGATAATCTATATGTATATCATACATATATACTGTATGATAATCTATATGTATATCATACATATATACTGTATGATAATCTATATGTATATCATACATATATACTGTATGATAATCTATATGTATATCATACATATATACTGTATGATAATCTATATGGATATCATACATATATACTGTATGATAATCTATATGGATATCATACATATATACTGTATGATAATCTATATGGATATCATACATATATACTGTATGATAATCTATATGTATATCATACTGTCAATGCTTTAATACTGTTTTCCATTAGAGGACCAGAAGATGTCACTTTCCTGTATCCTCATGTGGTTGGTTACGACAGTAACCATAACAACCTAAACACACTATCCGCTCAGGACAGCATCAGGAGTGACTGGGTTCTGGTGTACGGCTCCAGTAAACTGTCAGTGCTTAGACAGAAGGATCTTCGCAAGGGATGGATCTTCAGCTCTCCTTTTATTCACAGGTATAGTTAGTAGTAAACAATTTCATTACACACCTGTATTTTTGTTGTTCAGATATTTTATGATAGTTTTTAACTTTCAGTGAAGTTGAAATTTTTCACAAAATGTGTTATTTCAAAACAGCCAGCCGACCTCAGGGCATTTCAATTCTGATGGAGTCCTGGACATTTTACTTCAACATTCTGCTAATGGTACCATGAAGGTAACATTTCTCTATTCAGCCACACACCATGATAAGACTTTAATATGAAAGTAGTAATGTATAAACATTAGTGCATCATTTTCAGGTGGAGATTATTGATGGAGCTAATGGTCGTCTCCTGTGGTCGTCAGAGTTCGCTTGTCCTCGTTTGGATTTAGGATCTTCTTCAGTTTCCACCACAACAGGGGAATCAGCATTCCTCTTCTGGGCCAGTGAACCCATAAGTGCTCAGAAGAATGCTACCAAGACGACAGTAAGTCCTGCTGTTTCTGGGTCGACAGTTCAATTCATTTTCATTTGTGTCCATAGAACATGAGTCAGGTTAGTTTTAGCCTCCAACTATTCGATGAGTTTAGCATTTAGTGCAACTATTGTGTACAGACAAATGTTAGACATGTTTGTTTAGCGCTCACTGGGCCTTATTTATGAAACTTGTGTTCGGCCAAATCAGGATGTAAATGAGGCGTACGCAAAAAATGTACACTATTTGGCATTTATCAATCTGGACGTACGCGTACGGTACGCACAGAATATACGCCAAGTCAGGAGGTGGTGTAAATGTGTACGCTCGTTTCAACCTTCATTACAACACGCCAAAACACGCATGAACAATAAACATATTCCCACTCTGGCAAAATTATAAGCTGCGAAATTTGAATTTGCGAATCAGACAAAGTCTAATGAAAACACGCAAACTTCGAATAAATCACAGAGTTGTATGTGTATTACTTTCATCTGTATATATATATTTTTTAAATTTGACATGCTTTGTGATCCTGGTCTGTGAAGGCGCTATACAAATACACTTGACTTATTTACTTACTTAATGTGACCCGCCCTGTACTGCGTACATACGCATGGCTATGACTTTCATAAATACGCTGCTTTTGAGCGCGGCATTTATCAACACCCGCGGCTGCGTACGCTCGGATCTGTGCGGATCTCACACGTTAAAAATAACACGTTATAAATCCTGCGTTGGATTTTGCGTAAATGGAATCTACACCAAAAATATACACCCTTTTCTGCACAAGTCTCATAAATGAGGCCCACTGTCTGTAACTTGGGCTGAAACAATGAATTATTCCACTACAAAACCTACATTCAAAAGTGCCATCAATTTTCTTCCGCTTCATCCGTTGCCGGGATGCGGGGGCAGCAGTGACACCCAGACTTCCCTATCCACACACTTTCTCCAGCTCGTCCGGGGGAACCCCAAGGCGTTCCCACGCCAGCTGAGAGACATAGTCCCTCCAGCGTGTCCTGGGTCTTCCCCAGGGGCCTCCTGCCGGTGGGACGTGCCCGGAACACCTCTCCAGGGAGGCGTCCTGGAGACATCCGGAACAGATGCCCGAGCCACCTCAACTGGTTCCTCTCGATGTGGAGAAGCAGTGGCTCTACTCTGAGCTCCTCCCATGTGACTGAGCTCCTCACCCTATCTCTAAGTGAGCGTCCAGCCACTGGGATAACGGATCTAAGCTCATTTCGACCACTTAGATCCGCGATTTCGTTCTTTCGGTCTTTACCCAAAGTTCATGACCAGAGGTGAGGGAGGGAAATCAAGAGATTTGCATTTCGGCTCAGCTCCCTCTTTACCACAACCGTTCAATACAGCGACGGCATCACTGCGCACGCTGCACCGATCCACCTGTCAATCTCACGCTCCATCCTCTCCTCACATGAAAAAGTTACAGGTTCATTTTTTTTTTTAGAATAAGTTCAAACCATGTGAAACTGTCATGCACTGTTTCCACTGAAGACAGCATTGTAATTCTTGCAATTTTCTATTAATTGCAAATCACTTTTTTGCAAAACATTTACTATTGCATTTTATGTTTAGTGGAAAGTCAAAAGATACATTTCTCAATGGTTGAAATAATCCACCCTAATTGCTACATCGTAACATTAAACAGTTATTTTAATTGAATAATTTTTATCGTTTGTTGACAGGCCCCACCTGGTGCTACAGGAGAACCTCTGATTAGAAAACTGTTTCTCCTACACCCAGCGTATCCTACAGTCCTCTTGGAACTGAACAGCACAACTGACACTGCAGTAACTTCAGCAGGTAAAGGGCACAAAGTAGATTATTAATTAATGCGTCTAAACTAAACCCATTTGTAAACCCCATTACAGTGACCTTTGACACACAGCAGGAGGATGCCTCGTACATTACAGCTTCTTCACAGCCCACTCCGGGGTCAAGGCCTATTGCCTGTGTGGTGAAAATCATGAGCCTCAAAGCTGCTGTTGCCAAAGCAAACATCGTCAGACTGAACCAGTACAAGGCTCCGGACGGCCCTATGAAACCTAGTGCTTTTGAGGTCAACACTTTCTTTAGACGCATCGCCTTCAAGCGCTGAAAAATCGGAACCACTTCTTGACACGCTTTATTGCAGAAATGCACAAAATCGTTCAAATGTGAAAGTTCTCATAACGTTGGAGTGGAATGTTTCAACCCACAATTAGCCAGTTTTATTCAATTCCAACGCAATTTGCACTAAAGATACACCGAACAAGTTTAAGTTTACATCTTACTGCATGAATATTGTTTGCTTGTATTTTGTATTGTAGCAAGTTCTTATTGTATACATTCATTTGTTTTGATTGACATAATTTTAGCTGAACGATTTTATCGAGCACAAACATCGCTGATAGAAATGGCCTGTAAGATGACGGCACAAAGGACTGGACACCAATGTACAGTTGTATATATTTGTACAGTATTTATTTGCTTTTAACAGGCTTGTTTAATATGCTGAAAGGGTACGATGTCATTTTTACTGTTTGGATTATTAATAATACCGGATTAGAATGTTCATGACTGATCTTTGTCATTTTATGCTTAAACTTATTTAATTAAACGTCACGTGAAAATGCTTAGTTTCTCAGAATAGTGATTTCTGAACGAGCTCTTGAATGCAACACTGGTGATGCGCTGCCATGGTAACACCTGAATGACCCGTGTCTCAAATCCTTGCTTTTCCTCTGGTCCCCCATCCCATAATCAGATAACCACATCCTAAGATCAGCTTTTTCAGAGAAGTGGAAAACCCTTGCTTGGACAATCAGCTCTCAGCCTAAAGCGTAAGGGCCGTTTAAGTACGCAAAAGATTTTTTCTAGAAAGATGTAGACCACATTTGCATTACATAGAAACTAAATGCGTGACCTCACCAACAAAAGGAATTGAGTGGCTTCATCAACAGAAAAACCCCAGTTTTGTAGATATTTAGGTTTATATTTACAGTAAGTAGATTGATTTACACCACAAAGATTTTGAACATGGAGATAAGCAGGTGAATACAGCTCATGGATCATGTCCCTTGTAGAATTTGGACAGAAAGTCAGTGGGCCGTGGCTCCTCAGACTCCCTGAAGAAGCGCATGATGTGAGTTTTCTGTTTCCAAACGTGAATGGTTTCCTGAAGCTCCATTTTACCCTGAAAAACAAATAATGAATAAGAATTGAAAGCCAGCATTAGCTTTTATTTCATTATTTCTTGTTACTGCTAAAGTGTCCTGTCCAAAAACAACAGCGGGGTTCACATTTGGAGTACTTAAGGAACAAACAAAAAGGTCACTTTTTTTTTGGGGGGCGCATCTGGTTGATCTGTGAATTTTATTATATGGAAAGCCAAACAAAAAAACAATAGCTTGAAGCCATTTCAGACATTTATTTCAGACTCTAAGCACAGAAGTAAATATATGATACTATGAAACAGAAGTGAGTCTTTGAGGTGTTTGATTATTAAATATAGCAACTGATTGAAATGTATATATAAATAACTTCATATTCAGTGAAAAGTAAGTTTGTAGTTACGTGAATTGGACAAAAAACAAACAAAACTATTTGACGCTAGACTGGTGATGTTGAGGGTGGAATGTTTCAAAAATGTCCTTTACAATCAGCAAACTGAAGGACAGGATACAGATATAGAAGTTTTTCTTCCTTCTGTTGCTGTTTGTTCATGCTGCACAATAAATGTGTGTAATTTGATGACGTGGACAAATAAAGAAATGGCATAGGTGCAGCGAAACTGTACCTTAATCACCAGCATGTCGATTACACGAGGGTCGGTCACATGTTTGTTTTTGTGGAAGAGCTCCCTCACTTTGTCTCTTCCTTGCCGTGTTGTAATATCCAACTGATAAATGGCCACTGAAAGAAACAATAAGTATCAGTTTAGAGCCACTCGCCATTGGTTTCAGAATGATGGAAGTGTTCAGGCATGTGCCGCTAAGATAAAGCAGAGGAAACTAGATGATTGAATGAGAAATAGGTCGTAAAATGCGGCATCAGGAAGGGTTGTGATAGAGATACACCACATTTTTTAAGTCCATCACACAGTATTTAATATCCTTTTCTTTAAAGAAATTATTATTGTATTACTGTACAACTAACTGCCGCCAGTCTCTTAAGCCGCATGTAGATGCTTTTGTAGAGGCTAACCAACAAAACTGACACCCTATGAGAGACTTCTGTGAAACTCCTTCAGCTTTCTGACTGGAGAATCGCATAAACCATCAAAACTATCCTAGATCATGAGGACATCAGGCTCAATGATTTTTTGATTCATAATAAATCAGAGTTATCACAAGACAACCAGTGTCTCGTTTAATTTGAGGTATTTCTGGCAACCAAGGCTGGACTAAAGTATAGTAAGTATGTAAGCTTTGTTTATATAGCGCATTGTACGGACCAAGGTCTGGTATTTAAGAAAACAATTGTTATCGTTAATTCTTCTTTTTTAAATGCGATATGTTGTCAATGAGAGGACATTCAAAGCAAAACATGACGTTTTCTGGCAACAAACTCCCTGATCAATGTTGAGCTGATACTGAGTAAGAGGAGCACAGGCAATGAAGCCTGCCCCTCCACATGCGCAGAAACCCAGCCTCTGCCGCAGGCATATGTGACTTTGAAAAGACAAACTAAACTTCCCCTAAACACTTGAACAGTGAAGCAGTGACAGAGAAGGCTCTTATTATTATAGATCCATGTCAGAGACACGACCTTGACTCCGTGTTTCACGCTCCCTCTGCCCCCCAGGCGCCCCGTGTACCTGTGTTCGGGACCTCTCGGTACCAGGCCCGGTACAGCTCACGGACCCTGCGCTTGGCCTCGTCCAGGTCCCGGCTGAAGATCGGTTTGACTACTTTGGCCGCGGCGGCCGCTCGGGTCGCGGCTGTCGACGCCATCACAGTCCAGCCAGTGTTTCCGGAGGAGAGCAGTTTACAGAGTAGTGCCACCTGGAGGACCGGAACGGTATAACCTTTAAGCGCACCAAAGGACTCTGGTTTGGACGAGGTATGCGCGCTCCGGGGACACGTTCTATTTAATATATAATTGGCACACGACGCAGGTTTTATTTGACGATTTAATTTGTACCTACGCGCAGCTCTTGCAAATAAAAATACAAGGTTTCTGAAACATTTTCTGGATGAATAATGGAGACCTTGCTTTTACAGTATAAAATGTAACCTCCTTTTGAGACCAGACCAATACATCTGTGCACATCTGGTCAGGTAAGTTTTTGAATCAGGAGAAATATTTTGATATAAAACCTCTTTTTGAGGGAGGAAAATGGTTTGCCCCACCATTAGGCTGTCAAAAGATACGGAAGCTTGTTAGGTTCACTTGTGAGTGTTTTTTCATGATACTTTCATGAAATAACATGATAAATATCATGTTATTTCATGATACACAACTATCATGTTATTTCACGATACCAATTTATCAGAAGCTGACAGCTTCTTATTCTTCTGTATCTACAGTATCATGAAATAACATGATACTTGTGTATCATGAAATAACATGATACTTGTGTATCATGAAATAACATGATACTTGTGTATCATGAAATAACATGATACTTGTGTATCATGAAATAACATGATATTTATCATGTTATTTCATGAAAGTATCATGAAATAAAATGATACCAGCGGAAAAAAAAACACTCACAAGTGAACCTAACAAGCTTCCGTAAAAAGAAGTGTAGACATGGGATACTAATATTTTTTCTTTAATAGACTCAAAAATACAAATAATTTACAAAGATGATACAAGGTGCATTGGATGTACATTAAATATTAACAGTCATGTTATTACAAAATAAGATGTGAATTAAATTGGCTCATCAAGGCAACACCCACAAAGACTATATGCTTTGAAATAAACACTTGAAATGTGACATTCTTATGAGAACTTTCGTGAGAATTACAAAAGTCGAGCACACATTGGATTGTTTTTTTTTTTTGTTCAAATTTAAATACACCATTTTTAAAGATCCCAGTTCTTGCATCTATAATAAAAAACACTAATCACTTAATCATATTCCCATGTATTCTATTTTTTTCCTAAATGGAACATGCTCAGATAATCACAATAACAAAATAACGTGTAACAAGTCACTCAAATACAAGTTATGAACCCCAATTCATTTTGAACTGACCAAAGCAGGTAAAAAAGTGCAGTAAAAAAATGTGAACCAGTGTAAGAAACAAGTCTATGCGACTGTTGGCAGGGAGATTCAAATGTAAGGCACTGTTTTAGCCGATCCGTGGTGAGCGTAGTGCACCACAGTGATGCTCTCGGCTTTACTCCCTTTCTTGGCTCCGCAGTAAAAGGCCTGGGGATATCTGACGCTTGTCGACCTATCTGCAGTGGTATTAGAACCATACATGGGTCGTCAGTGGTCTAAACTGTTGCCCAACCTTTGTCCCTCCTGAAGGGCAGCCATTGTGAGCCGGAGGTGCTCCCTCAGACCCTGAACCTCTCGCTCATTTCGACCCTTCAGCCCATTGAACTCCTCTTGCATTTCTGAGTATCGCTCACATGCCAGATGTTTCTCCTACAAAGTGAAACAAATAGATTAAAAAGGAAAACAAGACAAACTCATAAACCATGCCAACAAACATGAACAACAAAGTCTCAAAATAGAATGTGAACAAGATTCAAATGTTATTTAAAAAAGCATATACACAAACCTGAATACACATGTTTATTATTATAATTATACAAAAATATTAAAATGGTTACTTCACTGAAATACTCAGTGAGTCTTTGAGAAAACAACGTCCCTTACCGTATTGAGAAACTGCACTTCGTTTCTTAGACAGCTGATCTCTTTATGCAAGTATTCAATCTCACTTTCCTTCACTCTGAGAAGAACCTAGAAAATAGCAATACAAACAGAATTGAGTTGTTTCAATCTGTACTGGAGTATGGACTACTGTGTTATACCTCTAGTTCACACGACGTCCTACTGGTGTCCTCTGAGCTCCGCTGTGTAACAGTGGTTTGTGCTCGACTAATCTCCTCAGCTATCCGGCTTTTTAAGTCCTGAAAAACACACACACAGGGCATTACACACACAATGAAACTGTATCCGAAAGATGAGCATGGTGTGCACATTATTGACAAACACCTGGTTCTCTTTTCTCAACTGTTTCATGTCTTGTTCCTTGCGACTGATTTCCCTTTCTCTCTGAGCATTGTCCTGCTCAGTTCGGTTTAGCTCCAGACACTTTTGTGAGTAGCGCTCTGACAGACCGGCCAACTCTCTCTGCAAGGCCTGCAATTCTACCCTAAGAAAAAATAATAATAAAACATATATAAATATACAAAAAAATAATAATACATAGGAATACAGAAGCATTCATACAGATAAACATTTCCTGTTAAGTCAACAAACATGAATATGCTACTGCCCCCTCATCAAGCAATACTGGACAGACATTCAGAGATCACTGCAAGATATCTTTAACTGTACATTGACGTTTGAGATGAAAACTGTTTTTTGCTTGTACACCAATGGACTGGAGGAAAGAGGACTGCTTAGTTCCTTGCTTGTCGCTATCAAAAAAGCCATAACAAAGAAAGGGTTATCCCTGGACATGTATAAGATGGAAGAGCTGCTTATGTGAATGGCAGACACGGTTGGTTTGATTCTTGTTGGAGTAGGTGGGTAACTACACCAATGCAGAGACCCAATTTAACCCTAAAATTGTAAATAATGGCTGTTTTTTATTACCTCTTTCTGTACCACATTCTATTTTATATTATTCATCGATCACTCCACTTATATATATATTCTTCTATATAAACTATAAAAACTATAGAAAATAAAAAAAAACATGAATATGTTATATGAAAGACGAAACCAACGTGACAGACAATAGTGCAGGGAAAGCAAAACAATGTGCCCTTTATAACCACTTTTACTCACTCAAGTTGTGCTTGTAGCGTCTGAGAGTTGGCAGCACAGTTTAGTCTCTTGACCCTCTCTACCTCCCTCTCCACCTCTTCTTTGTGGTTCTTTTTCAAAGTCTTAATAACTGAAACAAAAGAGAAAATCATTGATAAATCACATTGGCCACAATAAGAAAAGTTGTGATGACCAAACTTTGCCAAATCATTTATACTGCTCACAACAGTCATGGCAAGCTTTGTTGAACACAATTATTTGTGTTTTTGTCACAACAAGGTTAAACAAAGAAACTTGCATTTGGGAGTTATCTCTAACAACATGTGTTATAAAGAGTAAATATTTAGTCTGTGAAGTGAACTCAAAACTCAAATGTGTTTAACACTTTTTGCTCCACTGCATCCTCAATTTCCTTAATGCCAATGGTGGCGTCTTCTACATATTTGATGATCAAATTACAGCAGTATCTGAGGAAGCCACACAATCATACGTGTGCAAACACTACATTGGAAAGATGATTGTCCCACTGTGATCTACCAGTTAGAAACTGAAGACGCAAGTACCTGGGACAATGAAGTATTGAAGCGGAAGATTTAATCAAAAGAGATTGCATAATCAAAGTTCCTATTTATATGAAACCTGGAGCAGATGAACAGACTGTCGAATCTGGTAGTCTTAGGCACTGTACAATTCATCAATGAGGAAGTTTAAGGACTACATTAAAACCGAGGCAGGTTGCTTTCCGGACCGTGGGGCTCTGGACAAGACTTGCTGATCTTTCAGGACATTCAAGAAAGATCAGCCAGTCTGTTAGTAGTAGTTGCAAGAATATAAATGTTGAAATCGATCACGATTCCCATGGAGCTGCTATTATAACAACCAGAACATGGTTGCATAGTACTTGTGAGTTCATTTTTATCCGAGTGAACATGTCTATTGAGTGTGTCCTCGGACCTTGTGCCGTGGCCTGGGTCTCCTCCAGCAGAAGTCTGTCCTTCTCCAACTGCATCTCTCCGATTTGCCTCTCGTGTTGCCTCGTCAGTTCGTCCAGGGCCTGTCGATGAGCCCGCTCCATCGCAGACAGGCTGCGGCCACACGGAGCCTCAGGACCACAGCTCTTCCCCTGCCCTCCCCCACCATTCCCTCCCCCCTGTAGACTGCCCAGCTGCTGCCTCAGTGACGCCACCTACACAGAAGAGGACAAGCACATAGGTAAAGCGGACGCAACATAAACCAAGTTTGGCAAAGTTCAGACAAACCAGTTTAGCCACATAAGATGAGCAACTTGTACAGACGAGTGCAGCCACAAATTCAAGAGCCATTTAGGGATTTGTTTTGAATTTTAGTAATTAGAGATCGACCGATATGGTTTTTCTGTAGCCAATGGCAAATTTTGTAATGTTATAATTGAAGGCCACTAATCATTTTTTCTGCTTAACAATAAAGACATTTTATTGTTACTGAAGAGAAGGAGAGGAAAAACCTGAATACCGAGACATATAGTCATTTATTATTGCGGGAGGTTTGTTTCTAGCTCTTTGCGTCAGTGGTTATTTTAGTCTTTTTACAGTTCACAATATAGAGGTATTTTGGAAAAATTACTACTTATACTGAATATGGGTTTTGGTATTCTTTTTTGGTAGATGAATATTTTTTTATTTATATGTTGATCGAAAGAGAAAGAAGGCCCAGAACTACAGACTGATTTATAATGAAATATATATATAATATATATATATATATATATATATATATATATATATATAGCTTAAAGCTCTGTATCATATATTGGTCGATCTCTAGTAGCAATAGTAAAATAAGTAATTTAAAGGATATCAATTATGTTCTGTTTAAATCTTATTGATCTTTTGGCTCAAGCACTGGAAAGCACAGTTGCTGATTATGTGTATCCTCAGGACACTGCAAGTCAACAGCACACGTACCATTTTAGAGACAGCACACACTTTGTTAGCAACACTTGAAGATGGTGGAAACTTTAAAAACGGGGAAAAACTTTCAAACGACTAAAAAAAATAGCTACATGTAAGTTACAAAATCTAAGTCGCTGTAACTAGATTCTTGCTCTCAAAACCAGTTGGATTCCATCACTAGTTTCCACGTACATTTGTGGTCTCGGTCACTTTAGCTTGAAGTGAAAAACAGAGGACCACCCTCACTCAGCCCAAAGTGTTAACTAGTAGCCCATAGGGCTCTATAGCATAACTATAATGAAGACAGGATGTTGTGATCTGATTTGTTCACAAAATGTTCTTTTCTGTTTGGAAAAAAAACATCTATTAGTTAAAAGTTAGGTTCCCAACTAGGGCTGGATGTAACGATTATTCTAATATTTTTATTAGTAGGACAAATACTACTAGATTAGCAACACAACTCTTTGTAAATAAACAAAATGGTTGATTAATACACACGGCTCTACGCCATGTTAAAATCAAAACTAAATTAGTAGGGATTCATTACTTTTGTTACAGCCCTCGTACCCCACCTTCAAGTGCTGTGGAATAGACAGGCAAGTCAATGTAGGAAAAGAAAATAAAGAAGCTAATAGTATTCCTTCATCTTGGCAGATGAAGAGTTAATTTGCGTCGTCTTTTTGCAAATTAAAAAATCAACTCCACACACTACCTCCCTCTGCAGCGCCTCATTGGCTGACTGGCTAGAAGGCCGTGATCCCATTGCTTTCAAAGAGCTCATGTCTTTTAGCGGCAGACGCTCAAACTCTGCCCATTTTCTTTCTATGTCCTCCTCTTTGTGAAGTCTGTGGTTCACTCCTCCACCAGGAGTCCTTCTGGAAAGTAGCGCTTCCCATTGGCTGCTTGTATTTTTCTCCTCCTGCCATTGGCTCTGCTCGCGGCCCTGGCCCTCACCAGCTTCCCTCTGGTTGGACGGCGGGGGAGAGTAGTTTGGGACAGGTGATAGCTCAACATAGTCAAACCTCCGCTGGGATGTGTGGGATGAATGTTCTGATGACTGACGAGAAAAGCGGACATGGGAGTTCTCTTTGTCGCTGTGGCCATCTGGCAATCTGAAACGAAAGAGGACACTATAAATCAAGTCATCTGTGTTGAAGTTAGATGCCATATTGGACCATTTTGTACCCTAGGTAAACATACAAGATAAATATACTGTAAATTATTCTAATCTTGTTAAAAGGGTTACATGTCCCAGGAAAATACGTTCTGAATCTGATAGTTCTTAATATCTGTCTTAAATGTTGTATTCATGTTCAAAATAAAAACTAATTTACATCATGCATGGATGTACAGTAGCCAGTCTTGGGAGTAATGTATTACAAAATTAATGTAATTACTGTAATGTATTACTTGTTGCTGTAACGCAGTAATGTAAGGCATCACAAATAAAAAACTGGGTAATATTTATTCAGTACAAAAGGTCAGTAACATATGTTACAGCATCTAACTCTAATCAGTGTTTGTGAAAGAGCAAGAGACTTGTAGCCTTAAAAGTACTTAAAAGTAATGCAGTAGTTGTGTAATGCATAACAATTCAGACACAGTAATATTGTGGTGTAATACTTATTATGAAATAACAGTAATAAGTAATACATAATATATTATGTTTTTGAAGTAACTTTCCCAACACTGACTGCCTGCTCCTCTTTTTTTATTTATCTTATTTTGAGCACCCCGGACCCCCCATCTCTAGGGGCTTATCCTCCAAACAAATGAAACATGGGTGGCAATACGCCTTTTGGACAAACATATATACATATAATCAACTTGCTCAAACTTCAATTATTAGTTGAATAAATGCTTTACTGTAATTATACAGTAAAATCTCCATGGCTCATGAGCAACACCAGCCAAAAAACAAGATGCCAATGTTCAAACAGAGCTTTTGTCACAGAGAAACTTTCCACCAACAAACCCATGAGTCACGGGTCGTGTCCTCCAACATTTCCATGGCCTTATGGTGAACAACTGGCTCTCACTGTCCAAAATATCAACTCTGAGACACAGGCTCAAATGTCACCGATGACAACATCATTTAATGTTAGCTTCTATTTAAATGTACAACTCAGGCTTCTAAACATTATCTCTGTCTCTCAGATATTAACAATATCACCTCTAGTAGCACAGGAGAAACTCTATTGAAATGTTGATTAACTACACACACACAAAGTCTATGTTACAAATATAAAGGTTGTGTTCTCAAGCCTATAATCATATTAGAAAGCCCAAAGTTATCATTTTATGTTTTTACATTTAGTGTCAAACTGCCAAAGTCTTATTATTAAACAAGTTTTAATTTGTTAATTTCCACAGGCACTAGGGGCATATGTTCCTTGCCAATGCAGGAGGGTCTGTAAGACAGTGTGTAACAAGAAGACTGTGGTGATGATTCAGGACAATAACATTCTACAACATTCATGGACACTCTCCCTAAGGACCAACACCTGTGTTCTATATTTTTTTGTGTTTGAACTGTTTGATTCTCTGGTCTGTGTTGGCGATTTCAGCGGTTTTGGTAAGTCCAGTGAGATAACTACTGTTGTGATTTTGGGTTATACAAGAATAATTTTATTTAAATAGAAATTGTATTTCGCATTAAAATGATTATTTCTAATTCATTTTATCAAACAATTTAAGGCCAGTGATGTAGACCTGTTCTTTCTAAATTCTGACTCATCCAATCCAATGACCAAACCCCCAAAAAAATCATTTGAGTTCTGAAAAATGGGGCAGAAGTCAAATAATTCTCTGTCCAGGGGCAAAGCTCTGGAACTTTCAGCTTAAACTGAACTTGGACTGGGCTGGTTTTAAACAGGAACTGAAACGATTATTAAAACAAACCAGTTGTGTGAGCAGCATTGAGTTGGCCTTTGTTTAATGTGTATTTGAAACAATGTAAAATGTTAAAAGCCCTTCTAGGTAAGGACATTGCAAATTAGCCTTGGCTATACATGTTTTAGAGTTTGATATGTTGATTGTGCACACTTGTCCCTATAAAATAAATAAAATCAATCTGGGTTTGATTTACTAGAGGGACACCATCAAATGTTACTCTATATGCTGTATGTATGTGTTTTTTAAGAGTTTAAGGTTTGACAATGTAATAATGAGTTTGTACTTACTGGGTAAGGTCTGGTGAGCTGCTGGGTTGGACACATTTCTTTAAGACCTCTATCCAGTTCCTTCTGATACCAGCTGTCATGGCCGACAGCGTGAACACCGCCTCTCGCGTCTAAAGTAGAAGAGAACGTTCAGATAAAAAAAAAAACATTTAACCAAACATTGAACAAACAAAAACAATATACAATAACACTGACATGAATCTGAAAACCATAGTTTTTCTCCACATTCAGCTCTGAGACTTTGGTGCATGATTTGAGGTCGATCTCTCCGTCCAAGTCATCTTTCTGCACACAGAAAACAGTAAATACTCAGTGCAGTTTATTTAACAACATCATAAAGACATGTACGCTGGCACACCTCCTCTGCAGTGGAGTCTCTATAATACTTGAGTCCTGCATCAGTCAAAACAAACCAGTGCTTCTTCCACTAGAAAAAAAATCAAAAGTTAATTTGTGCTGCTTTTAACATGAACAGTAAACAGGATTATGTCTGAGGTATGATAAACTGATGACACTCGTGGCACAATATTATTTAGAATATTAGAAATGTCAATATTAAGCTAAAACAATCAAATAGAATATCATAAAAAGAGACACTTCCCTATTCAGTCCCACTGTTTGGAGCTACACTCTGCCCCTTTACAAGCAGTCAGTTAAACGTGCTCACATCAATAGATATTTTTTTTCTTCCTTTGAGCAAAAAAGACGATGTAAAAAAACAGTGGGAGTGGCGAGGGTTCTGTGGTCAGTGGAGTAGGGCTCCCTTCTATATATCATGTATAAGAGGATATAAATGACTAGACATGCATGGATTTAATAAAAAATGTATTAGAGCTGTCAAAATTACATTTTTCATTAATTGCGTTTAAAAGAAATTAACGCGTTAAACGCATGTCCGAATGACCCGCCCATGTATCCCATAATATCACTCAGAATGCCGCGGACACATGCGTGTGTGAGATGGCAACAGAGCAGGTCTCTGGGATTTCAAGTTTTAAAAGAATAGGCGCATGACCGCGGGGCACATGCTGTTGTTTTCTGTGAACTGAAGTCTACATCCTTCGTGGCCGCAGCATCCTGACCCGGGGCAGCTGCGGCCGCTCTGGACTGCAGTTCCCACCTTCAGCGGCTGTGAGCCGCTAACAACAACACGGCGAATGGCGCCGCGGTAACGTGATCCAAGACCATATACGCACTGAACTATTCTCAGCATGTTGTGTGCGTGTCTTTGCGTAACCTGTGCACGCAATAAATACGCCGCTGAAGCTGAACTATGGGGCCTCAGGAAGTGTCTGTGTCTCCTCCTGAAACGCAACTAAACTCGCTAACTTAAAGCTGGGGTATGTACAATTTCCCTTTCATTAACAGCTCATGTTGGTTGTGCCCAAAAGTAAAAGGTTGTGAGCAAATCAAAAAGATTTGAGTACATTTGGTATGAATGACAATGTGTCATTCATGGATCTATAATAATAACTGGATAGGGTATTACTAACTTATAGCTGTCCCACCCATGGGCACAGGGGGCGCCCGTGGTACTGCAGACTAAATTCACATGGGCTACCCAGAAAAAAGTCCCATAGAACTTAATGTAAACTAAAACAGCTTGACCTCAGCTGACAGAGAAGGTGCAGCTTTCATAAAGATCGGATTTTGTGGGGGTTTTAGTGTCCCTTGTCATCCTGAACTTTTTACAGCCACAAACTCTGCTCGTTTCCTTCCCGCTCTGACTCCGCTCTACCACTGCTCTGATCAGCAGCGCTGATTGGTTAGAGCGCGGCCGAGCCCCTCTGTGCCGTGTATGAGAGCCACACACGCGTATTTGAGATCATCCACAGCACGGAACCAGGAGGACCAGACGATGCCCAAATATAGGCATATATATATATATATATATATATATATATATATATATAAAAAATTGTCCACTCACCTTTGGCCCTCCGCGGGCGGTTATCCCTCTCTAAGCTCGGGTCCTCTACCAGAGGCCAGGGAGCTTGAGGGTTCTGCGCAGTATCTTTGCTGTTCCTAGCACTGCACATTTCTGGACCGAGATGTCCGAGGTTGTTCCGGGGATCCGCTGTAACCACTCATCTAGCTTCGGGGTCACTGCCCCGAGTGCACCGATCACCACGGGCACTACTGTCACCTTTACCCTCCAGGCCCTCTCCAGCTCCTCTCTGAGACCTTGGTATTTCTCAAGCTTTTCATGTTCTTTTTTCCGGATGTTACCATCGCTTGGAATTGCCACGTCCACCACCACGGCTGTCCTCTGCCCTTTGTCTACCACCACGATGTCAGGTTGGTTTGCCATTACCATTCGGTCGGTCTGTATCTGGAAGTCCCACAGGATCTTTGCACGCTCATTCTCCACCACCTTTGGAGGAGTTTCCCACTTAGACCTTGGAGTTTCCAGCCCATACTCTCCACAGATGTTTCTGTACACTATGCCAGCCACTTGGTTATGGCGTTCTATGTAGTCCTTCCCTGCCAGCATCTTGCACCCTGCAGTTATGTGTTGGATCGTCTCAGGTGCCTCTTTGCACAACCGACACCTTGGGTCTTGTCTGGTGTGGTATATCTGGGCCTCTATCGCTCTGGTGCTCAGGGCCTGCTCCTGTGCAGCCATGATGAGTGCCTCTGTGCTGTAGGCCAGCCCTTTCTAGCCATTGGTAGGACTTCTTGAGATTGGTAGGACTTCTTGAGATCACTTCTGTTATGCTCCGGTGGTACATGCCGTGTAGGGGCTTGTTCTCCCATGATGGGCTCTCCTCCAGCACCTCCTCATCTCGCCACTGCCTGAGACATTCACTGAGTACGTCATCTGTTTTGGCCTTCTCCATGATGTAGTTATGGAGTTTGGATGTTTCGTCCTGGACAGTGGCTCTCACACTCACTAGTCCTCGGCCTCCTTCTTTACGGCTTACGTACAGTCTCAGGGTGCTGGATTTGGGATGGAACCCGCCCCCCCCCCAAATCCATATATAATATATATATATATATATATATATATATATATATATATATATATATATATATATATATATATATATATATATATATATATGTCAGCTCCCGTGAAGTCCCATGTCCTACTGAGCACAAGCCATTCATTTGAATAGGGCGCCATCTTGGATCACCGCGGCTTGGTGTCATTACATTTGATAATCTCATTTAACTTCAACTGGAGTGGATTTGAAATAGAATGTTAAAAATGTGATTAATCGTGAGTTTACTCACCATTAATAAGCGATTAATCAACTACAAAATGTTAATTGTTTGACAGCCCTAATTTTTATTCATTAATTGCAACTACCATGATCAAGTAATTTCAACCATTTCAGAAAGCATTTTAGAAATAAAATATGTAAAAAGTATACAATCCTGAAAAAGTTACCATTTCGAAAGTCTTTTTTTTTTTTTTAAACAAAAAAAGTAAAAAACAATTGCCTTATAGTTTTAGCTTTAGGCAATGCACACCTCTATAACGCAGTAGCTGAAAGAATAAGGTACTATCTTAACATCCACTTTTTAACATTGCATACAACATGACATTAATTCTGTGCAGGGCTGGAGATCTTTGAGTTTTCCAACACAATGCATAACTCGATAGGCCACGATACAATGCATATCTAGATACAGGGCACTTTCATTTGGAGTCAGTATATTTCAAAGTGATTCAGTACAGACAGCAAAACAAAAGCTTTTGGCCCATTATCTAGTCTGCTACGCCATTTGAAAAAAAATATTGGCTCATTTATGTTATTTATATAGATAGATAAAAAAAATCTATGCTGTATCTAATTAAAGAATATCAATATATCAAACCGCTAATTCTGTGGCAGGTGAGCTTTGGACACATTTCTCATTAACTAAGTATTTGTTTTCAAGATAGGGGAGATACCATTACAGAATATACTTCATATTGTACCTCTCCACTGTTGTCCAGTTTCGACATCCATCCCTTTTTGAAGTTCAGTAGGTCAGGCTGACAGAGAAAACAGTTTCAGTTTCATGGCTTTCATTGAGATGTTCCACATAAAAAGTAGAACAAAACCAGGCGATAGAAAAGGTGCGAAAACAGCAGGAAATAACAAATGTGCAGTAAAAGGTCAAACAAAAGTAACATAATAGAAACAGACGACAGTTTTAAGTTGAATTCACTGTGGAAATACAGAGAACAAAACATGCTTATAAACCGCTATCAGATAAGATTCCAGATTAAGATTAGGCAACCTTCTCCCTATACATTCCACACTGGGATTACGTGTCCTACTAAGGCACGAAGCACTTTTCATGCTCATTTATCACCAGCTCTTCCAGGGGCTCACATTTTTTAAGGGCCCGTTTTGTTTCAGCCAAATCTATTTATTTTTGTATCTCCCAAAATAACAGCTGCAGTTTCTCAGAAGAGGTCATAAAAATTGTCAAAACAAGTTCAAAAAAATCAAAAAATTAGGCCCAAAGAGAATGGTGTCCTATGAGTCTACCTTTAAAGCAAAAATTGTTGTGTATCTAGTCCAAACCTAGGCTTAGAGTTAAGAATGCAGAAAGACAACACCCACATTCACCCAATTATTGTGCTTTCATGGATATTATACCTTTTCTTTTCATATCATTCTTTTATTTATATTAAATGACTCAACCATTGTTACAAAGTCACCTAAAGGGCGATAAGATAAAGAGAACCTGTATTCTTTCCGCATTGGGGAATTATGAATGGACTCAATAAACAGGTGCAGTACAAGTAGCATCACACACAATATAGTTTTATCCAAATTTGATCTCACTTGATATGCGTTTTGTTTGTATAGAGTTCCATTCCCTGTAGTAATAGCCATGTAGTACCACCTTTATGACAGGTCACAGTATACACTCATGCAGCCAACTTGACAAGCAAATACTAACAACGTGTCACAGGCGACTGCAAAGCTATTGACTGAGCAAATACAAGCCTTATGGAGCGTACCCAGCACCACCACACCTGAAAACACGTGTTCTGTATGCAGATCATGCGCAGACTAGGATCTTAAATAATGATCTTAAATATTGCACACGGAACGAGAGTCGACTTTTCACATGGCAACTTTAGGAAAAACAGAGTAGCAAAACAAGTTGAAGACAGTGCAATGTGTGTATGTACTTACCGTCATGATAACAGGAGCCACGGAGGCAGATCAAACACAGGGCACGTTAGTCAAAGCAAATTATGTCAGATTTATAAGTCAGATTTTTACAGCTCTCTCGACATATTTCAGTCGTAAGTAGATAAAAGCCCGCCATTCATCTCTGTTTAAGTTCCTCAAGATCAGCCTGCGATTCGGATTGGATAGGATAGCCTGCTAACTAGCCGAACATCAAGCCTTCCCACTAACAGCTTTACCACTATAATTCCAGTATTATATCTGGACAAAATTAAAAGTGTTTTTCTCTTGTTTCTGTCGCAGCTCGGTGCTTTCAGTCTTTGCTGCAACTTCCTCCTGGGCGGATCCGCGAAGATCGTTAGTGACAACAGGCGCGCAGCTCGGAGATCCTCCGTGAGACTGACACACGACAAAACGCCTTTTCTCGGACTTGGAGGTAGAACATTATTACTGTGTTCACTGGTCTGGGAACAGTCAGCTCAACACGAAACGCAAGCCCACCCTTTATTAAAGCTGCCATATTATCATGTACCTGTTGCTCCCGGAAAACGCTAGAGAGGTGAGGAGGTCTCACTCGGTGCAAGTGAAAGAAGCATCATTTTGTAAGTTAATTTAAAGGTGTTTTTGTTTCATGTGATATGTGTAGGCTAGAATCTGGACTAATATGAGACATTTCAAGCGGCACATTTCTGCTCATAGATACTTGTTGGTATCTTTCTTTGTTTTTTACATAAGGAATTCAAACACATGCCCCAGCAGACCAAATTTGACAAAGCTCAGTGAGAGTCAAATGCCTCAAGGGTTTGAGGTAATGCAGGAAGTTGATGAATTTGTATGTCATCATAGACAACAAGACATTTAAAAGTGAACATAAATGTATAAACATATACATAAATAAATGCAAGGCCACTAGCCTACATTTCCCTTAATTAATAAGCAATTATAGTAGTAGTACTCAAATTCCATGAGTAAAACACGATAATTACCATAACAGGAGCACAAGGCCTTAATCATTCACAAGCAATGCAGAAATGCCAACACATACCTGCATTTGTTCTGACCTGTGCTGGCTGTCTTTATACGTGCCCTCTTCTGTGGTTGGACTGGCAGATCTCTGAAAATAAACAGATGGTGATCATGTCAGATACTCAAGATTTGACTCCGCAAACAAGCAACAACAAACTACCATATTGTAATGAGTTACATTTATGGATGTGACTCAGCAGGCCACATAATTAACACATTCCAATATAAGAAACATGAAACAGCAGGTTTTATATATGAACATTAACATCAGGAGTTTATTTTTGTTATTGTGTACACAGGGAAAAGCTTATGTTTCTCTTCAACCTACATGCAGTGAGGTAGAGGAGTGGGCTCTAGAAAGATAGCCACTCCCTCCATATGGCCATTCTGTGTCTCGTGTGTCGTCCCATTCCCTGGATGGCTGCTTGCTCACTGAATGGCTATAAAAGGAGGGAAAAACATAATTATATTTCTCACTGCCTCATCAGCTGCTCTTGCTCCTGATGCTCACCTTGCTGGTTTGAAAAGTTGGTGTGTTCGTTCTGGTGGGCTCTTTTTGACTTTCGGCAGGTCAGCCATGATGGCATAGTCTTCCCTGATATGTCCTGTGGAGCCCACAGAATGTTGGCCAGACTCCAAGGACTCCATAGAGCTTTGGGAGGATGTGTGCCTCCTCAAATCTGATTGTGAAGGTGAGGGGCTTCTTACTCTACTGGACCTCTCAATTGTAGGAGCGTAGTGATCCTCATTACGGCGTCTACTACCGACAGAGTTGGTTCTTTCTGAGCTTCTGGGAGTATCCCTAGTATCATAAGAGACTTTGTTCCCGGTGGTAGATTGTCGAGAAGGTGAAGCAACTTGAGATACAGACGAACTGTGATTTGTTCTGGAAGATTCTCTCCAAGAGCGTGATGAATCATTCGTTTCAGATTTAGGTTGAGGTTCTCTTCCTTGACAAGAACGACTGACGTTTCCATTTGTGGCATTGCGAAGAACTGAATATCCAGGGGGATGTGTGAGGCCTCTCTGAGGAGGTGAGTGGCTGCGCACACCGCGCTCAGCTGTCCTTGGAGCTCCTGGTTCTGGAGGTTCATAACTTCTTCTGCTACCATCAGTCTTCCTGGGAAGAGACTGAAAGGATCCTCCAAAGTTGCTCCTCACTGGGGAAGAGTTACGACTTTCACCACGGCTACACACTGACCCTCTGGTGTCTGTTCTCTGAGGCCGATGAGCACTTTCAAAGCCCTTTCTTCCAGGAGAAGAACTACGGCTTTCATGGCTTCGACTGTACAGTGATCCACTGGTGTCCGCTCTTTGAAGCTGGCTATTAAATCCCCTTCTGCCAGGGGACGTACTTTCACGGCCTCGGAGTCCACTTTCAAAGTCAGTCTTGCGTAGCACCGATTTATTTGGCATTTCAACAGAAATAGGAGAGATAGAGGGACTTTCATCCTCTTCCTCATTTGTCCCATAATTACTGATCTGGGTACGAATCAGTGCTTGGCTTTCAATATCATAACCTTCTCTGACGGGAGAGCCACAACGGCCAGGGTGACCACGTCCATTTAGAGACCAAATTGATTCTGAATTACGCAGGACAGAGTAATTAGATGTGTCATGAGTTCTTCTTGGTAGTGAAGCACTGCGTATGCTTCTTGTATTATCGGCCAACCTCTGGGTTAGAGCCGAGGCCCGGCCCTCTCTGCTATGTGCATAAGAAGTGCTCTGAGCTTCTGTCTTTTTCAGAGACAGTTGGCCTTGAGGGCTATAGTCACCCCTTGATGGAGAAGAATTTCTACTGGGTTTCACACGTCCATTTACAAACCCACTTGTGTCGGATTTCCGCAAGGCATTTCTAAATTCTGAAACCGTGTTTGATTGAGTTTTCACTGCAGTTGCAAAAGATTTGTTTCTTGGCATGGTTCCAAAGTCACCTCTGTGATTATTAGTGCTTTGCGAGAGAGCGCTTTTAGATGGCATCTCTGTCCCTTTTGTCCTATTTTTGGCCCCATCATAGCTGTATCTGTTAAGTGAAGTAGCAGATTCACTTCGTCGGAAGGCTAAACTATTACGAGTAGGTGATGTAGGCCGTGACTCTATTCCTTTTGGCCTGCCCCCTCCATCATAGCTGTGTCTGTTCAGTGAAGTGGCGGATTCGCTGCGTCTGAATGCTGAACTATTACGGGTAAGTGCAGTAGGCCGCGACTCTATTCCTTTTGGCCTGCCCCCTCCATCATAGCTGTGTCTGTTCAGTGAAGTGGCGGATTCGCTGCGTCTGAATGCTGAACTATTACGAGTAGGTGATGCCGGTCGTGACTGTTGCAATGTGGTTTGTCTGGACGATTGATATGAGTTTATTTGAGCCGAGCCTCTTCCATACGAATTGTTAGTCACCTTACGCCCGGTGGAGGCCAAAGACTCTGCAATTTTAAACGGTGTAGGACTGGGTGATCGTGGGCCAACTTGTGCCTCAACTTCTATGGCTAATTCATGCGGGTCTGGTGGAAGAATTTCCTCTTGTTCATCCTCGATCACAGGATCAGGAATGAGTCGATCAGAAGCAACACCAAGATTGGGGTTTCTAAATGGAACTGCATCTTTAGGTTCAACATTCCTAAGGTTGAAGACCGGGTGCCCTCTTTCAATATGACGGTAAGCACTGGTTTCACTGGTCCCTGTCGCCCTTCCCAAAGAAAAGTAGCCACTCTCTCGTTTATCTTCTTTTAAACCTGTGAAAAGATGTAAGTGTGAAAGAAATAGGGAACGCAGAAAGAAGAGAGGTAGTAACTAACTGCGGTTTCCTGACACAAACCCACCGATCTAAAGTTACCAATAATGGCCTTGTGACACCTCAGCTGGTAACATCAAACAGTAAAGTAAAGTAGAGAACACCTTTGTAACTAAATACAAACTCTGCTTCGCAAAGTACTTCCATCAAAAGCTCAAAGAACAAATACTATTTCAAATTAACGACCTGAATGCCTTGTGAATGCATCTCTACTCCGGGCTTCATCCATCCATACTTGAGGGTTGGATCGGTGGGGCGGATGGTCAAGCCGGGTCATGGCCAAGTGGGTCGGATGGTGTTGGACAGGTTGGTATTCGTCCTCTGTGCTTATGGAACTGCTGACTTCCTGGTAGTCACTCTGATCACAGGAACTGTGAAAAGGAACAGGTTTGAAATATACTGTATTAATGCTAGGAGCGCATGTGTCTCTGTCTGTGGCGTATCTTGCTGCGGTTTGTCAGATCAAGCGCTTTGATACGGGTGTGCATCGTTTATTTTATTATTTTTGTGCAATTATTTTATTTTTAGATAGCTTTTATTTAGACGTGTGTAATCAACACAGGCTTTTATATTCACCCGCCCATAGAGGTTTATCATGTTAAGCTTCCTACACTATAAGAATACACACTTCCTACAGGCACTGCACATACAGAAATAATGAAATGGTGTCATTTAAAACTTCCATAAAACCATTTCAGACTCCATAGAAAAAAAATTACTGTGATGGTTTTTGATCGAGCGTCCATCACTTGCTTGTCACATGTAAATGATATTGCCGGGTCAGGAATGAAGTATCTGCCAGGCTGTTTTGATGCCAAAAAATGGAGATGGCAAAATTTATGGCATTTTGTGAAACATTTCAGGATAGCAGTCACGAATAGGTTTGTAACCCTCTTAATAAAACAAACATTACTTAGATCATAACTATGAAATATAGACTTCAAAGACGTCGTACCTGCCAGTGCTGTGTTCGTCGTCTCCTTCACTGATGTAGAGTGCACAATCGGGGCTTAAGATGCAGAAGGAGCTCTCTCTGTCGCCCGTCTGCCCTCCACCAACATCGCAATACCTGCTCACTATAGAGTCCAAATGGTCCTACATAACATTCACAGAATCAATGCATCATTAGATTTAGGAAAAGACACATTCCCCCACCAAACTGTGTTGTCCTGTCCCCAGAGTGTTGACGATAAGCTCAATAGTGTGTCCCCTCTGTCCTCTCTGGCACATACTGCTGTTCGATTAGGGTTACACCTTGGTAACATGACCTTGTCGGTGACTATCCTCATTAACTTTTAATTCTTCTATTCCCACCTCCAAACCATTCCTTTTATCATCACAATGTCTTACAGTTGTATGTGTACAAACACATACAAATTTTGATTTCTGTTGTAAAATGACCAAATATATAATCATGAGATGTTTAGTTACACAAGCATGTATTGTGGCAGCCCTCACACCAGTTTCATAGTTGTTTGATGATAAAATGCACTTCTGTGGTAATTAGGCTATATTGAAAAGACTGCAGTCCAAGATGTTGGGTTTAATATTACAAGTGATTCCCAAGAGGGCGTCAAGTGATACATTGTTGTAAAATTTATAACAGATACCACCCTGTTGTCTACTGGAGGTTTTTTAGAACATTAAACTTTTCCAATAATAAACACCAAGATTACATACATTACATCCAGACAATGTTTCTGTCATGAGGGCAGGATTCTAGGATGACATATTTAGGTAACCTTATAGCTTCTCCACAATATTTCAACCTGGTTGCTGTTCTGAGCATCTTCATTTCAGGTAAGACTGAGTTCTTACCTTACAGCTGGTGTCCTTTTCTTCTGCTTGAGATGGAATTGTTGTCAACAACACTCCTTTGCTCTGTGTAATGCCATTTTGAGTCACATTTTCTATCTTATTCCCATCTGTTGCTGAAAAGGGCTTCTGCTGTGGTGCTATTCCGGTGCTTTCCCCTGCCCCAGAGTGAAGGTGCTTTTGCCGCAGACAGTCGTGGCAGCGGGAGGGGTCAAAGATGTTCGGTTGGAACTTTGGGCACACAGGTTCATCAGGAGAGATGGGCATAGTGAGTCTGCTGCACTCATTCCAACTAAGAGCAGCAAGAGTTGAAATAAAAATAAAAATGAATTATCTATGTGGTCTTATTGATACATGTTGTATTTTCTATACCAGCCTTAGGACAATGGGTGCCAATTCCAGCATATTTACCTTAAACTGTTCGCTGACACATTAATCAAAATGGTTGTGTCCCAATTTAAATAATCAAACTCAAAACAATGTTGCAATTGTGCAACTCCCTTTTTACCCGGCATGAATGAATGAATGCACATTATAGGAGCTGGAGAAATTGTACAGACGTGGCTTGTACATTAGCTGTGTGCAATGCAGCCCTTGTAAGTGAAATCTAATTACATGGAAAGATGGTGTAACACCATCCTTCAGAGCACAAAATAGTGCCATATTAGTCACATGCACAATTACAGTGTATCATCTCTCAGATTTATCAAAGTGATTGAAATGAAGCAATAAATGGTATTTGGTATTACCTGACATGAGCTGCCCCTCAGACCCCCATCACATAAACGCCTCTTCTCCATACCTTCTAGCCACTTGCTCTACAAAAATATCTAGAACATTCCACTGGCTCTTCAGACAAAAAGTGAATCCGAGGCATTAATTACAGCCACCCGCTCACAATTAAACTTGCAGTTTTAAATACAGACTTTGATCCAAAATGGAGCTGGTGACTGGATGAGTTTGTTCCTCGAGGAGGCATCTGTATTAAATATCATGGGCTTTAGAAAGCGAAATGAAACGCTCATGTTGGGACAGCTGGCACTCGCTGGCTCAGGTGAACGTAAATAAATAAACACAGAGGTGGGAGGGGGGCCACATACATTAAAGCAAAAATGAATTGAAAACCACTTTTTAAAATTGACATCAGAGCGGAGTATCAAGAGTATCAAGTCTCAATGTCAAAGTTGAATTTCCTCTTTAAACAAAGCATAAATGTAAATCAAGAAGATACTAAGATTTCTTTTTAATCTTGACAATTAGTTTTAGCAAAAACATGACAAAAGACAAAGTATGTGACAAATTTAAAACAGGCAGTTACAGACAGTGGATATTTACACACAATTACAAATTTACATTTTGTAAGTCTCATTCTTCCCAGTTCGTCTGCGTCTTTCTCTCTTAGTTGTTTTCCCACCTTTGGTCTTCTTTTCAGTTTCGGAAACGTTTTTGTCTGTTCTTCGGTTTGTGCCTTTCTGTTTTCCCTTCTTTCTCTTGGCAGTAAAAGTGTTGAGAGAAGCATTTAGGGAGCGGATCCTAAAAAGGTAATGCAAAGAGAATAGTCTTAGCTTGAGGTCGAGGGTGGTTCTTTCCTAAAATTTGAGAGAATCCTCCTATATACCTTTATGTATAACATGCCATAGTAGCCCATTACCATTAATTCTATAATAATATTAATAGAAATCATTTCAGGGGCCACTAAAATGGTCTCCGTTCCGAGATTGACATTCCTTCTTTAAATGGTTAATCTTGATATTGTGTTTATTGTTGCCACCAGATGAGCAATAAACATACTTTTTGTTGAGAATAGGATTCCCCGCTTTTTTCGGCATGGCCGTTTTCCTTTCCTCATCTTTGGTTGGTTGGTTGGTTTCTTCTTTATTCCCATCGACCTGTGAGCAGAAATGACGTATGTTGTGATAAACATAGTAATGTGCATGGTACAGAGATGGAAAAGGAACACTTACCTGGTCAGATACTGGGCCCAGCAGGTGAGACCCCGTCAGGTCAAGATCACAGATGGTTGTCACAGTAACAGTGTGATTGGGATGGTCATATTGAACAGATTCTCTAGTTGCAGTTATGACATCCTCTAAATCATCTTTATCCTCATCTGAGATCCACACATAAACATATTGACAGGAATAAACCCCACACTGAATGTATCAAATCTAATTGAGGTATCAACCTACCAAGAGCATCTCTTCTTTCTTTCAACAACTTCAAGTATTCTTTATGTCTCTGAAATGTCCAAAACATGGTGTTATGACTTGATCAAACTATAAAAACACTTCTACATACACTTTTCTACTTTCGTACTTCTTCTCGGACTTTGATTTGCTCCTCTTTTATTTTCTTCTTTATTTCTTCCACTGCAGCCTTCCTTCTCTCCACTTTTCTCTTGTGGAAACCTGTGAGATAATCCCTAAAAACGCAACATAGACGAAACAAACAGGTGATGAAAGGCACGTAGTTGCAGGATTTAGCATGCGATTCAAAGCTTTTCTAATATTACGCACAAGTAGATACTTACTGTCGATCTTTTTCATCGAACGTAACGATGCACTTATTTTCCCTCTTTTTTGAACCGGCCTTGAATTTCTTTTTGGAAGAGCCATGTTGATTATTTTTATGTTTCATTTTCACACGTGAGTTTAGGTCTAGGAACTATTTTCTGCTGAAGTGCGTTGTGCGGACTTTCCGTGTGGGAGCCAAGTGAGAAACAAAGGTTCCGCTACGCTCGCATAATCAACGTAATGTTATTTATATATGTCTTTTGAATACAGCTCTTTTAAAGTATCCACAGACTACCCGTTTAATTAAAGGTGTTTTGGATGTTTTAATAAAAAATAAAAAAAATACACATATGCACCCTGTGTGATCTGTGGGCCGACCGACTTGTAATTTCCTCCTGTTTGTTTCCATGGTAATATTACATCTCTGCCACCTCCCATAACATAAAAAACAAGCAAGATCCTTTACTTTCCATTGAATCATGTGACCACCTCGAAAAAGATGATTAGTGTTTCTCAGTGATTACTCCAGGGGTGGCCAACCCGCGGCTCGTGAGCCGCATGCGGCTCTTTGGCTGGTTCCGTGCGGCTCTCGGGCTTTCACATGACAAGCGTCAAAAACGCCTCGGTGGTGGCGCTGCCTTTCATTCCCTATGTAGTTCTGACCCATAGTAAAGGCCGACTTCACTCCACTAGCCAGGCCACCAAAACAATCTGACGTCGGCGAACGTCAATTCTGATTGGCCAGATGCGCTGTCAATCACTCTGCAGCCGCTGCCTCAGTTGTTGCAAATATCATAACAAACAACACGTTGCCTCGACCCATGACGTCCGTACGGAAAACAGCTCCTTGGTCGCTGGATGAGGGCAACACCTTCCTCAGTTTGAGGAGAGGACACCAGCGTGAGCTCGATGGTTCCACCAGAAACCAGAAGGTGTTTGTGGAGCTAGCGCTAAGGACGGAGCAGAATGATTCCCACAAACATGACAATGCAGAGAAAAGTTAAAAAGCTTAAAAGTGACAACCGTGAAATGAAAGATTACAGCAGCAGAAGTAGAGGCAGACCCGAAAAGTCTGGAGGTGGTTTGACCAAATGGATTACATTTACGGACATCGGCTAACACCGGCTAACATGCTAAAACCAGCTAGCACCAGCTACACCAGGAGATAAGCCTGCCTGGTGAGTGTCTGTCTTCAATCAAATGCAAAAGTATCTGGTCTTATACTGAACATGTGTCTGGTTTCTAAATCAGCTAAAGTGGTGTTGGTGTTATGTGTCAAATCTATATCTTTTACTAAACGCAGTCAGAGTGAATCATGGTTCAATAAAGACAGTTGTGTTTCTGCTGAACACTGGGTTGAAACTTGATTTTTTTTCTTGGTTAGAGATTGAAAGCATTCATTTCGGAATCATAATTGATGTTCGCTGACGTGAAATTGTTCTGGTATCGACTCGCCCGGTTAGAACCAGGCCAAACCATAATAAAAAGTACCGGGGAGAGGCTGAAGCGAGCGGTAGAAGCGCCCGCAAACCAGGGAGAGTTCAGTCCAGCCCTTTAGTGCTGTACGAGTCAATTTCTGTCATTATCATGTTGATGACATTTACAATAAATCTGTGTGAGCAGAGCACACCTCTCTCTGCTCAGACAGATTGCATGTGTTTGTGTGTGTGTGTGTGTGTGTGTGTGTGTGTGTGTGTGTGCGCGTGTCTGCTCGTGTGCGTGAGCGTGCGTGTGTGTGTGTGTGTGTGTTTGTGTGAGAGAGCGTGTCTGTTCGTGTGCGTGTGTAAGGGTTGGGGTGATGTTTATGTAGTGCACATTTGTATGATGTGGCTCTTTGCTTAACACGGTAAAAAAAATTGGCTCTTAGTCTCTGACTGGTTGGCCACCCCTGGATTACTCGATACAAGTGCAACTTTTCACGTATTTCACCAATTATTTGTCATACAATACAATTATTTAAATGAACCTTGGGTAAAAAAAAATCCAATTTAAACTACAAGGAATTTACCATCGCAAATGATCACTCACTGCTGTAAATTCTATTCAGCAGGGGCCCAAATTAAAAGTTTGAGAACATCTGCTTTAATAATATTGCATCGGTTTTATATAGCGCTTATCAGGACAATCAAAGACACTTCACATTTCATTATTCTTTCACTTCATACACGATGGTGAAATACTACTACTGTAGCCACAGTTGCCCTGAGGCACATGACAGAAGAGAGGCAACCAGTATGTGCCATCGGTTGCTCCGACCACCGCCAACCACTCATGCACACACCAGACTCATTCTAGGCAATGTGGGTGAAGTGTCTTGCCTAAGGACACAACAATTTGGTACTTTACAGTCGCAGCTGCCCTGGTGTTCCCCGAGGTCTCCTATCACAGTACTAACCAGGCCCTGCCCTGCACAGCTTCAGAGGTGTGGCTTTTGCATGCAAGTGCGGCTTTAAAGACAATACAAGAGGAAACAGATGCTGAAAAGTTGTTATGGTAATCCTAAAGTTTATATAATATGTGAGAATGGAAGCTCAGAACAACCGCTTTGCAAAATTATATTTTATTTTATGTAATTATAGTGCAACATAAGACCAGTCTATGGAATTCATTCTGTGCAGTGAGTCCTAGTGGATAATATCCTGGTGGAGATCAATAAAATACAATATAATAAAACCCCAAAAATACATTTATTTAAAAGAGCTTCAATGAGAAGCATATGAACAGGAGCATTAAATAAACAAGAACACAAAACTGCACGGACAAAAGACATACAATCATAAAACGCAAAAAGGACACACAATTTTCAGGACACTTATCCGTGTATTAAAACATTATAAAATATTTCTTCAAGGCAATTTCCGCTCAAGGTTGAAGTTATCCTTTTCAACTGAGAGAATATAAACATTAAAGTCCTTGGCTGCTACTACAAGCAGAGTTTCAACTTTTTATTAACATATTTCTTCTCAGCAGTAAGTCATGTCATCCTGTTTATCTTCTTCTGAACATCTTCTATTTACAAACTATATACAAAATCCTATAGATGAGGAAAAGACGAGTTATAGTTCAAATGTCCATTCTCATGTATTTGAGGATTTTGGTCATGGTTATATTCCTAATCCTTTTTGTTAGCACACAGATTATGTTTTCCAATTTATGCAATTCAAGGTTACTAGTCTGCTTATCTTTCTGTGGGATATTTTACGTTGTTTCAAGGATAATTTTCAATTTTGCTTCTTAGCACAATGCTGCCTGCTTTTTTACAGTATGAGGTAGATAAGAAGAGTCGCCATTGAAAAAAAGATAATTTTACAGCCCTGTGTTTGCCTTCTTGAACAGGACACAAATCCCATAGCCCCGTTCAGACCGGACCAAGCGCCATGTCAGGTTTATGTGGGGAGTTTTGAAGGCGTCATATCGTGAGAGTTGAACAATGGTAAACTTCTGGGTCTGCGACGATGGACACCACAAACATGGGTCACAGGGAGAGGAGGAAAACCCTTAAAAACAGCAATAATTTTACCAAAGAGCTAAACAATATCTGAAAAAGGACTGAAAATGGGGAAGAAGGTGATTGTGGCCTATGCTGTCCTGTGTTGATATTCAAACATAACTGGGTGTTTCAGCATTTTGGTTAGAGGAGAAAAAGTGGCCGTGGCAAAACTGGCAAGGGATTGAAGTCCACTTGATTCTAAATCTGATATTTAATAAAACGTGGTTCCAACATACTGTGACAGGCGTTTTTGGTCTGAACAGGGCTTTGAGTGAGCATTGCAAGTAAGACCCTACTGCAGGACTAACAATAGTATGTGTGCCAATAATAATGATTGTTAAGATTATCTCTGTCGTACATAATGTTGGAATTAAGAGTAAACCTGATCTTGATCTCTTTCATTTCAGCCAAGAATGTGGCTTTAAGTAACTGTGGTACCATTTATGACCAGCAGATGGGGCTAATGTCTTCCTCCATTACAAACATTGTATATAAGATAGTCAATTTGACAGAAAGTTCATAAAGCTGCAAAAACTCCTGGGAAGGATATGAACAGAGATTGCTTGTTTTTTTTTTTGTCTAAATTTTGAGCATCATTCATGAAGCGGCAATAGTCGTCCCTCCACTGAGACGCAGGAGGATCTGCTGACAGTCCTGAAGGGAACGTCTGTCTCCCACTCGTTCCAGGGTGCGTTTGGCTTCAGCCAGCAGGCGAGCGCGGTGCCCAGGAGGGGTTAGAAGAGGCATGGGAAGGTGGCGGCAGGCGAGTAGGATGGCATGTGCCCTCTCCCTCTCTCCCAAGACACACTCACCTGGGAAAAAAAAAAACAAGACATTGGTTATAATAAATGTCAAACTGTTTTCTATTCTATTGAAGATGGCAGCTTGATTCAGCCAAAAACTGTATTCAGCGCTTTTGAATTGTTTAAGGGCTCAGTAAAGGGAATTACAATTGTCCATGTGACAATGGAGAAACCTTTTGTTCATAGTTTTCTTACGTCTTAGAAAATAGTAGGAATGGGAAATTGATATTAGTATTCATTTATAACTCTAAAATGGATAATACTTTTCTATTCTCAGGTCAAAGACTCACAGACAGAAATAGAAAATTATTATTTAGGATTTTTTATGCATGAATCAAAGGTTATGGGTATCCTATCGATCACATCAAATGTGGTCTTGCCCATCTCTTGTGTATAGATCATAGACTGTAAAAATTATGGACATATGTGTGCAATACCACTCAAGAAGGAGCTGTTGGTTCTGCGGCGAAGGTTGTGCTCTAGAAGTTGGTGCGTCCGTGTGGGGCTCGCTCCGGCCATCAGTCGAACAGTCGTCTCATGAAGAAAAACCTGTTGCATAACATTTTCAATTTTAATTTAATTTTACAAAAGTAGATAATTTACATGCAAATGACAAAAATGCCGTTTTTGATGCATGCTCACCATTCATACTGTAACTGCAGTATGAATAGTGAACTGCATGTTCTTCAAATTCCTTTTGGAAAACTCCCACATAAAGAAGTCCTGTTCAGTTAGATACTGATGTTGTCATAGTTACCTTATGCTGAGCCTGTCTGTAACACTGAGTGAGCTTTCGGAGAGCACTGAGATCTCTCTGAAAACCTGGCAGGAACGATATAGGTGCAGGAGCTGGTTCTCCATTACTGGTGCCACTGCGCTGCCACAGACTCGTCCTCAAGGTCAAGAGGAGGTCACAGACAAGAAGCTCCACGCCCTTAGGAAGCAGATAGAGGAACAGATCAGTGAGTAAAATCATAATTAATATCACGTGACTATTGAGCCTTCACATGCAGCAAATATGAATCCGTGTTGTAAAATCAAGATAGTAAAACCCACCAGTCCCAGGAGGTAAAACAGTGGGGTGTCAGTGGGGCGTGCTGACTGGGAAAGCGTCTGTGTTGCACTGCAGCCACATTGCACTTAACTTCAGAATCATGCAATGCAACTACAATGCACCGCAGCCACCTCCTGCCACCCACACTCCGCCACACTCACAGCCCCACAGCTCAATCAGCATGCAAGAAAATGATCCAACAGCTTCCAAAAGTCACCATGCATGATTAGGAGTACAGAAGTGATGAAACAGCCAAACAGAACAAAAGAGTGTATTATAACACAAATGTACCTTGTGGAGGTAGTTGCCCGACTGAGTCAGAGCCACAGAGATGCTGGAGCGCATGTAGCTACTGGCTCTGTCGCACTGAGACAGACAGGTGATGAGGCCTTCTCCTTTCAAAGGTGCCAAACTCATGTGAACGGTTTTACAAAGCAACAGCACTGCTTTGGGAAGAGAGTGGCTGCAACGACAAAGAAATATTATTATGGTTCACCGACAAACACTAAACAAAAAACACTGGGTTTTTCTCTGAGGAGTTGCTGGGCCTCCACATCGAGATGCCCAAGGTCAGCTGTGTCTTTGCCAACTGTTTTGGTTTTCTGGGCATTTCCCAGAAGGAAGAGGCCCAGGGGAAGACCAAGGACACACTGGAGGGACTATGCCTCTCAGCTGGTAACAAGTCCTCCATCTATGCAGAAGGACCCATTAGTCTGGACCCATTACTTTATACAAATCTGAATCTATTTTATTAAGCACTTCTTTTTTGCAGAGATAATCCTTTTAAAATACTAATATTACTTAATAATTTACTATGACCCACAGTCCAATTGTTTATTTCAAACATAGGTTACAAGAAGTCTTACTGTTATGCATTGTTTACAATGAGCTTTAACCATTAATAATACAATAATTGTACTTACTCGAGCGTGTGCAGTGCTCTTGGCATGCGCTCAGCTTCAGACAATAAGGATTTTACAGTAACATCGTCGCCCTGCAGCCAAAGAACTGCTGCCTTTAGAACCAGCGCCCACCAGCGACTCACTGGGTCTGCAACTAAAACAATGAAAGTTGACATTGTGCATTATTTTCAGAAACACATTTATCAATTTCAATCAATATTGAAATAATACCTGTAGTGTTGGTGTGTGTCGGGGGAGTTGAAAAAGAAGCAGGCGTTGAGGGAGACTCTTCTGTGCAGCTGTTGAGCAACTGGAGAAACTCAAGGGCGCCAGAAAACTCCCTGAAAAACACAAAGGGAACAACATTCAGGGCCACGTTTGTGTCTAGAAATAGTTAAATCAAGCTTTAGAGTCCTACCCAGAGTGATTCTTCCGTTTATCTATATCCAAGCCCGTTTGTGGTTGAATGAGGGTATGAACTGCTCTCTCCAAAAGCTTCCTGCAGAAGCCACGGTGCAGCTGGGCATGAGGATCAGCTGGAAAATATGGAGAGGGAAAACATTGAAAATCAGAAAATCTTTTGAAGGAGACCAGAATATAACATAACCGTATGTGTCTGTTCTACCTGAATCCCTCTGGGAAGTGTAGACTCCATCATCGTCATCAGACCTCACTGACCAATCACAGCTCAGGAAGAACTGTTTGCCTAATGGGGTGAAAAGCCAACACAGCTGGTCTGGGATGGATTTTGTGTCTGCTTGGTTTGCCACACTCTCTGCACAACTCAAAACATAACTCTAGAAAAGACAAAAGGACAGTTAAATATTTTCTATGCAGTTTAACATTCAAATATCACAGTTCCCCAGTGAACCACTTACAGGCAGAAAGGTGAAGTGATGGCCCAGAATAATGCGCAGGGCTGTAGCTGCAGTGATATAAATCTGTATCAGCTGAGCAGGCACAATCTTGCTCTTAGCGCTTTCACTGAGGTTTACAGCACTGAAAGACAGGGACAGGGCCCACCAGTGGCTCCGCTGTGGCAGCTTCCCTACAAGAGAAGAGGACGTTTAACATAATGTTAGCAATAATGATAATAGTATGCATCAAACTTATATAGAGCTTTTTGGACATCTCACCTGTGAGTTGCAGCTGGCTCAGTCTGTAGTAAACCAGAGCTGCATCTTTTGCACTGGTCCTTGCCTCATCTCCCTCATGCTTCCCTCTGACTTGGTGAACGAGCCAACCCAAGGGAGTGGGGCGATGGATGATGTAGCGAATTATATTCCAGGAGAGTGAGCAGGCCAGATCGAGATTAGTGGACGGTAGAGCTCTATTCAAAATGGACAAACACGTTTCCAAACTTGCCATAGCAGCTGTGAAATCCCCCTGTACACAGGAAAAACAAGACAGACAAAAAGTCTGGTATTTAATACTGTAAAGGCTAGAATCAGAGACAAGAGAGAATGATAAGAAGTGTAATGAAATAAAGCAGCAGTTTTAAATGCGAAAATCAAGTCACATCACTGAACCAAGAGTTTGTCTCAAAAACAGATCAACAACCTCTGCCTCTCACTCGCCCTCTAGTCAAATTAAATAGTTGCATTGTTAACACTTACTCTCTTGAGATGCAAGTCTGCTTGTTTACGATGCCTCCAGAATGACACTGATTTTGGTGAGTGGAGCGGTGTGACAGGCTCCCACAGATACAGCACTCTCGCACAGCCCCACACGGCCCCCACCCCACTCAGGACCCAGGCTATCACCCATGGCAACAGGCACCGTATCCACGAGCCTGCACAAAATAGGATACATTTCAACTTCACAATTAGATAACTTAAATTAAACTTAACTAATCATAGTTCATACAGTAATATGCTGCTTACCAAAGTCTTGTGTATGAGTTGGAAACCAGGAAAGTGTTCTTGATGGTCCATGGCTCAGAGTGAGGGGACTGCCCACTGTGCTCTCAGACCCCAGCAGCGAGGGCAGAGGGTTTAGGGAGAGGCAGAAGAAGGTCAGGGCGCACAGCAGCAGACGAGAGCCGTCCATGACTCCAACTGAAGAGGGAGAGTCGGGTTCACTCTTTACCTGGTGAAATGTAGAAAATCATGACAAGAATTGCTCAACGGTTGTTTGACTTTTTTTTGATTCAAGTTTTACTACCTGGTCATGGTCCATTAGTGGGCTGCCTGGCTCTGAGTCGACACAGTAAGGTGAAAACTGGGGAGGGGATCCCGAGCCGGAGTCTGATGCAGGGGGCGACATCATCACAATCTCCTGTTTGAGCTCCATATCTTCGGACAGTAACGAGGGCTCTGGAAAGATTGAAAAGGCTCTGTTAGTATTCATAGTACAAAGATTGTTACCATGTGAAAGTACAGATCCTTTCATCCTGCATCTAGAAGACGGTAAGATTAAAGTATTTAGTCCTCTGTATTTGACCCCTCCCTCAAAGCCACAAGTGCAACCTGTCAGGAGCAGTGTCAGGATGACCCTCGCTGGGAACTTGACCTATGGTGCATGTTTTGGGTGGTGGGGAGAACAAGAGTGCTCGGAGAAAACCCACCGAACCAGCTACCTACTGTGAGCCATTAGCACTAACCACTCCTTCAGAGGTTCAATGTTGTTAAAGAAATAAACTGAGTAGAATAATACAATCCACATGTTTACAATGACAATTTATGAAAGTGCAGAGCCTCACTGTTTTTCTGGTTGGCCATCTTCAGCGTTGCATTCTCCTGCCTCAGCTTTTGATTAACCTGTTGCAAGTACTTTATGTAATCAATAGCTTTTTTCAGAACTCCTGACTTGTGCATCTAGAAGGAGAACACAAGAACGTATTATTAAAACGTGTTGTTTATTTTGATACTATGAAGTCCACCCACCTTCGCATCATTGCCCATCACCAGGTCTCGGAGTTCCAGGATCTTGTCATTGATTGAAGACCGATATCGTTTCTCAATGATGTTATGGGTACTCCTCTTCTCGCCCTCCTTTACCACGCCTCCCTGGACCATCCCGCCGACGGCCATTTGGTCCATGTGGGATCTATGAACATTGGTGCACTGTCCGGAGCTCGTCTGAAGCTGCTTTATGGGCAATTTATCCCCGCCTCCCATCAGAACTGGGACTGTGGTCAGGATGTTGCTACTCATCAAAGTCTGGGGACAAAATATGAATGACTTTAATACAACAAATACCAACAAATATTAAGGATCAACTTGTATTTTTAAAATCATTTGCAGATGTTGGTAACTTTATGTAGATCCTATGTTTTCCAAGTTTCCGTGTAATGTTCAAATAGTTACTGTGGATATTTACTGGCACTTGTAGAGCAGTGTTCTGAATAGGCGTAGACAGAGTGGTGATCCCTGGAGTCTGCATGGTTGATAGTACTTGTGTCCCATCTGGTTTGAGTGTTGTGAGCACCAACGAGTCGGTTTTAAGAATTTGAGGTTGCTGCACTAAGACCTACAAAGAAAAGATGAAAGAAACACCGTGGTTAAACGAAGCCCGAGCGACATTGTAGTTTTTAGTACCCACTTGTTGCACTGGCTGCTGCATGGTGTGGACCGTGGTGGGCGAGAGGGTCTGTATGGTCTGTCCGGTCGGGGTGAGGACGCGCTGGTGTTGAATTGTCATTGGCTGAAGGTGTGGTGATGTCATAATGCTCTGGACCTGGGGTTGAAGTACTGTAGACATGCACAAATTAAAATGTTCAAATAGAAAACCCCATTCTCCATTTAATTCCACCCTGTTTTTTTGTTATTGTTGCTCTTGTTTATTATAGAATTATTGTAGTTTTTTTTTTTAAACAACCCTGCCCCCCCCACCCCACCCAGTTATGTCATTATGTTACTGTCTATTTAAGTTAGATAAAAGAAAAATATATAAATACTGTAGACAGGCAAAAGACGACAACCTTGACCTTTTGCATTCCTTTTATACTTAACTTTGGCTTCTGAAGTTGAGGTTTTTAGACTTGATTCCTTATTACGTTAAAGCTAAACATTTTAAACTTGCTTCTTTATTTTTCATTATAAGTTAAGAGATTTTATTTTAGTATAGAGTTACTGTGTTGTGTGCTCCTCATTCCTACTGTTCTGTAACTAGTGATGCAACACTGAAGTTTACCTACTGTGGGACGAATAAAGGATTTCTTAATCGTACTGAAATAAGAAAAATAACTTGTTTTTTTTTATAAAAAGAAACAATATATCTTGTCTAGCAAAATTTCCTTGAGAATAAAATTCTTATTTTAAGAAATTAATTCTTGCTTTTTCTTATGAAGAAAAATTATGTGCTTTAAAAAGTAATATTTGGATCCAAAACAAGCAACAATGACTTATTTAGGCTCCTCTTGCTTGATTCAAGAAAAAAATAAGAAAACAAGAAATCTTAAAATAAGAAAAATATGTTCTTCAATTGAATTCAAAGTAGATTCACTTCAGTGTATTTGTGTGTCGTCCAAAACAGCAGTTGCCTGGGAGGATTTAACAAAGTTGTCGATTCACCAACAACAGATCATAGAATCATACAGGTGGAACACAGGAAATGCAATAATAACAAACACATGGAGCCATATAAGGAGCAGGACGACCACTGTCCAGAAATGTCAATAAATGTCCCGTATCATCACTGTCCTTAGACCTTCCTGCATCAGAGGAACCACTTAAACCCACCTGAAACTGACACAATACAACATTATTGGCCAACCTCATGCACGAGATGCAGTCACGTCTCCAAGATCATACTTAATGGGCACATATGTTACATGTTTGTACAAAACTGTGATGGAGTATAGTCCACAATAGCGAACTATCTAAATGACGTCATTAAGACACGCCCCCGCCGCCTGTCAACTCCCGCCCACATGTTTCGGACAAACACTGCCGAAATGAATCAAATACCACTTGTCACTTTAGACGAAAATGACATACCAGGAGCAAAATTCCACCACCAAACCATCAGGGATCATAGTGTAGACCAGTTAAAACGTTGGCTTGAATGTCGTGGTCTTCCAGTGACTGGTATAAAGTTTTAATTGATAAAAAGGTAATGATGAGGATTATGCTAACATTATCTAGTCATTTAAATTGCAATGCTAGCGCCTTCTTTGTTTATTTTGCTGTGATTAACTTTCATTGATCAAGTTTTTTTTGCACTGTCCACTTTGTAATTAGTTTGATCATTAGTTAGCTACTATCAGCTGATATTATAATAGATCCATGGGGTCACAACGGGCTACGCCACTACTGTCTCTGCAGGGAGAAACTATCGGAGCTAGCCGCACTCAGTAAACGCAAATGACAATCAATCGACACATTTAAATGTTAATGGGAGAATATATTATACATACATTCGTAACACAAGTGCACGGAGGTTTTCAGAAGTATCTGTTCAGGTTTTCATGACAAAAATACTTTTCAAATGCGACTAAAGCGACCGCTTTTTTGAAGTAGGTTAGCTATCCTCACTATTACTCGCCTGCCACGGGCAAACCTTTGAACTATTTTCTTTGCAGTCATTAAATAAACCTTTTGGCATTAATAAAAGTGACTAAAGTTAATTTTGTGTGTTCAGTTGGTACAAAGCCGTATAATAAGCGGACCCCGACGCGCTTTGTCTGTACTTATTTTCCGATGGTCACGAAGTTGAAAAAAAGTCACAAAGTTGAAAAAAAGGTGTGAGAATTGTATACATTCTGGATTAGGACAAACAATACTAATATGGATTGATGGGGGTAAATGGTATAAAGAGAAAGTTTGTGCTAAATACATTCAGAAGAGCTCAGACGGACCTGATACAGCAGTCCAGATCCAGTTCCAGCTAAACGTGGCTCGGACTGGACCTGGATGCTCCACAGTTGGTCAAGCGAAGTGTCCTTTTTAACATTTTCATGAGAGAAATTCTGCCGATCACAAGCACGAACCCACCTCTTGCACTTGTCCTGGTCTGGTCCTGGTCCTGGTCTGGTCCTGGTCCTGGTCTGATGGTGTGGTTTAACGAACGGGTTGAATGTTACTACTTTCATATAGTCCTTTTCAGAGTATCTGAAATCGCTCCGACAAGCACCATAACTGCAGTGTTTTGTTGTCACCATGATTCAATGATTTAGCCCAAATAAATACACACGCGTATGTGTAGAACACAGTAGTAATAGATCCATGTACTCAACAGAGTCGTACAATGTTTGCGCGCATGCGCAGTCATCTGAGCTATTTTTAGCACATTTCGGAAACCGGACAGTGCCCTATAGCATCTGATATTGTTATGGTATTGAGCTCACTGTGAGCTCCTCACCCCCTCCCTCCTGTTCCTGCTGCTGTGGGCGTGGCTGTGGGCGTGGCTGTTCCTGGTTCCTGGCTGTCCTGCACACCTGCCCCTCATCTCTAATCATCTCTGTATTTAAGCCTGGGCATTTCCTCAATCCTCTGCCAGGTCCTCAGTCTACATTGTGAGACAACACCTCAGACCTTGTGCTGTTTTTGCCAAGTTTTTGATGCCCTTGTCTGATCTCATGTTTTGTGCTGCTCTCATTCTCGTGCCAGTTGCAGCCACTTCACTCCTGTTCCAGCTCCTACTCCTGTTCCAGTTCCGGCCCACCCTTCCAGCTCAACCTTCATTCCTGTTAATAAACCCTGTTAACCTGTCCTTTGTATTTGGGTTCACGTCTTTGATCATAACATATATATTGCTCATACTATTTTTCTTAAAAACAGTCTAAAAAAAGAAAAAGGCTGCTAAAAAGAGCAGAAAACAAGCAAATTTATCCTTAAACATTTATTTAAGCATTATTTCCTAAAATTATCCAATAAGAATATTTTGCTTAAATCTGACCTTTTCATTGAAAGAAAATTGCTTAAATCAAGAAATATATTCTTGTTTTTTCCCCATTATACATTAGGAAAAAAATCTTAAAACAAGAATTCTAGACAAGGAAAAAAGTCTTACCCCATTGGCAGTTTTTTTTGCTTAAAATAAGCAAAATTGTCGTCTTTTGTGTTATTTTTTCTTGTTTCTAGCTAGGGACTTTTTGCAGTGTGCAAATCACATTACAAACCTTGGAAGCTTTGTGTAGGACTCTGGTGGCAGATGACTTGATTGTGGATGAAGCGGGACTGTCCTCCATTAGAGGTGATCATGACCGTCTGAGGAGCCTGGGTCTGGATCGGCAGGCCTGTCTGAGTGTGTGTCTGGACCAGAGTGTGCACGGGGAAGTTCTGGGTCTGCATGGGGATTCCCTGTGTGTGCATAGGCAATTAAGGATCATGAACAAAGACACAAACAATAAATATGGTCTATAGACACAGATGTACGAGTGTGCTGTGAATGCGGAGAAGCTTTGTGGTGGTGAAACACAGACTTCCATGATCCATTATTTTGTCAGTTGGTTACCTGAATTGTGGCCTGAGTGTGTTGCAGCTGAGGCTGGATTTGCTGAATTGTTGGTGGTCTTGGCTGAAGGAGTGGTGGGCTCCGTGTCATCTGCTGCACTGATGAGACCACTGTAACTGGGGAGGGAGTCTGTGCTGGTGTGAGGGGAGGGGTCAGGGGGACAGAATGGGATGAGAGGATTTGGGTTGGCGTCAATGAGGTGGTAGAGTTCTGGAAGGCTGTGGGAGCAGACGAGTGAGGGATTTGAGTGGGCTGGGGGATTTGAAGCACAGGCCTCTGGGCGGCTGTGGTGCCCTGTGCAGCTGCTGCCTGGTGTACTTGGTCCTCAAAAAGATCCGGGAAATCTTGGTTGTTGACAAACTGCAGCATCTCTGAATAGAAAGAAAAGCACATATGATCAACAAAGCTCACCTTCTGCATCAAAAACGTTTTATCACCAATGTTTGAGAATTGAAAGCTTAAAAGATGGACATTGGACATGCTGCAAATGAACACAACATTTGCAACCTGTCCAATGCCATTTAAAGCAGCCTAAAGGGAAATTTCTCTGCAAACATCTTTGCAAAGTTATACTTTTTACTTAGTTAGCCAGTGGTAGACCCATCATCTTTTATTCTTAAATCCTTTACTCTCATTGTGCCTAGTAGTGAGTGACCAGCACAAAAGCTGGTCACCCTCGAACTCGGTCCTCTTTGCTGCCTTTGAAGAACAGAGGTTTGATACAAAGCGACACAGATAACAGAAATGCATGAAGCAACTGGCCTTCAACCATTTAGCCTTGACAACCTGTAAAGTAATTGGGGCAAGGTGAAACAGATAATACACAGACTGTGTGTAAAAAAAAGAGCACAGTAACAAAAATAATCCAAGGAACCATTTAATACATTTAGTCATAGGTTTTCACTATCGATTTTATAAAACACTTTAATTTTGAGGATTTGTCGACTAATAAATTTCATGGTGTGACTTTAAATAAACGCAGAAGAAGAAAAAATCAAACCAGTGGGAAATAAAATATTATTGAATTCTGTGGTTTATTGCTATACAGTTTAGAATCACATGTTGCCTGATTTAATGTGGGGGGGGAAAAAATGTGGGAAAGAAAATTTTTACACAAACAGTAGTATAAATTTAACAATTCTACAAAAAAAATGCTGAATGAGAAATTTGCTCATTTAGCATTCATTGTAGTATTATACAAATTATCCTCATTATATGGGAAAAATTCTTCATTTTTAGGATTAATATTTGATAATCATAATTGTTTGATTTCTTTGAAGAACCACTAGCTTATGAGTTATGACACCCATATTTAATTTCTTACATCATGCATACACATTCCTCGTCAAAGCAGACAGAGCACATACCGCTTCACAAGGCAGACTGTCTACACAGTCAACGAAAAGGAAAGAAAACACACTGTACAGTGATTTTGGCTTGTACAAAGGCACATTTGATCAAAAGAGAATGGCTTCCCCGGCTCAGAGCAAAGACAATAAGTTACATAACTCGGGCCACAGTAGTCTGAGGGGCCACTGAGCTACAGGAGTATAAGATCATATTTGCAGGGCATTCATAAATATTTCTGCTCAGGGCTCCTCAAGAAAAACCACAATGACAAACCATGTGGGACTCTCACTGTAAATTGTAAAATGATCTGTCACGGGGTGGGAAGGAGGAGGACTCAAAATGCAGGAATGCCAAAATAATGGTTTAATGAAATAAAGTCCAAAGTGAAAATAAAACTCAAAATCCAAAATACAGAACAAGGAACACGAAATCAGAAACAGGACGGAACAGAAGTTGACAATACAATGGAACAGCAACAAGGGGAAAGGAGCACAGGGTACATATAGACACAGACACAGGTGAAACACATCAGGGCAGGGCAGACAATCAAGACAGGGGAACACCACAAGAAGTCAAACTCAAAACCAAACCACAGAAAATGTCAAAATAAAACCAAAGTACAAATATAAAAGCCACACCATGACAGCACCCCCCCTCCAAGGGACAGCTCCCAGATGTCCCAAAAACCCAAACCAGGGAGGGCGGAGGGGGTCAAGCGGAGGGAACTTCAGGTCCGAAGCAATGTTCAAATCAAACAGGGACCGAAGCTGGAGCCCAGTGATGACCTTCCACATGGAAACTGGCTCACCCCGGGCGGAGACATATGCCCGGCGGTGACTCAGACGAAACAGAACCACCCCAGACGGACATCCAAGTCTGGCAGTGGCAACAGGTGAGGGGAAGGAGAGGTCATCAGAGGGCGTCAGACGAGAATATCCAGACCAGGACTTCACTGGGTAACTCACAGCAGGTCAGGGGGAGGGGAACAGAGGACCACCCCGGACGGACAACCATGCCCGGCGGTGGTGCAGGACAGGTGACCACCCCAGACGGAGTTTCTTGTCTGGCGGTGGTTGCAGGCAACGGGGTCGAGGTAGGCAGTGAAGTGAAGGCAAAAAATAAGTAAAAACCTGGTGATTGAAGATGAACTGGGAGCAGGTGTGGTGAAAAAAAATAAAGCATTCCGCTGAGTCCAAATGTGGCTGTTCCATTCTGTCACGGGGTGGGAAGGAGGAGGACTCAAAATGCAGGAATGCCAAAATAATGGTTTAATGAAATAAAGTCCAAAGTGAAAATAAAACTCAAAATCCAAAATACAGAACAAGGAACACGAAATCAGAAACAGGACGGAACAGAAGTTGACAATACAATGGAACAGCAACAAGGGGAAAGGAGCACAGGGTACATATAGACACAGACACAGGTGAAACACATCAGGGCAGGGCAGACAATCAAGACAGGGGAACACCACAAGAAGTCAAACTCAAAACCAAACCACAGAAAATGTCAAAATAAAACCAAAGTACAAATATAAAAGCCACACCATGACATGATCATCTTTATCTGGTAACCTGACTGAATAAGTGTGGGTTTATGGGGATCTAGGAGTTTCCTCCAGGCACTCTGGCTTTACAATAAACAATTCCAATAGGCATTGGTCCAAGCTGCAGCACCTCACTGCACCAGTGGAAAATTGGAATGTAGTGAAATCAAATAAAGTATACTTCCTGTACCAAAGCAAACATCGATCTGATAATCAATAAAAGCTTTCTGTTGACTCTGAATACATGGAGAACTCCAAATGTACCCCAATAGTGTAGTTCTTAGTAGTCTCCTTTGCAACAGCGATTACATGGCCTGAGCATAGTCCACGAAGGCAATTTGTTTTGGGTGATTTTAGGAATAAGTGGAGGCGTGGTACCCACAGTGGTTCAATCCTGTGCCAACCCGAGCCTTTCTGTTTTTGCATATTTTTTTTGGTCTTTATTGATTTATTTGAACACGGGACAAAGCACATTAAGGAACATTTCAGTTAAGGTGCTAAAAACCTAGTTGTCAAATGTCCTTGGGCCAGGTGTAATAATGCAATAAAAAGTCATACATGATACATTAGTAAACTACAAAAAATAAAAATAAACCTTAGTAAATTGAGTAAAAACAACACATGAAAAATCTTTTAACATGTGACATACAGTAAGGATGGACAGGCTCGTACAGAGTTTAGGACAAGAAAAAAGACAGGTGCTCAGCTCAACTTGTTGGCCGAATGCAAGACAGATTTTCAGTTGCTCCTCTCAGGGAGTTCTTGTACAGTGTGGGGGACACCGTCCTAATAATGACTGCTTCAAACAGAGAGCACAGATTGTTGCACTTAGTGAGACTTCAACAAACCTTCAAAAAAGGTGTTTAGTGCCAGGCATTGTTAATATTATTATTATCAAGTAAGGATCTTTATCTTACAGGTCCATCTGTAAGTATGTTGTCCAGTCATGTCAGTGAGATCTGCTGCACATCCTCATACTCCCTGACCTCATGATCAATCTGATCTGGTGACTTTGTGCTGGTAAATACCCAGTAATAGAATACTAATGACAGTGAGCTGTTTTCTCTATTTGCAATAGATGTTTACATGACAGCTTTTTACGTGCCATTTTACTAAATACTCATTGTTGGAATGATTATTGAATTTGACTAATTTAACAGCCATGAACCAAAAATGGAACACCACAATACAGGTACATACCTGAGCTTGTCCAAGTATGTAACGCTACATAATATATATATATAGGCAAGGAAAGTTTATTTGCATAGCACAATTCATACACAAAGCAACTCAAAGTGTATAGGCCTTTTAAAAAATGTATTGTGTAATTTGGTTAACGCTACCTAGCCAATTATCCTATAACAATAGGGACATCTTTCATCTACTGGACAGGAGCAGAGCGGAAGTCTGGTGTTGAATAATTCGACACTCACCGTCTATATCTCCCAGTGTGAATTCATCTCCGAGTTCGGCCAGAGTGGGGTCCATGGTCTCCATGGTCTGTATAAACTCCCCGTCCATCCTGAGCCGCGGATCAGCGCCTTGTCCTCGGCAGAGGAAACACAGACCGCCCCGGGGTCCACTGCGGACTCTAAACCCAACACACAGCGCTCACTCCGAGGTCTGCTGTTGTCCAGATGACGCGGCACACGCAAGCCCCACAGAGGCTCTTTACGACAATAAAATCATTCACGAATATGATGTTCCAGACGTCGCCATGTTGCTTTACTCCTCTTACGTCATTCACAAACAGACCGGGGCACTCAAGGTGAGCTCTGATTGGTGGTCCGGTTCCTGTTGTTGTCATGAGACCAGTCCTTCTGTCCAATGAGAGAGAGAGCTGAGCCGTGGTCTGATTGTGCGTCAGTCAGAGGCTACTACTGTATTTGAATAAACCGCGCCCCCTAGAGGAAGTGGAGGCACAGAGTCAAATACTGCACCTCGGTCACGGATGTCTATTCATAACAAACGGTCTAGGATTACGACCTTGGTACACTACATTATCTCACTTCTTCTGTCTACTGTTTACAGTCTAATGAGAATGAAGGGCAGGGTGATGAATCAAATAAAAACATGAGAACACAAAAATCACAAAAAGCAATGTTACGTGCTAGGATACGTTAATTAGATTTTATTTATAGATTTTCACTTGAACAGCAGTGAGAACATGTGAATATTTGAGAAGTGTAAGGCATTGTTGTCATTTGAAGAAAGAACAATCAATCATTCAAGGCAAAAATGAAGAAATAAATTAGTAATAATAATGTTATTACTTTTAATTCACTTAAATACAGGGTTGTAGAGCTTGTACCTCTATAGTATTGTAAAGCTAATGCTGACTATTCCAATAAATTTCATAAGATGTTTTCTCAGAGTAATTGTCCTCAGCTGTTCTTGTGCAACCCCTGACTTTTTCTTTTACCACTTTTACCACAAGACTTCCAGCCAGAGCAATGCCTGCTGCAGCCTTGCTGATCTCAGCCACTGCATTCAGCAGGTGACTGCTCACTGAAACAGAGCTGCAGGTATTGACCACTGAGGACACACTGGGCCCTGTGAAGACCACTTCTGCTGGGCTGGCTGCTGCTACAGCACCTGCAGCCGCTTCCTGAGCAAACTGTGCCTGATGCCTTTCTTCTAAAGCACCCGGGGCAATTGATGCATGAGATAACCCTGCCCCAACAGCCGACACAGCTCCACCAATGAAGGCTTCACTTCCTACTTCGAGGGCTGCTCCCATAACAGCACCAGCACCTAAAGCACTGCCAATACCAGCCGCCACTCCCACTGCAGTCATGCCAAGGACACCCACCTGCCTCAGGGTCTCATTTGCCCCTTCTCGTGGGCTGGCAGCCTCTGTCCCTGTAACAGCTCCTACAGATCCACCCAACAGCCCTCCTGTAGCTGCTCCCACAGCTACAGCAGTCTTTCCTGCAGCGACTGCCACTACGGCTCCTAGAGTTTTCCCCATACCTGCAGCGCCCGCAGCCGAAACGCCAGCGAGCTGACATGCAGTAAAACTGACTGAGTTACCCACTAGAGACGCCCCTACAGCCGCTGATAAAGGAGCAGCTGCTCCAAATAATGCCCCCACTGCTAGGCCTGTTGCCCCAGCAGCAACAAGAATTCTAACCCTCTCTAAAACAACTGGAGAGAGGGCGGCCTCCTTCCTTATTTTTGCCAAAGTGGTCACTGAACGGTTTCCTCTCAAAAAACTCAAGCCGTGGTTGCTCTCCTCAGTCCTGTGTTCAGCCACATCATCCTTCAGAATACCCTTTTGTAGACTTTGTGATGTACCTACAGGTCTCACGGCATGTTTGCACTCAACATGGCACTTTTGTCTTTTGGCCAATGTTTCTTCTTTAATCACTTCCCCTAACTCTAGTTCTACCCCTTCTTCCAGGCCCCTTTCTTTCAATATCCTCATCTCCTCTTCCCGAATGACATCCTCAGCTTTGAGAAACACAGAATTTGTATAAAAACTTTTGTCGCTCTGCATCTTGTGGACTTTAGCCAAAAGCTCCTTAGCCTGCGCCCTATTACTAGTATCTCTATTGTTTAATACATGATACCTTCTTCCACACCTTTCAATTAAAACCTTAAGCCTTGTTGGCGCTGTGTCATTCAAGTATGTTTCAATGTCAACACCCTCCAAGTCATCGCCTCTTGTGAATAGAACTAGAGTGTGGTGATGGAGTGCCTCTTCTCCAAATACTCTGGCGACTTCATCTGCTGCCTGGTCCTCGCTGTCAGTGTATCTGCCAATAGGGACAACTAGGAGGAATGCATGAGGCCCAGGAGCAGAGAGAGACACACATTTGGCTATCTCAGTAGAAATCTGCTCTTCGCTGAGATGTGTGTCCCCAAAGCCAGGCATATCCACCACCTGGACTCTCTTCAGTTTGGGCATTTTCCTCTTCAGCGTTTCCCCAGGACATGGTTCGCCCTCCTCCGCAGAGAGCTCGGCGCTGCCCACCTCACACACCCGGGTGACAGAGCTGGCACTGGCCTGGGAGGCAAACTTTCTTCGGCCCAAGATGGTGTTTCCTGACGCGCTTTTGCCAGACCCAGTCCTTCCTATGAGAACCAGCCTGATCTCATGGCTCCTGCTGGCATCGTCTCCGTTTATGTCAGCGGACATCACTGTGACAGAGACAGAGAGAATGTCATGTCCAACATGTCATTTATTTTCCCGAAATAATTGTGAATGAGCGGAAAACTGTCGTTATAAACGAGAAAGTGTACGCAAAGCAATATTCAGCCTTTGTACAAATAACACTACATGCAACTTTGGGCCTTGTTGACAATGTGTTGTTGTTGTTAGCATTTAACATTAGCATAATTGACACACTAGCTGCTAGTATACAGGAAGTTAGTAACAAAACAAAAATACAATACCGTGGTCTGGTTCAGAAGACATTTTTGACTTTGGGACTCGTAGTGACGTCAAATAGCGTTTTATTTTAACGCTATATGTCATTTCAAAACTGTTAGCGAAGCCTCGACTCTGCTAAAAGGAAAACGGCACTAGTGTGGATGGTGGATTAGCGCCCTCTGCTGGCTGCGGCTGTGGCCTCCATGGCACATGCACATGCACACACTAAAGTAATTGGGTGGCAAGCATAAACTGATTCCTCTATTATTCCTCTAGCTCCATGCTTCTTAGATCAGGCCAAGCCTAAAAGTCATACACAAAAACAAGAGTGTTAAAGTACAAGTTTAAGTAAAGGAATGATTTTAGTTATTTGTTCAGTTACAAGAGTTTATTTTTACTCGTATCTAACTCTTATCTCAAACAAGTGCTATTACCACCTCTGGGGGCAAAGCTACAAAAAGGTATTGATAGACGTGATTAAGCTTGGACTTGGAACTATTTTTATTCAATAAATGATGGCCTTTTCAATGTAGCAATTCTTTGAATTGTAGACTATAATCTTATAACAGTCATAATATTTTCAGATACATACATTTTAATACAGTTACTTGGTTATCAAATATTAATTTAGGATTTCAAGTACACAACACAGGGCATTTATATAAAAAAGAAAAATACAAATAAAAACTTAAAATGACCCAATGAACCAAGGAGAGCATGTCTCCACCCTGGTTCAAACACAAAATAAGAATCAAACATTTCTGCTTCAACTCACAAAACGCCAATTGTAAAACCATTCAACTTTGTTAAGACTTATTACTCTTGTTCAAAAACAGTTATGTAAAACAAATTTCCCTCCATATATGCTTTGATGTTCTGTGGGGGCTCCTCTTTGCCTCTCCAACTACAAACAATGGTGGGATTTCAGCAATGCAGTCCAAATGACTAACCTCGACTCCCTCTTCCCATAGATACATAGAATTTTGTCTCTTTGCTGTTTTTGTGCCTCAGAGGGAGGATCTGGTTAGGTTTGTGCGACTAATGACAGCTGCCCTCTAAAACAATCAGAGTCTGTCGAACCAGCTCTTGTGGTCAGTGCCTTTCCCCCGATGAGAGCCGGCTATAGCTCCGAGCGAGAGCGAGAGATCCGGGGGCCTTTCCTGATTTCTTTCCTCTTTTCTTCCTTCCGTCTCCTCTTCTCCTCTTCTCGAAGGATTTTCTGGAAGGCTTCTGCAGTATGAAGCACCTTAAAAACAGTAATACAGGCGATTAAATTCTTGAGCAAAGTTCTGTAGGGATGGGTAATGTGGTAAATGAATTAAATCCTCTTAATGATTTCACAATTCAAACTCATTTAATATTCATTAACTGATTCACTAGAAAGTAAACATTTCACTATTGTGAGTTAGAGAAGACATTGTGCATTAGAGGAAACATGTGAATTGAATCATCCATCCATTTTCTTCCGCTTCATTTGTTCCTGGTTGTGGGGGCAGCAGTCTAAAGCCTGGTTCACACGAGACGATTTTAAAATTGTCGACCAATTTTTTTCTCCGTGTGAGCCCCCACACACGGAGATAAAAAATCACGGGTCTAACCACTTTGGTCGTACAGTGTGTGGTGCGCAGCCACACGGCAGAATCACGCAAACCACACACGAACCGATTTCACCCCCGAGCATTCACAGGTCACCGGAAATCTCACAACATCGCTCGAGATCAAGCGTGACTTCAGAGTAAACAGAGAGTGCGGGCCTCTCCGCTTCACGCAGCCTATAGAGACTCTCGTCTGACCACAGCAGCCACAGACACCATGAGGACAAACACATACATGTGGATTTTACTGCTCTACAGTTCTCTGGCCCGTACTGTCTGTGCTGTTCAATAATACAGTTTGTACGGACTACCTGTGAACGCATCACACACACTGCTAGACATGAAACTTTACATATGCGCAAACCAACAAGCACGGCTGCAGTAACGGCTGCATCACCACGTCTGTACTGTATTAGGACAGAGTGCAAAGTAAACGTACAAACACAACCCATCAGTCTGATCATTTAGTGTACTAATCCCGTCCGAATAGGGCTTCTGCCAACACTACCTGTGCAGCAGGTCCTTGTCATGTCGGTGATGATATGCTTTACACGACACGTCATGCATACATTCACGGTGTTGCCAGAGGTCAACTAGTGCCTCCATCTCTGATGTCCACCGAACTTTCTGGTGCGCCATGCCGGTGACTGTTTTTTTTTTTTTTTTACGGTGTTTCCTCGCCGCCTCTTCTCGTCTTCTGATTGGCTACACGCCGCAGTCATGGCAACGCGCTCGTCTGTCCTCGGGGGACACCACACACGAAGAGAAATCGGGCCAAAACAATCCAACATGTTGGATATCCCCGATATTGAGATCGGAGCAGTCCCGAAGTCCTTCCGAGCGACGAGCACAGTCTTAACACACCACACACGGCAGGAAAATCCATCAGATTTTTTGTTACGATATTCGGAGCGTTCTTACGATTATCGTAGGGGTAAATCGGGTCCAAAATCGGCCCAATTATCCTGCCGTGTGAACCAGGCTTAAGCAGAAAACGCCCAGACTTCCCAATCGACGCAAAGTTTCTCCAGCTCATTTAAGCACAATTGTAAGATTGCCCCAAACCTTGTGTCCTCCCTGCGTCTGACTGTGTCCCTGCGTGAGGTCATCGTGGGTGTCACCTCACGATGACCTCACGACTGCTGATTGTGAGATTAAAGGCATATCAAACATTTGGCGTGTAGACAGCGCCTTCCATGGCGCCTCCTCCAGGTGGGAGATAGTGTCGATTCCACCTCAACTGGTTCCTCTTGGCAGCAGCTTTTATCAAGATATACATAATCACAGTTCAGGTAACAATTCAGTTTTCAGAGCCATATTGGCCAGCCATAGTAACGCTCGTTTAAACAGATTTAATCCTGCAGGTCATTAAATTAGACTGATAGAAAACATTGTTAGTTCTATATTTTATACTTGGCTCATTATGCCAAGTCAGGTGTTTTTGTACTACTTCATCATGCTAACGTTAGAGATTTTAGATTTCCTTTTATGGTAGAGTTAGAGATTTTATTTTAGTATAGTTATTATTATTCATATATTTTGTGCTGTGTGCTCCCCATTGGGGTTATTGTCTGTAACTTGTGATGCAACACTGAAATTTCTCCCCCCTGTGGGACAAATAAATTATCTCTTAATTTGAATATTTTTTGCAGTAGTTGTTGAGAGAGGCTTTTTGCTTGATACTATAAATACCTCTCCCTCTTGTGACCAATTTGGTTTGGACTTTTATGTTGACAACTTCATGTTTGTGGAGAGAAGTGATATGACAATAGTGTGACTTACATCGTCTCTCTCAGTCCGATACGGGTTTGTGAAGTCTGCAGCTTTTTCTGTTATTCCCAATTCTTGTGACATCTGCAGAACAAGATGAGAGCAGACAATCAGAGAAACGTCAAGTCTGTTCGATGCACCGCCACCGTCTTTAGCTCTCATTTTCATCGTCACTGGTGATAAAATATATGTTTATTGAGTCAAAGCGAAGGACTGGGTCAAGTGGATATTAAATGCAGCTGTCTGAATTAATCCACAGTATAATCCCCTTACCACATTGTTTAGGTCACAGATTAATCCTGCAAGATTCACTTCAATACACAGAAGAAAAAAAAAAAAAATCTACAACTTTACTTTCAATTCAGAACAGTGCAACACCAGACCATATTTCAATGAGAATCAACAAAAAAGATCATATAGGCGGCACGGTGGCTGAGTGGATAGCACTCTCGCCTCTCAGCAAGAAGGTCCTGGGTTCGAATCCCGGCCGGACCAGGGCCTTTCTGAGTGGAGTTTGCATGTTCTCCCCGTGTCTGCGTAGGTTTCCTCCGGGTACTCCGGTTTCCCCTGCCACTAAAAATATGTACAATAGGTCTGGCATGCGCCTCCTGTTCGGCGACCCCGCTCCCATCTCTGTGTGGAGTGAGAGGACAAGTGCTCAAAAAATAACAATTGTAAACCGCTTTGTGACTCTGGTCTGTGAAAGGCGGTATATAAATAAAGCTTACTTACTTACTTACTTATATTCAGACTATTAGCCGGGATCACTTCACAGGAGGAAAAAAATCCTGTGCTTTCATTCGTTTTTAATCATAAATTGCTCTGTGAAGATTGTTTGATCTTGTCTATGGTTGGACTAATTTACAAGTGCATTGGGATTTAAAGATGGGTTATTTCATTTTATTTAAATCTGCTTTTGACCAAAGCAAAGGCACTACAGTGATTTTGAAAAGGTCACCAGTCTTTTACATTTAACAGTGTATCAGCAGCTCTAGTTGTAGTGATGTCAACTAAAGCTGACCCTTATTATTTTGATTATCCCAAGACAACAGTAAAACAAAGTATTAACAAGACATAATCATGGCCTGGGTAATGAACGGCACTCTTTGTCTAATTAGTAGAACACTTGGATGAGCGAGGCCTTACGAGCGTCAGGACGTGCTGGTGCGCTCCTCCAGTGAAAACACCCGTCTGGTTACAGAAGTGAAGGCCCCACCGCAGCAGGCTGCCCCAGTCCGTGTTGCGGTCGTAGTAGTGGTGAACAATGCGTGGGAATCGCAGAGCTACATCTCCAAAGAAGGCGGTATTTTCCACTACATGAGAGTAAGCTGTTGAAGAAAAAAAAGAAGAGTGTGATATTATTGTCTGGCGCAATCCCAGAGGCTGAGGATGCTTTTACAAATGTTTTTAGATGAAAATAAAAACAATCAAATGTTGTTTGATGGGAGGGGATTGTCCTTATACACACACACCATATATACTGGCAAAATACAGTTATAAAGTATAACAAACCTTCTTTGATCTTGTCGTCCATGGGGAATGGGTCGTCTGGCCGCATGTTGGCGGCTATGAGAACTTGTCGTGAGTCTTCTAACACCTGAGAGTAAAAACATAAAACTATAATTTCAATATTAATTATACTGTAAGATAGTTTTATAAATACAGGTTGACGATCCTGAAGTAGTCCAAAAGTTACTTCTGTAATTAAACTTACAATGTGAAACTAATATTGACAGACTAATTACACACAAAGTGATATATAACAAGCCTTTATATGTTCTCTCCACCTCCATGTAGGGCTTTTCTGTGTGGAGTTTGCATGTTCTCCCCATGTATGTGTAGGATTCCTCTGGGTGCTCCACTTTCCCTTACCACTAAAAACATGTGCAATAGTTCAGCTGAGTCCAGGTTTGAGTGAGACTGAGATAACAGATGAAAATGATCCAAAAGTGTATCTGGTGAATCTACAGTACTGCTGTTCATTAATACACACTGTCCCACACAAAATAAACACATGCAAATGTTGATAATTTGCTAAAACCCAAATAGAAAATTTGAATAACATTGTGTGACTCATGTGTACTTGTATATTGTAAATAGTAACTAGTAACTCATTTTAAATTTAAATTTATTCTTTAGAGTGGTTTTTATTCTTAGTTTTATCTATCCTCTTTTTGACTGTTGCACTAGCCAAAGGCAATTTCCTAGTCTGTGAACTCGGTCTACTTACGTCGGCCATAAAAATGATCTGATTCTGATTCTGATTTTTTTTTTTACAGAGTTTTTAATTTGCCAACACATTTAGGAATCAATTTTGGCTTTTACACAAGAAATACAATTACCAAAATCATATAGGCCAGTGGTCCTTAGGTGGCAGATGAACCAGTGTCCATAAATCCTTGATTAAAATCCTATGAATGTTGTTAAATGTCTATTGTCCTGGATCATCCACACGAGTCCTGATAAATGCCAGTGGTTTTTTGAGAGGGTCAAATACGCGTCAACCTTTCTTCACATAATGAGTTGTAGAATTCCTCTTTAAGACTGAGAGTGTGTAATGAATAATCCGGAATTGTGCAAAGATGTATTTTTTTAGAAAATTAAAAGGCAAATTTTTGCCTGGTTGGCTTAGTTTTAACGTTTATCTTACACCAAATGTATACAGATGTTTTACCAATTATTTGTAAACGTCTAATTGATTAACCAAAAACTTATTTGCGAGAATTTATAGATTTATCAATTATATAATTATTTGCTTGAATCTCTTTAAAAACCACATCAAACAGAACTCTGTAATAACACCCATTAGCTATTTCATAGTTAATTTTTTTTTTAACAAGTTATCTTGTTTTTAACTAAAGTTTTCTCGTGCATGTGTATTATTGACATCTGAGACCTATTTTGCTCTAATTTTCAGACGGAAAAAGTGAAAAAGAAGAGGACCTCTTGACTCGGCTAAATGAAGCAGTCAAAACAGCGACTCCCAGGTCGCTTTTCTTCACAAGTATGCAACATACTTAATTGTATTCTCAAAAGCTAAAGACTGTATGTTGTGGTCTTTTTACAAAATGTAGTATCGGTTAAGTGCTAAGTAATGCCTTAATTGGTTTTATTAAGCACTTTTTTAGTCCTTAGTCTACATGGTTTTTTTCAACATATAAACTATCCAACTTTAAACGTTTTTATGTCCCAATGAGGGTTAGGGCTCACTAGATTAGCTTGAAATAATTATTATTCAATTAGGGCTAGACTACTGTGTTTTCCAAAAAATATCTTTAGTGGGGACACCTATTCATGTACACAACAAATAGGGATCTAGGCTTCCGTGCATATCTTGATATTCTTCTCTATCAGTGAGAAACAATGCTTGAAGCCGGTCATGTAAAACTCACATATTTACCTTTGAAACGCCGTCAGATGATTAATGAGGCTAAAATTTGTGAAAAACAACTTCATGATCACAAATTAACTTTACCTAATATGTGTGTCATTAATTTTGGATTGGGATCAGCATGACTTCATAAAACTGAAATCAAAACTATATGGAATGTCATTAGGAAAGAAACAGCCTTTCATGTGTCGACCAAGGGGATTCTATAGATCCCACTTGGGTTCAAACTCTCAGTTACTTGTCTTTCTCTTTTCATTATTGCACTAGAATATTACTCCATTCACTCGTGTATGGGAGTGAATGAAAAATGACATGTTAAAGCGTATTTTGAGTGTCCAAAAAGCGCTATATAAAACCGGGGCATATTATTTTATGAATATTTAACCTTCCAAAATCTAATTTTCCTAGCCTGGTTTTCTTTAGTGTGTAATTCCTCATAAAACTGTCATTTTTTGATCTGCAGAGTCCAAGCAGTATACATGTTTTTTTTCAGGACAACCTGTGGATTTATAATATTCATATTGTAAAGGCCTGTATATGATATTTTATACAAAATATGGAATCATGAAGCCAGAAAGAGTGAAACATAAATTATATTTCACCAATATTGTATTGAAAAAACGCAATGAAATGCTATAAACAGCCTTTTTTCTGTTTTTTTTCAGTATCACAGCTGTAAGACTATGCAAAAAAATAAATCTTAGAAACATAAACAATTTAAAAAATCTTTTATTTATATTACTTCATATCATTGTACCTGTAATTTTATTTCTGTCTATTTTCTTAATGTGCACTCTTCAGAAAGGTGCTGGCTCTTGTGAGCTCTGCATCTGCGTTCCTCCTTTCTTTGTGTTAATGCACTTTCAAGCCCTGACCTCTGAAACCACATTCACTCGGTAGATCACCGTAGATCCTGTGATCAAAGCCACATTAGCTGTGTCGGGGGTGGTCATTTTTCGTAACATTCGCTAATATAATGCGTCTTTTACTCGCATCAGCAATTGCTAATCGCAGCGTGTAATTTCAACTTGGGTACGATTAATACACACAGAAGAGTGAATCCTCTTATTCCTCTGGTACAATCTTTGGCAGTCCCTGTCTTGTCCAGGTGTAAGTAAAAAACGTTACTGTTTCGCGGTTTACCTCACGGCGAGGGAAGCGCTCGAAGATCCGAGGGACACCGACTTTCAAAACACACGTAGCATCCCCCACAAGTCACCCAGGACAAAAAACACACGTCCCACTGTTGATAGTGTGCACCTTGTCCCTATCAAATAAATCAATAAATAAATTAAGAAAATAAGATGGTGTGCTTTATTCCCATAGATGTAATTATTCTCACTCTCGTAAACTCCGCCTGCCCTCGCAGAGATCTGTATACAACATTAATATTTCCATTGGCGTTTTGACGCGGACCGTTGGCTGCGGTCCGAGCAGGGGAGGAGAGATGAGTGGACAACCGTGATCCGAAAGGGATGAGCCGCAGATCGGTGCTCATATCCTGTAGGCCGATAATGATGTGTCGTGGGGGTCTGGGCAAAGTATCTGAAAAAAACCTGCTTTCTGCAACTGAAGGTCACTATTAAAAATGGAACACTGCCCTGGAGGAAATGTATTGATCTCTGTGATATATAGTTCGGGAAGAAGTACTGCCCTAACTGCACAATGGGTATGAGAAGTGGTACAAAGGAACCAAATCGATTTGTCGTTTTTTTAGGCCAAAACAGGTCAGAACCTCTGTTTGCTCCAGTCAACATCAGGTCAGAACATGATTGATCCGCACAGTTCTAGAGACGCAGGGTTAGGGGCGTGTGTAAGTTTGCGGGGTATCTTTTTAACAGAAATTTATATGGAGCTGGGAGTTGCCGATGTAACAGTAAAATGTTGGCAAGCATTCAGCCATGATGATGAGTTACATTTGCATATTGACCTGGTTCTATACAAGGCAAAGCTTGGGTACTACAAGGCTTCTATACTGTCAGGCTGCTGGGAGCCATTGTTGCCAAGATGTTCCTTGGATACTAGTTTGTATGTGGTAGGGCTTGGATACAGTTGCCTGAAGAAATATAAATGAATAATAGTAAACACTACCAGGTAGAGTGAGAGCCACCTTGAGTAGAGTGAGTAGCGTAGAGTAGGTAGTGTAAAGTAAGGTAGACAGTAGAGTAGAGTAGAGTAGAGTAGAGTAGAGTAGAGTAGAGTTGAGTAGAGTAGTGTAGAGTAGAGTAGAGTAGAGTAGAGCTAGAGTTAGAGTAGAGTTGAGTAGAGTAGAGTAGAGTAGAGTTAGAGTAGAGGTAGAGTTAGTCCTATGTAGGGCTGGTGGAGAAGGGCAAACCATTTGCCTAACCAATTCAGAGCTGAAAATTCATGTACAACTGTAAAATAATGTCAGTTCCTCTAAACACTGCTGATGTCATAGTATTAACTCGTCAAAAACAGACCTGCAGTTTTTTTTAGCTCTGGTCCTGGCAAATATATTAATTATGGCTACATACACATCCCTTAAACAAAGAAATAATTTCCAGTTGGACCTTACAGTATTTTTTCTATACTGACAGAATATGTTGTTTTGGTATGGCACCGCTTTGTGGGTCAAGTACAATATTTGATCACTCTCAAAACATGTTGTTTGACAATAAATGGTCCCTACCACTTGTTATTACATGCTTTGACTCAACACCTCAAGTTGTACATGCATTGTGACTGATTCGATTGTGGATTTGACAAGCGTTAATTTTTTTCCAAGTTTTCAATCCTTTCCATGTAAATATCGAGAATGTCTTTTATTGAAACACGTTTTCTCGTCTTCTTTCCCTTGTAATGACTGCTCATCTATTCAAAATCCTAAAGTTAATAACAAATGTTCTAGTACTGGATTTTTTAAGCAACCTCACAAAAAGCCTGGAAGGATTTGAAAATCAAAGCCTGAGACATTGTAAGACTTTATGCTCTGGATACACAAAATAACCTATTATCATTCAATAATGCCATTCCTGATTTGGACCCCACCTCCCAATTCCCAAACTATTGTTCCAAAGCTTCAGGCTTTTTTCGTGTCAACAATTTTTCAATACAGGCTCACTTTAAGTCTTTGTAGATTAACTTTACGCAGTTGGAATGGCTAATAAATTCCCTTAAACCGTTTGCGAAAAGTTCCATATTCTGCCTTTTTAGTGAGATATGAGGAAAATTGGAATAGCTGAGATAAAGGCTTAGAATTAATACGGCAAATGTGCAATTGCTTTTACAGCTGTGAAGTGGGGGAAAGGATTGGCAGAGCCAGTAAGACCAGAGGAAAACACTGTAAACACAATATATGGGGCTGTTACCTTTTACACTTGATTTATGTTGTGAAGAATGAATGTCGGCCGTAAAAGTCATTTTTTTCCATTTTCCCAGAGAAAACGCACGGTTTTTCATAGAGGGAATAAAAAAAACGATCTATCAACCCCCGCTGTCAACTACTTCTGAACATAAAAAACCCTATACAGGCTGGATTGCATTTGTCTTTAAAATATTTATGCCACAAAATCAGCTTATATGTGACTAATTTTAAAACAATTGGGACAAGCTAATTTATCTTGTTTTAAAAAGAAATAAATTGTCTCCCTTGGAATGTGAAATAAAGCAATAGTTCTTGAAATATTAAATGGCTTTGTACCTTATTGGCAAATATTATTTTAGAAAGTCAGAATGTACACAATTTTTGGATACCTCAAGGGAATCATTACTCATTTTTTGTCATTTTTTTGCGTGTAGCTGTGTTTCCCTATTCAGGGTACGCAGGAGGTTGCGTGAAGGGTATTGAACAGGGTACTTGAAATTATGATTCATAACTTGCAAAAAACACTCATAGTTAAGAGGTTAATATTTATTATATTATACATACTTATAAGGAATAACAATCATTGCATATATTTACTCTCAACAATGAACCCAGACACAATTAATTAGCAACATTTCAATAGTAAATTAGTCTATCAAGTCTGCATTAACCAAGCCATTTTTGATTGATTTTGAACCAATCTGCAAGCAGTGTGAATGGCTTGGTGACGGATAGACAAACTAACATAATTTCTCCTCTTCAACATTTGAAAATCAACCACTCCAGCTTTTATACTACGAAAGCAATTTATAATACGGATCTATCCCGAACATGAAGATCGGTCTAGCGAGCACTGCACTCACGCTTTTTACATTACAGTAACCAGTTAGAAGTCAATTACTTTGATCATCAATAGGGCGACGAAGAATGAATAACCAGCGGGCGGTTGTATTATGGCGGCAGTATTCTCATAAGCGGATGTGTCGATGCAGCGCTGTGGTCGGGTTCGCGTCTGTAGAAGCCATCTGTCACAGTCAGGCCGCGTCCCGGAGTCAAGCTCTTAGAAGCATCCATCACCGCTGGTGCTCAATGAGATCGTGGCGTGGAGCTACGGTCCACGCCCCGGTAAAAGATGGAGTGTGAGTTGCACTGCGGAAACGGGTAAAATTGTTCTTGTGAAGTCATGTGCAGAAAATAAGGGTTGTCCTCTTTTTCCCCATTTTTTTTCAGTCTGAAAACACTTGTTCTGAAGAAGTGGGACAGAGGCACAGATTACATGCATGCGGATTTGGCTGATAGAAGTACAACGTTTTGTAGAGGTAAGAACAAAGCTACGCAGATTTTCAATTCAATCAATTTTGTTTAGCCCTATTCAAACAGTCGTCTCAAGAGGGAATTTACAAAGTTTATGATTCACCATCATTAGATAACAAAATCAACAGTTCAAACCCAGGAACTATGCTTAGACCCATTGCTGCGTCGGCTAAGATACGACTCAAAAAACCCCAGTTAGAAAACAGTGAGAAACATCAGGCAGGCCCTCATAAAGTTCAATCCATGCGTGCAGCTTTCATTCACGCTGCTGCAACCCTCCTCCTCCCCATTTAAATCTCATTCCCAGGTCCGCTCTTCCTACTTCGCTTAGCTACCACCCACCCTTTTGCAGGGTTCTGCCGGGGTCTAAGCGCCAAACCACATTTCTGTACGAGACACATTAAATGTAATCTTGGAATATCTATCCTCAAGTCATATGTGGAACGTAGGAATGTCTGATTGCTTTTCCAATACAACATACAATTTAATAATACCGTGTTTTGTCTGTTCAAGTCCCTCCAGATTGAATAACGTTGCTATTGTGTTGGTTGTTGTGATTTCAAAATTAGGTACCCTAATTTAAGTTTGAAACCGTTACGGCCTTCGATAAGCACTCTCCTGTAACAGGCTTTGATGACATCACCAGTTTCCCGGGGCCCCGGCGCTCACCTCTCTCTCTCTCTCTCTCTCTCGCTCTCTCACCCACGTTACATTTAGTATTCCTCTCTGAATGAACCATACTGCTTTATCATGATCAGGAATCTCTTGATCTGTGGCCGACAGCCGCGCCCCGTTTACCCCGCCAGCTGATCCTGCTGGCTCTATTATTCCTACACCACCACGTTTGGATCCTAAGTTGCCGGGCTGCCGGAGGCTTTGTGTTTTTTTTTGATTGCATCAAAATAGCAGCGTATAGAACTTCAGCAATGATGTGCACAAGTGAGATCATGAGGACGGCTGTTTGCTTTCGGATGGTGAGAGAAAAAGGTAGATGCAACTGTCAACAAGGTTCAAAGAGCCATGGTTGGGAATTATGTGTGCAGTTCATTTATTAATTCAGTTTTCTTATGTGGCTTTATTCTTGGCAAAGCCTTTTGTAGTTTTGTGTCTGCTACACACGTTTTACAAACTGGGTCAAAGGACAGGTGAATTAAATTGTATGTAATGTATTATTGATTGAATAGACCCAAATCCAATGCGTGTCGTCTCGAAAGGAAGATCGTTGTGGATTCACCAACAACAAGTTTACAGTAAAAATAGGGCTGTCAAAGGCATGACCAAATGTCCATAAAGGGACTTATAAAAGAGGTTGGCTTTGTGCGCTTTACAAGGATACCCATTACATTTGTCCTAGAGTTAAAGCTTTTTGAAGATTCATTTTAATATCTATGCGATTAAAAAGTAAATTATAAAGCAATTTAAATTGAATGCTAATGCATTTAATATAAAATGAAAAAATATGCACCACTCACGTCAACTCATGCACTTTATTGAAGTGTTTTAGATCAGTTCGTTTCATAATAAGTGTAATACTCTAGATGACTGCATTCACACAAAACAGCGGCCGCAAAGACAATATTAACGTTGTAAAATAATTTAGGAACCAGGCCGACACTGCGCATCATTGTGCATCTCATGTTTTATCTAATGACAGCAGAGTGAAGGAGCAGATTTCATGTCGTTTGGCGCTCAATGACTTTGTCTCGTAAATTCTTACTGTAAAAAGGTGTGCGACAAATGTTCCTGGATTCATGACCTCATTATTGCCATTGACTGATCATAAAAAAGAGATTTGTCAATCTCAGTGTGTTTACATTTTCTTGTGTGTGTACTTTTTTTTTTTTTGACACACATGACAAACAATTTAATTGTAAAAATGTTGTACCTGCTGTTATATTATAATAGATTTTATATTACAGATATTCAGCTGTACAGTGGAGACCTGAACAATTAGAACATAAATATTATTTGTATTTTTCGATGTTGACACCAGAGTAATTGTAGTAACATGAAGCCGTGTTGAAGTCCAGTGGACGCCGGAACAAAATCTCAAGAGTCCGGATCTAGAACCTACTGCAGCTCCAGCACTCTGAACTTGCCCTCTTGCTTGACCGGCATCACGTTGATGAAGGTCTTGTAGAGCACGGAGCCCCTCGGGAGCCGTGGCAGGACGTCCCGCGCCTCGGGGCTGTAAGGGGGATGGACGTACACCTTTTTAGTGAAGCGCACGTGACCGTCCTCCAGAGCAAACAGGGTGTTGTTGGTGCCAAGGCCCACATGAGCTCCAAGGTGGTACCGCAAGTTCCTCTGTGTGGCCAGGATTTTCCCAGAATGGACAAAGTCACCATCTTGTTTCTTAAAGCCGTTTCTGCGCCCCGGGCTCTTCCCTCCCAAGTTTTTACTACTGCCTCTGGCCTTTTTAGAAGCAGATCTCACGGAGTCCAGCAGCAGGCACTCACTGGGGAGCAGCAGGCCTGCACGAGACTTCAGCATCAAGGACGCCAGCGCCGCCCTGTTCGTGTGTGTTCTTTTATTCAAGAAATAATTGTAACAAAAAATTGAATGATTTTAACACAAGCTGCAGTTCCATGTGTTTCCTGGCTTTCGGAATGTTTTAAGATGGCGGCCTGGCACCTTAACCCTTGTATTATGTTAAGGGTCAATTTGACCCATTTCAGTTTTTGTGTTGATCAAAGTACTGGTTATCCTTTCTTTTTCTTCCTGAAATTTGGTGACTTTTCCTCATCTAGGGTCATGAACTGGTGTGTAAAATCTGGATACTTTGATGTGTAGTGGAATGTCTGTGCAGAGTTTGTATACAAAGATGATGTTGCGGGTCATTTTGACCCTGACGCTTTAATGTGGGTAAATAGTTGTTCAGATCCAAAAAAACATGTCTCTTTGACATTTTATTTTGATTACCTCTGAGTGCCAGGTGCGTGAAGAGAGGGAACTTTCTCACACTTGTCCTTGTCACTGTTCTCATGTCATCTCTTTTGCCTAGCGTACATCGTACTGGCAACTGAATATATCCGTCGCCTTTGAGTTGCTGCCCCGTACACATCGACAATCTGGCGAAAACGGGAAACTCCTAGTAGCAGAGCAGTCTCGGAAATAACAGCGCGTACATCGAACGCAACTGGCCTCAACTACAGTGTGTTTTCTGACATAAACTGTAGAGGGCGCAATACATGCAATACACACGTTGTTGGAGCGCGCCACGGATCGTGCACATCGGGTGATATCTCCGGATCTGAGGACAACTAGTTGCCGAAAAGTAGAACACGGGCAACTGACTGAATCCGGAGATCGACTGTTTATCTCCAGTTGTAAGAGCGCTCACATCGACCGATTTTGGCAACTGATCATCTCCCATCATCTACTCTCAGTTGCCAAAAGCCGTCTTGCAACTAGTTAGGCAATGCTAGGCTTTAGACAAACTCACCAAAAATGCGCTCCAGAAGGATGACAACATCTGAGGAGGCTTCACAGATTTTTAACTGGGATAATGATGTAGAGGAAGAGATTTCAGAAACAGAGGATTTTTCAGATACAGGACAATGTTATTGCTGATCCAGATTGTCAATTTTCTTTCGATAAGGAGGATTCAGAGGACGAATCTTTGGCCAAGTAAAGAGGAAGGGAGGAAGGAAGGAAGGTAGGAAGGAAGGAAGGTAGGAAGGAAAGAAGGGAGAAAGGAAGGAAGGAAGGAAAAGAAAAGAAGGGAATAGAGAAGGATGAACAGAGAGAAGGAAAACAGGATGAGAAAAAGGAAGGAGAAAGCATTGCAGGAGGAAAAGAGGGAGCGAAGAATTGTCATTTTGACTCGAGAGGAGGACAAGAGGATTAGACTAAATGTTTCTTAAATATATCGTTGGAATAAAACATTTATTGTATGTCACTTTTCTAAATATTTATATAACCTAAAATAAAGTTGTTATTGGTTTAACCTGTTTTCTTGACTGTTTTGAGTGCATTTACACAGTACGGGTCAAAATGACCCGCAACATAATCAATGTAATTTTTTTTCAACATAATACAAGGGTTAAGGCACTCCTCGTGGTACCATCGGCTGCATTTGCTGCATTGCAACTGAAAAACAAACAAAAGACTTTCAATAACTTATAATAATTCAATCTGGAGAGACTCATTTGTAAATAACTTACCCAGTTAGTTTGTCTTTGTGGCCCTGGGCTTGGCGGCTTCTCTGCAGCACACATTGAGCACTTGTTTGCAATATCAAATACTGTAATAAATTACAATTAATAATTGAAAGAAATACCAAAAGATGACAATGTAACTAATAGCATTGCTTGTCCAACAAATAACCTGATGCTTCAAGTATGGTCAAGGCAAGTGTTTTTCTCTCCTCTGCCATGTTCTTTCTCAATGTTGGGAAGTTTATGGGCTGGATCGCAGGGAAGTTCGTCATCAAAGACTTTGCCATCTGCAAATTGTTAATGTTTATTTGGTTAGAACGGTACATTTAAACACACCACTCAATAATATAGCATTTGGCTAATTTTAATCTTTTTTCCCAGACTTGTAAATACAATCATATTTTGGACAACACTAACATATATATATTAAATATATATACATATACAGGTATATATATTTATTATATGACTTGGACCGTACGCGCGCTCTGATTGGTTGATTTGTGGACTGATATTTTCCCATCTCGGACCGTTATCATGACAATTGGTCCAAACAGCGCGTATCACATTTGAAATCTTTCCTCGGACCGTTACCATGACAATCTGTCCGCAGCGCGTATCACACAAGTCGGACATGAACATACTTCACAAATATCTCAAAAGCATTGGTAAAAACAAAGACATATAAAAAAAAACAGAGTCATATAATAAAACATTTATTAACCTTGCCTTTTTGCACAGACCTCGCCACGGCTCGGTCTGTACATTAAGGCCGCGGTCTGATATTTCTATGTACAGACCGAGCAAGCAAGGTTAATAAGCCGTTAGTATATAATCATCCAGTTATGCTTCAGACAGGAATAAAAATACCTTTGCCACAATGACGCCACAACTGCAGCCATCATTTTGCGTTGGGTGGGGAATCTGCCCACCTTTCCAAGTTATGGCCCCCCAGTCTTGTAGTCCATGCAGGCTTCTTCTCATATTAAAAAAATTTCTGGAATAAATACAATATGAAAATATATTTTTTAAGCAACAACTTGACTCGTTGAAGAATCGACTATTTGACTCAATGTAACTAATCAGCCATTAGCTCTAGGAAAGGCACTTGTGTTAATGTAAAAAAGGATTAAAAACATATTCAACACTAAACCAAAGTTGAAAAATATAATATTTTATTGATCATTTAATTGAACTGTGTTTACCTGACACACTTTGCAGCATGTTCTGCTTCTGCCAACTCCTCGGCTATTGGAGCAGGATCCAAAATATAAACAGATTTGGCGAAAGGGTAAATGAACTGTAAAACAGTTGGATTAACAATGTGTATGCATACTGGATACTCATACATAATATGATATAACTTACTAGAAGCTGCCAGTGATTGCCATTTTTATGGACAAATGAAATCAAAGCTTCATACTTTCCAAAATCCACCTATATAAAAGCGTACATTGTACGATATAAATATTTCTGAAAGAAGAGTAAGTTAATATATATTTTTTACATCACCAACCTTTGCTAGAGACTGGTTTTTCAGTGTCTGGCGATCACCATATAACATGATGGTCGCAGTGAAATGGTTGAGTATGTACATTTTTTGGTCAAGTTTGAACTCGGATGCCCAGATGTGAAGGAGTGGCTCTATAATCTGAAAAATAATAATTTTTCAAATCAATATCACGGACAATTGCGATGAAACCATAGTCAAAAGTTTATCATGTTTATGAAAAGGTTAAATATTTCAGTAACTTACCTCTCCATCTAGCCAGTTGTGAGGCTTCAGTGTTAGTAGGTCACTGTGATGTATTAGGAATGAATATCCTTTCACTTGTGACAGCACCTGTGAAACGTATGTCTCACTGCTGTTTTTTCTCCACATGGATTTCAGCTGTAATCAGAAAAGTGAATATGTATTCTCAATTCAGTCAAATACAAGAAAATTGACACTTTATCTTTTGGCATTTTCAGTGATACAGGGATGACACTTTTCTTGTACTGATTAGAACTTGAATAGAATTGTGATTATTCTAGAGACTCTGCAGCAAGTCTATTGGGGCAGACACATGTGAGTGGCTCGTTTGAAAATATAGGGCAACTTGTTTACCTGGGAGTGAAGTAGCCTTTCCTCTGGTATGGCTGGAGCATCGGATTTCACAGCAGGTAGCATTAGAGGTTCCTTGAAGGTACCATAAAAAGCAGAGGCAAAGGCATTACTTATTTTAAATAAATGATATAAAAACTGTGTCTGCCTAGTTTTCTCATTAAATATATATCGGGTCCATGTTGTTGTGGCTAACCTTAACAACAGTGTCATCATAATAAAATAAAAGCATCAAAATAAAAAAACTAAATAATCCTAAAACATAAAATTTATATCAATGAACAGATGTATGATGTGGTTCTCAACTTAAACAACTTGGGAACAACTTTCAAGGTCACCAAAAAAAGAAAAGAGCAAGTTTTACTAATAACTCTTTATTGGGGTTCATAAATAAAACCAATAAACAAATAAATAGGGAACCTTGTTTACCTGGGAGTCATCATCTGGCATTTCCTGAGGTATGGCTGGAGCTGGTTTCATCAGGTAATTCTTCTAGGTGTTTTGAAAGATATAAGCAATAGAATTTTAAAATATATACTGACCTAATTGGAATTTTTAGGCTTTCCTTTTCAATTTTATATCCAGCCCTCTATGTGACCTTATCTGACATTATCTATTGTGTTCTGGGAACACAACCTATAGCAATTGTACCACAAATAAGTATGAAAACATATTGCCATAATTTACTTAACTCTAAATAGAATGTTGTGTGTAAGGCCACAGAAGGTATCCAATGCAACAAATAACAAAGAGAAAACATGTATTTCAAAAATCTGTGGCCAATCAAAAGGGTGGTGTTTAAGGCAGTTGCTATTAGTAGGCGGGTGCTATTCTTAATGAATATTATTGTAATGTGTCAGTTTTTCAGTTTAATCAACAGACAGATTTACATTCAGTACTACTGTATACTTATTTTACAATTACAATAATTACAAAAAACATGGCTTTGTGATTCATATAGCAAACTGAGGCTATACTGAATGCCCCTCCGTCTATGCTTTAACGGTTTTGCGTTTCTTTTTTATACTTAGATGGGCTGGGAAACCAGACTTAACCAGGTTGTGTTAACTGCAAATTAATTTACCAGTAAATGTAATCATGCTTTTATATTTTTGGCGTTACAGATATTGATAATCTAAAAGACGAGCATCACAAACAATTACTTCTTTTTTTTTCCCCAGTCTTATCTGTACTCTGTATGAGAAATATCAGACATATCTTACACATGTTTTTAAATACATTTCACCTGTGATTTCTCTGGCAAGTGAGGTAAAGCCGTGGCATCAGATTTGTCAGGTTCCGCTTGGGTTTCCTTGAAGGTGTTAAATATTTTTTATACTGTATATAGTTTATCATAATATATGCCAAAAAACATAACTTATCATTTAATGATGCCTTTTTGTGGACTTAACATGTATTTACCTCTGATTGATTGGTCTTGTCTTGGGGCAAGGATGTGGCATCGTCTGTCTTGTATTGTTTTAGGCATTTCTTCAAACAAAAATAATTACAAAGTGTATGTTAGAATAGTACAGTTACAGTAACTAAAATGCTACTTCCCCAATGCTACACTTTAATAAAGGTTGGCCAAACTTTATTTTATTGTGGGTTGTGTGACGTGTAGGCCCCAGATAGTAAAACATGATATATTTTAAATATGGTAGAATGTAAAAATCTAAAACATAAAAAAGTGTGAGTGATGAGAAAGAAAGCCTTTCCATTTCTACACACAAATCATAGGTTATGTTCATTTATACCTCTGCTTTTTGTGCATAACATCCTAATACATTATTCAAGAATGTTTAGGGTGTGTTTGTGGCCAAGCCTGACTCCGCCCACAATACAAATCCAAACACACCAGCATTATGTGTTGTGAAATGCAAGTGCAGGGGGGGATATGTGGTAGGTCTAGCTCAATGTTTAATGAGGACTGCATACGCTAGGTGAAAGACATTATGGGACATGTATTTCCCATACCTCGACAAGTACAATTCATATACAAGACAATTCCAAGTGCTTCACAATGTCATAATATTTACATTACGGCATACTCAAATATTTCATCCTTCAAACTTAATATGAGTGTTTGCTCTGATACATTTACTATCTTTTGATGAGTGTAAAGTGAATATGGATGACTGACTTTGATTACAGTGAACGTGATAATAGCCTGTATGTAGCCCGCTTGTGTGTAACCTGTAGAGGATTCCATTGGAGCAGAATAATCAAAGTATCTTTCAGGGTCAATTGAGACGGATCATTAAAAATCACTTACATATTTCAAACTCAAGAGGGACCAAAACAACACATTTTTTTCTTAGCTATAAATTCTGATATCTACCAATATGTCCTAACGTCACAAAATAGTGACATGGACCTGTAGGCAGGTCTATGAGACAACAACTTCAGTAGTTTATGAGCTGAAAAGGTTGATATGGGGTTTAGTGCTTCTTTAGGTACCAAAGTCTTGTTGTTTGGAGAATGCCTGGCTCTGACAAAAGATGGCCTAACATAAATCCCTTTACGGGTTCTTCTTTTATTCTTCCACTTCTCCGTGTCCACTCGAAAGCGCTAAAAAAAGCACACAGATGAAACTTTTTAGAAATCTCTCAAACGTTCAAATTTTAAAATTCTTTATATTAATTGTTAAGGACTCAAGGACAAAATTGTAGTGCAGGTGAAGAATCCAAAGATGGACAATTGCAGATATACAAGTTTAGACTTCCCAGTTTACCCACTACAGTCCAAAATTTAAGCCTGATGCCCCATGCACCTTATTTTCTGTGAAACCATCAAATGTCCCAGTTTCACGCAACCTGAGTTACAGGTGCCCAAGTTTTTCATCTAGTGCCATGTTTGAAACCAAAAAATTTAAATGGCCAAAGATCCATCTCTTCCGTCTTGATTGTTTGAAATACAAAAATGGAAAAAAATCCAATTTATTTATAACCTCATTGACAATGCCAATAAAGTCTATTCTGATTCTGAGATGGTCAATGTAACCTGGTCCACCTTTGATATGTGGATTATATTGTATTTAGATCGGTTAAAGTTCTCTCTTGAATGACTGACCGAGAGCACTGGTTGAACATAAACTTTGATTGATTCAATTTATATGGAAAGACTAAAACAACGTCGCCTAAAAGTGTTTTCCAAATACAGACAAAACACATGGATAAAAATTATCATACTGTACAATTAATTAATGTCACTAGCATCCACTTAGACTGTCTAGCGCATCTGGGTTAAATATCTAAAGTAAATATTTGGTTTGAGGACAAAACTAATTTTCTGGTACGGTCAGGTTTGGTGTACTATTGTCCTTAGCCATTTGTTGGTCACTACAAATCTATCATATGCAACTGAGTAACCACAGTCAATTGTATGGAGTGTGTCCGACGACTTTCTTACATGTTTCTTACATGTTTATTACATTTAATACATGTTCAACTCAAGCTTGATCAAAAGAGAATTTGGAATTTACCTTCCTGCGTAAGCAGTCTGGGTATTCCCTGGCTAGCATTCCCTGTTCTGAAACCCCCCTTCTAGGGAATGAAGAACTCAAAAACCATTTGAACAAAAGGAGATGGGGGACCTTATCGAAATTTGTATCAAGTCACAATTAGAAAATGTATTGAACGTTGAAATGTACTTACCTTTTTAGCGACAACTTTCGAGTCTGTATATTCCCTGAGAAGGGCGTCATGCATGGCCTTGTACCGAACTATAAAGTCATCAAGACGTGTGACCCGTCTTCTGTGGAATCTGATTTTTTTCAAGTCCCATTGAGATTTTTCCATTATCCCCTGCGTTCGGTTGTCTTGAGTGAAGTTCTGCAAGAAATTTAGTGTGCTTGTTGAGTTAACTAAAAAAAATAAAAATTCAAGATAATAGGCACAAAGTCTTCAGAACTAACCTGGTTTGAGCGTTGGCTGAATTTTTGATGCAGCTTGCTAAAGCGCTTATAGGCAGGACCAGTGCCATGACGACCAATGTCACCTATAAGGTTATATTCCAGAATTATCAGAAAATGTTTATATCCAGCTTTTAATTGTCTGCTCCAGTGTTTCTCTTCTGGTACAGCATAGTAACCCAAGACCAATTTCAAAAGTGAAGAGGCAAACATGAACAAAGATACTTTAAAAAAAAAAAATTATATATACTAATATATCTATTAATTAAAAAACATGCACATTGAGTATCACTCGATGGGAGGTGTAATAATACGAGGAGCACTTTGTCCGCGCACTAACTCCCAAAGACTTCTCTCCCGCTCACTTCCGTCAATAGAAGCAGCGTGAGTATTATTACGCCTCACAATATAGTACCCCTTTTTATCCGCTGAGAAAATCGACATGTTACATTTCTGTGTTACTATACTTTGTAGAGTAACACGTCACGTAACTGTATTTAAAAAGGAAGTGGAAGAGTTTAGTAGCTTCTAAAGGGAGCTGATTTGTTTCTATACAGTATGTGGAAGAGGCTGCGTTTGTGCTCCGTTTGCATGACAGAGCGCACGGACAAAGACCAGACAGGTACATATCAACTATTCTAAGGTAAGGTAAGAACATATGTCAGTATGTAAAAACGGTGGCCTATTCCTTTAAACCTTACAATACACTTACCAAGCATTAATCCAGACCACAGAGGCGCTTGTGGCAAAAAGTATCTCAACAAGCTCGGGATGAAATTTGGCGAGTAGAATATGTTTCCATCTCCACCAACATCAAGTGGTGCTCCTTCGATCACTTCAGTGAAATGTTGCATCCATGGGGTGTCACACAGGTCATTCTAAAACAATAAAGTTTTGGATTATTATTTGATAGTGATGTGATTCACAAACCTCACACAATCTCTTGTCTCCATTTAATGAGCAGATAAATAGGGGTTTCTTCATATGTGGTAACAGAGAAAATATATGTCTAAAATAAAGATTTTTATTTCATGTGGATTGGCCAAGAGATAACTGGGAAAGTATAAAAATCTGCATGTTGACATTTACCCAGCATGGAGTAGTGTACCTGCCCTCCACCTTTATGTTAAAATGTAGGCTCTTTCTAATGTTGTGATGTCTCACGTGAACACAATCCATTACATATAAAAATGAACACCTTTGTCATCACACTCTATGAGTGTCTTTACTGTTTACTGTTACCTTGTAGTCTTCCATAAGAACCTTGACATCCTCCACAGCGGCAGACATCCTCATCATTTCCTGAAGGTTTCTTAAGTGTTTTAAAACCTGCTGTCCTTGAGAAGGAGAGGAGAACACTACTGTGGCACTTGTGAGGATCTCATCTAATTCTTGCAGGGTACTGCAACTGGCGAGCAGACCAAAAGTATGCATCGCAAATTTGTAATGCTTAGGAGTCCTGCAAGAAATGGATCAAGATATTACTTAAAGATCCTCATAAATCTATCAAAATACACAAAATACCAATCCACCTCCCCCCATCCCCTAAAAATAATATATAATGTATAAAAAGTTAAATGTATTAATACATTAATAACATATGCACAAAAAATTATAATATATTTGGTAATAAGATTGAATACAAGGTTTAATAAAAAACACTGGTGTAAAGCCTACTTTTATATATTTGAAAGCTTGCAGTGGACCTCAGATCATCAGATAAACTTACAAGTCTCACCATGAGTTTTAGTTTGGACTCGTAGGACAGTTAAGAGATTATTAACTGAGGACCTAAGTGTCCCAGAGGCTTCGTAAAATAAAAGCGAATACAATCAATAGATAGACTATTAAAACATTTATAAATCAGTAAAATGAATTAAAAAGGTATCCAACAAAATTCATATGCCCAAACATAATGCTTACGTTTTTTTGCAGAGGTCTTTGGCATTTTTCATTACATGGCTCAAACATCGATGGATGATGGGGAAGTCAAAAGTCTCTCCAATATATTGCCCGGTCACAATAGCATAATATTTATGGAGGAGGTTTTCCAATGTCAGCCGACAAAAAGTTATGGAAATGGAATTCAGCAGAACCAACGATCCATCGCACACAAACATTACAGGCCTTTTACAGACATTTTTCCCAAACATTCTCATAGCATCTGTCATAAATGCCTGTAAAAAGTATGTAATGGATGGTGTAGTGTGATCACAAGTTACAAAACTCGCTATAGGCAGTGGTGAGGCACCTTTTGAAGGGTTTCTTACTACAAGCTCATACACATAAAATGGCTTGTGAGTCTTCCTCTGCACAATGCTGCCTGTAGCATCAAGGTAAACTATGTCCTCTTTGCATCTCGAATGGAAAATCTGCAAAGTCTTTTTGGACCACAGCATGATTCCTTTAGGATGTTGCAAAACCTTCTGCAGTACGTCTCCATCAGCACCAGTTTGTTGTTTTAAAAGACATTCATTGCTCAGTGTTTCATTGTGGTGAGGTAAAGATTTTTTTTCTCTGTACAAGAGATGTTTTTTAAAACTTTTGGACCAGGGGCTTCGTCCCTACAACCTGACTCAAACACTACTTCCTCAATTGTTCCTAATTTCTCCAGGTACAATGATCGTGGCAACTGTGCCTGGAGTTCTTTACTTAAAATGTGTCTTGCCTTTGATCTCACTGGTCGGCATTTTATCTCCTCTGTGCTGTGAGCCACTTGACCAGTAAAAGTCACATCGGCCTTCAAACTGATGGCAGTAGGCACTGTGACTGTAGCTGTTACTGTACAGTTTTTAAATGTACAGTAAGCCAAACATGAAAAAAATGGGGTGGTTTCTCTAGATTTGGTTGTTTTCAGTAAATGCCTCTTGAATCCAAAACTGCAAAATGGATGAACAGTCTTAAGTCCTGCTGCAATCAAATTTGTCCAATTTAAATCTGAAAAATACTTTTCTTTTCGTGAATTTTTCAATTTTTGCCAATCATTTTGCTCCAAAAAAAAAAAAAGGGGTGGTTTGGGCAAGTTGTAATGAAAAAATGTGCCTTTCTTCAGGCTTGAGCCGGAGCCCTACAAATAGAAAAGGCCAACAAGCAAAATCAATGGCAAATAAAAGAAACAGGAATATTGGTGATAATTCAATTAACTAATTCAACCCAAGCAAACTGAACATGTTGCGTATTTTCAAATATTTACATAACTTGGAGGGTTATGTAAATATCAGATTGAAGTCAGACTAAAACAGACAGATTATTAACATGATATTATAAAACTTCGCCTTGTTATTGTCTGATCTTACCTCTGTGTCTTCATTCCCCTCTGATAGTGCTGAATTGTGGGTGTTATTTCCAAAGTCAGTCTAAAACGATATGATCATGAACATGTTACAAATGTTATGTTTTTTTGTTTCTTGTCTTTGTCTAACGTTGTACCTCTTGGTCTTCATCAGACGAATCAGGGAGGGGTGGGAGGTTCCCAGCATCCGACTAAAATAGACAGATTATTAACATGATATTATAAAACTTTGCCTTGTTATTGTCTGATCTTACCTCTGTGTCTTCATTCCCCTCTGATAGTGCTGAATTGTGGGTGTTATTTCCAAAGTCAGTCTAAAACGATATGATCATGAACATGTTACAAATGTTATGTTTTTTGTTTCTTGTCTTTGTCTAACGTTGTACCTCTTGGTCTTCATCAGACGAATCAGGGAGGGGTGGGAGGTTCCCAGCATCCGACTAAAATAGACAGATTATTAACATGATATTATAAAACTTTGCCTTGTTATTGTCTGATCTTACCTCTGTGTCTTCATTCCCCTCTGATAGTGCTGAATTGTGGGTGTTATTTCCAAAGTCAGTCTAAAACGATATGATCATGAACATGTTACAAATGTTATGTTTTTTGTTTCTTGTCTTTGTCTAACGTTGTACCTCTTGGTCTTCATCAGACGAATCAGGGAGGGGTGGGAGGTTCCCAGCATCCGACTAAAATAGACAGATTATTAACATGATATTATAAAACTTTGCCTTGTTATTGTCTGATCTTACCTCTGTGTCTTCATTCCCCTCTGATAGTGCTGAATTGTGGGTGTTATTTCCAAAGTCAGTCTAAAACGATATGATCATGAACATGTTACAAATGTTATGTTTTTTGTTTCTTGTCTTTGTCTAACGTTGTACCTCTTGGTCTTCATCAGACGAATCAGGAAGGGGTGGGAGGTTCCCAGCATCAGACTAAAATAGACAGATTATTAACATGATATTATTAAACCCCTTATGCCGGGTTAAAAAAAAATATATTGTGGGTATCAAAATTACATGACAATGTCGATCTGAAATAGATTCCGGCAAAAACAAATCCTATATTTTATAAAAAGAACGTGTTTTTCATGAATTTAAGTTGTCTATGCTCTAACCTGTGTGTGACGTTTAAAACTTAAATATTATATAAGATGTGTGTGTTTGAAAGCGTCACTGGGGTCATAAGGGTGGGCACCCTCCTTCACCGGTGTTTCAATGTTAGGCCCACTACACCTCCAGAGGGCTCATCAGCACTACCTAGCGTCCCAGGTGTGCCCCACTCTGCTTTCAACCTTCCTGAACCATTGACGTTATTTCCAGTGACTACCAGAGGACGGTTTTGATGTCGCGTGATCATCTACCCTGAAAGATGAAATACAAAAAATAGACAGTACCTTGATCATCTTAATTATCTTTTGCCGATTATTTCTGGTATTTGGGACTTCCAGTAACAGGCATATTTCTGCCAGGCAACCATCCTTTGAATATGGAGTCCAAAGATGTACCACCTCTCCTGGCTGAACTGTTTTCGCTAAAGCGACTCTTATTTGTGTTAGGGTTTTCTTTATTCTTCTTGTCTATTAATAAACAAAACATGTGAATGAAATCCACACAGTAAAACATTATCCACCATCCTCAGTAAATGCATTGTGAAGTAATTTCCTCTTACCTTTCCAAAAACGGAAAACAAGCAGAATCTGAAATTTGAATGTAAATAATGTGAACTACACCAAATATTATTCATCTACAATAAACACAATACTAACAAATGACATGAATAGCATACTGTGCAAAGCAAAGCTTAGAGAAGTAAACCACATTGAGAACAAGGAAAAGGACATAATATAATGTATTTTATCAACAAATCTGGAGTCTTGTCTGATACTTTAATCTGAAGATAGGATAAGCTTGTAATGATATGTGAGATGTAATTTATAGGTTTTTTTTTTTTGCATATTTTGCCGATATTTTTCAATATGTAGCTGTCAGTGTTGGCAATTAGCAATAAAATATTGATATGTTTCTGTAATAAATATACTCGATTTATTAGGTAAATTTATGATAGACTACTAAGGCCTTACACATATAAGCCTATATATTCCGAACTTTAAACCAGCATATATCATTGGTAAGATATTAATTATCACAAAAAATATTATATATTACTAAAATAATAAAAGCATATTACAAATTCCCCGGGAAAATACAATTCAGTACTCTTTATGTACATACTATGTTATACCTGCAGAATAACTATCTGCAATGTTGCTATTACAGTAGTCCTAAATGCTAATTAGCTTACCTCTCTCGGTTCATTGTCGACAGAATTTTTGAGCACGTGCACAACCACAGGCCTACTAAGCGAAATATTTAACGAACATACGGCTTAAGGTCTGTAGTGAAATATTTTTGATACTAACAA